TTCTGCATTAGTTACATACTGTATACATTTCCTCTGGGATAACTATATTTACAACTATATTAAAACACATTGGATAAAACACATTACATGAAGACTATTTTAGCTTAAAAGATAGGTAGGGCGTGTCCAGGCTATTTTTAGCTAGGTGACACAGCAGGGGACAAGTTTTGCAAGGTTGGCTCCAAGTATCTTTCAGTGACTCATTCCATTCAAGAACTAGAACAGTGCATCTATCTATTCTTATACCACTATATGAATCCCTAACTTTTTTGGTAAATAATGTGAACGTAACAATCGACAGAAAAGGTATAGTCTTTAAAAGGTGATATGACGGTGTTGGTGGGAGCAGAGCATTGGTAGCAGAGGGTTTTATTCGGGTGGGAGTGGTCTCAGAGGAGCCTTGTACTACAACAGTTCTCCTTCAGAGTCCATTCTTTCTTCGATCATGCATGAAGCAGGCCTTACCTTGTGAATGCAGAGCGAAAAGTAGGTTAGCTCTCTGGCTACTACCTCCAAAGTCAGCCATGCCACAGCGATCTCACACACACACACACACACACACACACACACACACTTGTCCCGGCCGGGGCTTGCACTTGAGGAGGGTATTAAATATTCAGCTTACTTTGCCTGGTGGCCTGTGGGAAATGCAGGTTTGGGCCTAATTACTGGAGGCAAGTGGATAATGTTATGGACAGCTGGGTGGGTATTTACTGAACGTGAGCTGCCTTTGTGAAATCACATTTACTGCCATGTTTTATGCAAATGAGGAATGCCCCTGTGACCCCAGCACTCATCATTAGAAGCTAATGAAGGAACATGATACAGAGGAGGGTCCTATTTAGCAAAACTCTGACAGTTATGCTCAAGAAAAATTGAAAAAGGACTAGTATAAGCAGCCTGTTTTAAAAAGGCAGATTAAAAATTGAAATCACTTTTACTGTGTGGATCATCTGTGTCTAATAAGTGGAAGTTCAGACTGGACAAATGGTGTCCTCCATTCCCTTGTGGTCATCTTTAGCAATCAACTCTGGCTCATTGTTCACAAGCCCCCAATCAGTCTGCATTTAAACAAGCACTTTGCTGCCTGTAACAGCTTCAGTTCATTCTGCAACCCACCTCCTCCACATACTTCCTCATCAGTGGGACTTTCCTCCATGTCCTCAGATCATCACTTCAGTTTTCCCCTCCAGGGTCTTGACCCACAGACATATTGATTATCATATTTTTGTTTTTCCCTTGGGCATATTACACGAGCTCTGTATGAAATGTGGCCCTCAGGGGGAATGTGGCCCAAAAAAGTGTTAATGTTAGTAATCTTAGCATCTGGGGTATATCATGGCATGTTCTAACAACAACAACCACAATATTTTATTTATTTTATTGATTTCAAAATGCTATGAATAGTAATAATGAATAGAAAAAATATAAGAATTGGAAAATGAATCTACAATAACAAGAATTCTTTAAACTTGGTCCAGTTATAATTCAGTCCAAACTGAACTAATATTGATAAGAAAATAACTTTCATAAAAGAAAATCTAGACTCACAACATGACTAACTAGAACGTTCACTGAGAGTGCATACCCCCGTCCCTGTGCCTTTCTGTCTGGTGTTTTGCAACAAAGTGTACCTCATCTACCTTACCTATCTTGAATGATGCATTAAATCACAAAAGGCTCAAGGGCGTATTCCGAGCCATTGAGCAGAGATGATTAGAAATAAGAAACTTTTTATTGATTTTAATTATATCATGTTTTTTTTTATTTTTTTTATGAAGCTTCATATTGTTAATTTGGCCCCTGGCCCAAGGAAGACTGATCCAACTCTGGGTCCAATGTTGTTATTAATATGAGAACATGTCACATGATTTATAACGGCCCATCCCTCTGCCATGTAAAAAATGTAGTATGATGACCAAATCAATAACATAACTATTACTTAGTTGCCATTCTTTAGGAGAATTGGTGTGTGGCTGATTCCACTTAGCCCCATTCAACTACAAGTGACAAAGAACTCAGAATGTGTCCACTGTAGACCCTCCAGCTATGTGTAAATGTTGTTCCCCTTCGAGAGTTCACATCCTCATAATTTGCTCTGGTCCTGACCCGGGTGGCGTGCAGAGCTGGGTGCGAAGAACAGAGAGGTGATAGATGAAAGTGTGGTCGAACTATACATCACGACTCGGTGGCTTTCCGCACATCCAAAGTTCACTTTTCACACCATCTATTGTCTTCAGCATGATTCATTAGCGATGCATACAAGCGTCTAGTCTGTCAAGCTAGATTAGTCCTGATCTGTTGCTTTTCCCACTATAGCCAAACCATTTGACCAACGCATTTTCAATCTCCTTGCTCTTATTAAAAGGCTGCCAACACGCCATCCAAGTTTGTTTTTAAAACCTGTCTAGACTCACAATCATCTCACAAGCAACACATTTTCTTTCAGCGACAGCAGCTGTTTGATTCCCTCCAGTGTGATTAGGGAGTTCTTTAACATCAGGTCATTTTTGAAAGTTTCCATCCATCACTTGCGTCTCTTGGGTGTCCTAACATAGAAGTGTGCTATTTTAAGAAACCAATAGGGCATAAACATTTCCGTATGCCCTTTAAATTCACTCATACAAGTGGAAGTAGATGCCCCAAATCCCCACAATGTATCCGAGTTAGCCTCCTCAAAGGTCAACATAGGTGTACAAGCAAGTCACTTGTCCGGTTCAATTAAAGCTTAGGGCTGCTTATTGGTGCGAATGGGTAATCCTGTTTTGTGATTGGTCCGGGACACTCCCTCCATGCACTGACCTTGTGTTGGATTTCACACCAACTGGGACAGGAATAATAGGTACGTTACGGATCCACGGCCTTCCTAATCTGCAGAGCAACGGCCTAGACGCCATTGTGCTCATGAGATTATATCATTAGTAGCTGTCTCAAGTGTGTCAGTGGGGCTTACCTCTCTACTCTGCAGTGTACTGTACAACATGCCACACATTGTAGCTTCTTTAAGGCCTGGATATCTAGATGTTCAGGCGTACAGACAGAATGGTGGGAGATAACATCATGCACAACTGCTGTGGGAGAACGATATAAATAAATCATTACAAAATATACGTCAAGGCTTCAACAGACTTGAGTCGTTGCATTATGTACACACAGATGCCAGAATGTTACAGTATGTCTGCCTTATGCAAAGCAGACAAAATGCCTTTGGTAGTTGCAGCAACCACCAAAGTGACCACATAATGTAGTTTATAATAAGTAATATCTTTAAGGAACTAATGACATCTTTATCAGAGTATCAAAAATAAGATGCAATTCAAAATAAAAAGCAAATTGGAAATTATGGTTTTTTTTTTATTATTGAAGGAATGCATTTGTGTGGACTGCATTTTTTAGGCATGGAGCTCAGTCCGCAGCAATAGTTGTAGCAGGAGTAGTAGTCGTAGTAGTATTATACAGGAATGATTACTCTGGAAACACATTTTGAGCTTTCCAAACAATAGATTAATACAGTTTTATGGTTTTATAGATTCCCAGAAACAGCATAATTATCCAGTTGGAGTGGATTGAATCTATTGAGAACTAATCCCCTTCTCTTTAAGTTCCACCACCAATGTTGTCATCATACTGAAGAAATATTATTGGACAGCCTTTTTACAATATAGTTCATTAGATCTTGAACCTGCAGATTATACATTAGTACAATTTCAACATTGAAGATTAATTGGTGAAAGCATTTTGATAATAAATGCATAAGAATAAGTCAAATGTTCTGTGGAAGCAAAGCGTAAAGATCTCAATCGATATGTTGCATAGGGCACCTTTAACATTCCATTTCAGAATGCCAGAAGAGACTCAGTTTTACATTGACACAAATTACATCTAATAGTGTTGCCTTGGTTACACTTCAGAATACATGGAATATATAATTGGTCCTACACGGAAGATTCCTCTCATTCTTTGCGTTCTCCTTATGAGGATGACGATAAAGAGCAGGACTGCAGGGGAACTTTAAAAATGTATCAATCCAGAAGCTCTTTCCTGCAGCCTCCTGCTTCTCTGTCTCAAAGGGCAAAGACACAAAACATGTGATCGCGTTAGATCAGCTGCTTTTCAAAGTCTGATGTGCCATTTCGAGAAGTGGTACAGTGCAGTCAAGACAGTATCACAAATGACTAGAAAATGTCCTCTGTCTTTGCAGGTATTTGAGCCCTTTGTGAAATGGAATTAGAGTCTCAAAAAAGAGCTTTCCCCTCACTCTTCTGTTTGAATAGAGGAAATGTCTCCTTCCTTTGACATTGTTCTAAGACAGTTTAACTTTACCCAAGATCTGTATTTATTATTTTTCTTTATCAGTTTTATTTAGATGGGACCGTGTGTGTGAATTAATAGTAGTGCTTTAAATACACCACATTGTAGCCTTGAACACTACTACTAGTATTTACTACATGTTTTAGTGGTAGGAGAAACCGGAGCACATAGAGGACACCTACCCTGTCTGGAGGTGGAATGGAACCCAGGACCATCTTGTTGTTGTGCACAAGGACTAACCTCAGTGATTCTATACTGTCACTATGTTTTAGCCATGGCAAACAGACTATAAACACCTATTTGTTTTTTGTTTTTATCTTCTTGTAAAGTTCAAGATAGACCAAGCTGTCATAATGTTTTTATTTAAAAAAAACATTTGCTTTAATGCTGTGCAATAAGAGGTTATATAATTTTAGCACCTATACTTTTAGAGCCAATACAACATTATGATATCATATTCAGGTCTGATCATAGTCGCTGCATTATTTTTAGTCCTATTTGTTCTATGACCTCGATCAAGGGCACCATCGTTAAAACTAGATCCTTCATTCCTAAAAGGTTTTGATCTTGTCCCAAAAGGCGGCGCAATTAACCAGCTTTGTACATAATTGATGATCATGGCATAATGTTACTTTGGTTAGAATAACTTAGCAGATTTATATATAAACTTTGTCTTTTTGTGTTTTCAGATTTTGGCGATCATTTCCATCCTCTTCATTGTGCTGTCCACCATTGCCTTGTCCCTGAACACCCTCCCCGAGCTCCAGGACACAGACGAGTTTGGTCAACCCACAGACAACCCCCAGCTGGCCCACGTGGAGGCCGTGTGCATTGCCTGGTTCACCATGGAGTACCTACTTCGTTTCCTCTCTTCCCCAAACAAATGGAAGTTCTTCAAGGGTCCACTAAACATCATCGACCTGTTGGCCATCCTCCCGTATTACGTCACAATATTCTTAACAGAATCCAACAAAAGTGTTCTGCAGTTTCAAAATGTCCGCCGCGTGGTTCAGATTTTCAGGATCATGCGGATCTTGCGTATCCTCAAGTTGGCCCGTCACTCCACAGGTCTACAATCTTTAGGTTTCACACTTAGAAGGAGCTACAATGAACTGGGACTGCTCATTCTTTTCCTCGCAATGGGCATTATGATCTTCTCTAGTTTGGTGTTTTTTGCTGAAAAAGACGAAGAGGACACCAAATTTAAAAGTATACCAGCTTCATTTTGGTGGGCTACAATCACAATGACAACGGTAGGCTATGGGGATATCTACCCAAAGACTTTACTAGGGAAAATAGTAGGAGGATTGTGTTGCATTGCTGGGGTTTTGGTGATTGCGTTACCAATCCCCATTATTGTGAATAACTTTTCAGAGTTTTACAAGGAGCAGAAACGTCAGGAAAAAGCCATCAAGAGAAGAGAGGCCTTAGAGAGGGCAAAACGAAATGGTAGCATCGTGTCCATGAATATGAAAGAGGCGTTTGGTCGTGGTATGGAGCTAATGGACGTGATGGTGGATGAAGCTATAGAAAACAAGAAAGGCCAGCTGCAGGATAACCATGTATCTCCGTGTACTCATGCTAAAGATCAATCTAATATACGGTCGAATAACAGCAGCCCCACCAAGAATCTGGACTCTACATGCAAAGAGCAACTTCTGACTTCAGGCAGCAGTCCACAACATTTAAGCGCTCAGAAACTGGAGGAGATGTATAACAAGATGTCCGAGCCAGATGCGCAAAGAGACGGCAGCAAAGACAAGAGCACAGGTTCCAAACACGTTCGACAGAGGGCAGAGCTTGAGGCAGGGGCAAAACAAACGGCACCTCTATGCGGCAACACGGAGCCTGTGATGGACATGAAGAGCATCTCCAGCATTGACAGTTTCATGAGCTGTGCCACGGATTTTGCCGACAGTTCACGATTCTCGCAGAGCCCGATCAGCAGTATTCACCAAGGAAGAGTGAGCGCCAACCCAGGCCTGGAACCCACCATGGAGGCTGATCACGAGGGTTCCCAAGGCTCTCTTGACCCCATACAGAATCCATATCAAGACCCTCACACCAACCACCCCCACAAAGGGCACATGAGAGTGAACTATCGACGTGAGTCGGGAGCAGACGGGTCATCGGTGCAAAGTCCAGAAGCGTCCATGTACACCACCGCCAGCAGCAAGACGCCGACCAAAAGCCCAGAGTACATCCGCCCCAACGTCTTCACATTCCATGATACGTCGGTCAGTAAATTTATCGACGCCGACACAGATGAAGAGGAGCACCTTCACGAAGCAGGCGCCAACCCTGGGCGCAGACTTCTGGACAATGGAAGTCCCAAGTTTGGACGTCGTTCCAATCACGCTCAGAGGAAGTTAGGAAAAAACACTTCGGTGATAGAAAGCCAGGAAAACCACGTGGCTCAGGATCTACAGCCACATCAGGGAGACAGCTCCAATGCTTAAATAATATATTCAATAATTGCAAAGCACAGTGAACTAGCCCATGACAAACTATGAAAAAAGACGGATGGCAAGAGTTCTTAATGTCCCTTTAGACTTGTTCCATGTCTGTCAATCACCAGACTCAAAGCAAAAACCTATTTTTCATATTTTCCTTATTGTTGGAAGCCACGTTTAATGTAGCAAAACCCAATGGGCATTTTGAAGACAAACTAGAACTATGTTTCTGAACTGCTTACAATATAATATTTTGCTTCCTTTAAACTGGCCTTAGTTTAATCACCTGTTTGTCGTGTGATTGCAAGGGAACGCCTATCAACATGGACGGTCTTGTATGTTGAAATTATACACTTCTGGTTGATCGTTTCCATCCAAGGAGGGTGTGTTTTGTTATTTGTGCAGCGTAAAGATGCGAAAAGAACGTTATTATATTATGTGAGCCCATACAGCACCTTACCCTCATCATTTTTTTATCAACCACAAGAAATGCATTCATTTGGAGATTTGTGTCCTGTTCCGTTTCTGGGGTCAGTCCTCGTTCAAACAGCAGTGTTACATAACCATGGTATATTATATTGTTATTATTGTAAGAAGGCGGCTCAATAAGAATATATAAGATTAACTGATAATACAGTATATATTTATAAGACATTTTCTAAATTCTAGAGCTTGAAACATTGTGATGAATGGGGATTGTGAAGTATTTTTTTGATTTGTTGGAACTTTGTATTTGTGCTGGAAGTTATGTAAGGACATTGTTTCATGTTTGATATTGTTGTTCAAAGTCCAATGGTCCTTTGTGTAACATGAAGAACCAAAGAATTATCTTTTCTGGCCTTTTACTGCCAGCAACTCTACACTCCCCCTTGTACACACAGAGTCTCAAACATATGACTTTTGAAGAAGCAATCTTTTACCTCAGCTTTTAAAATGACCGAACTCCGCACTGACATTTTTTCTAAGCTCACAGGGAATACAGCACTTTATTTTACTTCCACATTATCAAAGACATACTTGCCCAAAGCATCTACATGGTCTTGCCCTGTTCGCATGGATTCCAGATTTTGTGATGGTAACTTGAGAGATGACACCCAGTATACTACCTATTTCTCCATTTTCTTTCTCCTACAAGCCCCTGACTACAGCATCCACTCCTTGTCGCATAAAGACATGCATGATATAGTTGTTCATTCTTCAAATGTCTAACGTATGCTTCACTGTTATGTTTTCAAATGTCACTTCATCTGCTTGTCATAATCACTCTAAACAGCGATACATGCTAAAGAAATGTAACCACTTTTAGGTGCACATACGAGGAAAAAACCTTAAACTGTGGGGAAATATACTGTCTTTTTTAACAAATAAGTTTTGAGAAGAAAAGTCTCACCAGCTTAATAGTAGATTCTTTAGGCATGGGGCAAAACCAAATCCTGATTACAACCCCTTTGTTAATTTGTCACCTGTACTTTTTGTGCCTTTGCTGATGCTCTGATTAATGTGACACTGAAGAACCCGGATGGCCCCTAAGTGACTGCATGACTGAAAAATATGACTTTTAAAAATATTCTCCTGATTTAAACCTATACTTCTAATCAAGGCTTCACCGCATGGAAATATTCTTACAGTTTCTATGGTGATGGTTGAGTGTTCTGGATCATTTATATTTGATACAAGTTATAAGCCTTAGAATACACTCTGCACTGTTCTCGTGCGTTCAGGATTTGAAAGGGAGAGAGGGACTCCGAACACAGACCTCTGACCAGGCACAGTAAAACTCACACTGTATAGATGCATTGAAATGATTCACTGTACGTTTTATACAAGACATTCAATCTTTTACCGGAAATTCGCTTGTATTATCCTTAGAGCATTGGTTACGAATAGCTTACAGAATTGTTTCATATATTAAGAAGCTCTTTGGTCACTAAATTCTCATAGCCTGATCTAATTGAAGACCTAATGAACCTTGAGAACAAGCTCCTTGGGCGGTTTAGAGCAGGGATTTTCCACTCAATTTCTTTGTTACTGAACATCACCACTCAATTTGTTACACAATCAACATTTGACCTGATTCAAAAATGACTTTTGACATCAGTTTTATTTTTATGAATAAGCGAAAATAATGTTTTCATCACCAAACCATTACTGAGTCAATATGAGACTAAGGGCACCTTCACATTTGGTCTGGTTCAGATCCGTGAACACGTTTTCACTTGTTTTGTGGTTTTCTAGCCACAAATATAACAACCCAGAACCATGATTGGTCCAGTTAAAGTGAACCATGCCAAGTGAATGTACCCTAAGCCCTCTAGACCAACATGATTAAAGCCATACGTAATCTAGAAATACAGAAGTAGATAATACCAACCAACTAAGCCCAAACCATGATTTAGTAATCAGGATAAAAACGATTTTCATATGTCATATAGGATGGACTGGGCTGAAGTGGACTGGTTGAGAAGATTTGATTCCCGAAGATGCATGTACTAATACAAATAATAATACTCTGACTTTAGTGATGTGCCACAAACAATTGGACAGTAACAAATGAGAAGTTTGGAGAATAGACCTGCAGAGCAAAGGCGAACGTGTTTGGATTTGTGCTGTGAGAAGTGGTCGTAACATTTCCATAACCCATCTTTGCTATTAGCCGTTATTGTTTTGCTTGATGCGTATTAACTTCATATTTGTTCACCTAATGCAGCTCCTCTGCACCAAAGCCATAGACAGCGCCAGACATTTTCATTGTGGCCCCTTTATCTGGCACTTTGCGGATTTCTTGTACCACACATTACAAAAGCACAGTGATTTAGCTGCCCACAACAGTTTAAAGCCAAAACAGAGATTGAGTCTTGCTGGTCTATGTGCTGCCCTTAAAGTTTGGGATATGTGCATTTTGTACAGTTTCATACTTGACTTTGTAGCAGATGAACTTTGTGATTTCCTGTTGTTCAACACATGTAGCAGTAAATGGACCTTTGACAAACTTGTAAATATTGTCTGGAATAAAATTCTTTAGGTATATATAATTTTGAAGCTGCTGTTGTCCCTTTACTGAATGAATACTGCATTTAATAAATTATGACAAATGAGTTGGTGATCTGGGTGTCTATTCTTACAAGCCTTCTTTTCCCAACCGTTCATTTTTTCAAAAGGAAAAGCAACTGCCATGTTCATGAATATGAAATTAATGCTGTACTCGATGAAACTAAGGCCAACTTTAAAACCACAAACAATTGAACTGTGTGGAGTGGGACACAAATGCCCACAATTGTAAAGTGCTTTGTGACTCTGGTCTGTGAAAGGTGCTATATGAATAAAGATTACTAACTCACTTCTGAAAGAAAAATCCATATAGTTTATAACTCAGTTTGGTTCTACAAATAATTTTCAGGTAAATGTATTTCTGGCCTCCGTCACATCTTCAAAGCAGTCATTTATGAAACCCTAAACTTTAAAATGTAATAGTAGTGATACAAGTTGAGTGTGTGGTCTGAAATGTTCATGATAAAGGCAGACGTAAAAATGTATGGTAATGTCTTCATGTATTGCAGTAAAACAGACCACTGGTTTCCAAAGTGGGAACCTCGGGTTCGGGGCTCTGACTGCACATCACAGGGGGCCTCCAAATGTTATAGATAATATAATATAAACCATCCATACATTTTCATCCTCTTAATCCATTTCTGGGTCGGGCAGGGGGCGATCAGAGCTGCCACCAGCCCCTCACTGATATCCCTGCAGGTGGTGAGTCCACAGAAGGATAGCTGCAAAGTCAGCGATGGCATAGACTTGATCTTTCAGCGGGGGCAAAGTGCGGTTAAGTGTCATAACGACAGCAGACATCAGTGGGAGTAGTTGGTAGGTAATTAACAATCATATTATATTTTGGTGTGCATGCGTCCATGTGCACGTAGAGGGTAACATATTGCCATAATACTGGATCAGTAAGTAAGATGCCGATGAAGTATATAAACTTTTGATTGTCTTTTCCATCAAAAAGGAGTAATTTGTCTGAGGGTCTAAAACGCAACTCTGCGGCTGGTAAAGCCAGAAAAGGAAATGCTATGACCTAATCATGGACTTCAGGATAAACACAAGGGCTGTTGCCTCGTTCTAAACTGAATATCAATTGAAATAGAGAAGGTCCTCATTGTGCTGAATGTACAGTATTGGGGAGTAAGAGAATATAAGTACTTCAATTTCAAAACAAAAAAAATCCAAGAAGATGTACTATTTTGTTAAAAATGTATTGATAAACATTTATTTACAATATTTAGAAAGTAAAAATATAAAAGTAAAAAGTATAAAAGTAACGGAATAAGATAAGATAGACTTTATTGATCTCACACAGGAGAAATCTACATGTCACAGCTGGCATGGATAGAAACACTCAAGATTGTGCAAAAGAAAAATGTACAATACAAAATACATTTTCAAAGTATTCTACCCATGCATCTATTATAATATCAATTCAACTTCATTGACTGTAAATATTAATATAAATATTCATAGACTGCATAAAACAGGAACTGGACTCCATGAATAGAATGTGTAGGCCAACAGCGCCCCCCAGTGTCCAAACAGGAGAGCTATATGTGACGTAACCTTTCGCCTGACTGTTATGTCCAGTGTCATAAAGGTTAGGTTCGGTATGTCGGATGTTTGCGGAAAAGCCACACATGATAAACTTGTGCTTCATAAGCCGTTTACACAAGGCACTTTCGTTTGCCCCCTGAACCTAAACAACTTGAATAACAAAATCATTTGGCTATAGAACTTGTCTAGGTTAAGTCTAACTTTCATTTATTTTGATTACATTTCAAATGTATTAATTATAACACGATAATGTAGGCTTTAATTCGCTACTTTCAAAACCAACCATTGTTTAGGTCTGCATCATTCCCTTTCTGCAGACATTTGATTATTTGTCATTTCAGCATCAGCATATTTATTATTATTGTATTCTCTAGGAAAACCTCTAGACCTCCCATGGAATATTTTGCACAGGGTGTTTATAAGCAGAAGGTGTGTGCGTGATCTTTACTCGGTCCAGACTTGCGCTTGCGGCTTCTCTGCGTTATGAAGGACTTTGATGTGCATTAGTCTCCATCCTCAGTGATCGGACAAAAGCCTTTCTGTTCCCAGGCGCTGTCATAATCCTTCACACTCAGATTATATAAAATGGTCATGATCGTATGACTTCACGGGACACAGCTGCAGCGCCTGGAGGATGTTGTTCATACTGGACCTGCTGCTGATGCTGATCCACCTGACAGCCTCCATCCTCTCCGCGGTCATCAACACCGTGATCCGGCCCAGACTCAAGTGCATAGAGGGCGAGTTGTGTCTGATCACCGGGGCCGGGGGCGTGCTGGGCCGACTCTTCGCTCTGGAGTTCGCCAAAGAAGGAGCGCATCTTGTGCTGTGGGACTGCAACACCGCCGCCAATGAACAGACGGCCGCCCTGGCGCGGGAGCTGGGCGTCCAGGTGCACGTCTACACCGTAGACCTGTCCCAGCGCCACAGCATCTACCACACCGCGGACAGAGTGAGGCAAGAGGCGGGACAAGTGTCCATCCTCGTCAACAATGCTGGCGTGGTGGCCGGGCGGAGGCTGCTGGAGTGTCCGGACGAACTTTTGGAGAGGACGCTGTTGGTGAACTGCCACGCTCTGTTCTGGGTAAGACTTTTAGGAGTTCACAACCATTGCTACAGTGGGGGCTCAGGAGCATGAGTGGTATGCATGTGACAGACTCGAGGCACTTCAAGAAGATTAGGGGTTCAAAGAAGTCATTAGGAGACCACCCCAATGTGCATTTGTCTAATGTCATTTTTTCGCAGATGACAAAGGCCTTTTTGCCTCAGATGAAATCCAGTAATCATGGACACATCATAACTGTGGCCAGTGCCCTGGGCTTGTTCAGCACAGCCTGTGTGGAGGTAAGGCCTTGGGAAAAGCAAATCAAACGAACTGTCAATGATGCTCATGCATGTTTTTCAGGACTATTGTGCCAGCAAGTTTGGGGCTGTGGGCTTTCACGAGTCCCTGACTCATGAGCTTCATGCTGAAAACCTAAATGGTATTAAAACAACTCTAGTCTGTCCATATATAGTGGACACCGGGATGTTTGAAGGTTGTGAAATAAGGTAAGTCACTTGGCATGACCAGAGAGCACCACAGTAGTTCATATTGAAACCTTTCTCATCAGGCAGGAATTACGCAGCCTAATCCCCCCTCTGGAGCCGCTTTATACTGTGCAACAGTCTATGCAGGCTATTCTGTCTGAGCAGCAGATGATCTGCATCCCCCGCCTCATGTACATCCCCTTCCTCACAAGAGCGTGAGTAACAATGTACAATAAAAGATTTCCACCTGTTCATAGACTAATCTCCGCTTGTGTTTTGTAGACTGTTACCGTGGGAGGCCAATGTTGCTACATATCGTTTCATGGGAGGAGACAAGTGTATGATGCCCTTCATAAAGAACACTGAACAGAAGATAGCCAATGGTGATGTCAACCACAAATGATATGTTCTTTCAATCACCATTGAAAAGACGTTCTTGTACAATATGAAGTGTGATTATTATGAAAATGTTTGGGAAACACTTGTGAAAGTAATGAGTAGCAGACACCTAAACAAGTGCCTCGTTTTATTAACATGAAACAATGACAACAATCTACAGGTGACATGCAAGAAAAATTATTTGCACCACAGATCAATCTTAAATTACTAAAAAGGAATCAAAACATAGAAAAAGGCGCCAATGATTTCAGCTGTTGCGTGCTCATGACTGCTCTCCAATTGATGCGAAGGCTGTAATTTAGGCAATTTCTCCCACGGCACAACGGACATCTCTTGAGGACCTGAAGGCCTTTGTCAAAGCCATGTCTTCCCTAAATCCTTGTTCCAGAAAAGTGAAATGATCCAATGTCTCTGGAGAATAAACCGCAGACACCATACCAAACCTGTAATGACTTTGCTTCTCTAAATTGTCCTGCAGTGCACTGGTCCGTGTGACTTCAAACCAACTGAACAGAGGCGGCCTGTAGATATCCCTGCAGGTACTGAAGCGCCTCTGCGTTCAGGCTGGTGCTGATCATGGATGGGACCTGAAAATACATTTTTATATACAGTAAATACAGAGACCATTACCAACAACATTTGAAGAGAAGGGTTTTGGAAAGGCCCCATTTTGTTAGTTAGGAATATTTTATTGTCATCCTCAGGGAAATTTTACCTCTGCATTTGACCCATTCTTCATTGCCACTGGGGCCTGTAGTGGCAATGAATGATATTAAACACAATGAGACCAAATGGGGCCTGATCAGACTACCAGAACTGGAGGAGTTTTTGCCTGTTGTACATCAGTGGGAGACCGTTATTCTATTCTAAATTATCCAAATGTTTTATAATTTCATGGGCATAAATACATCATTACAACCAAATTGATAAATTGTGCACACCTATTTTTGTTTGTACTTTAAACATTATGCAATTCATTTTGATTCAGTACATCTAGGTAATAATAAAGAATGACAGAAGAGTCAGCAAAAACTTTTGATTTAAAAAAAAAAAAAAAAAAAGGGAGTGTATCTAATAATTTAACTTCAACTTGCATGTACATTAGTCCTCAGGTTATTTAAGTTGTTTTTTTTAAAACTGAACCAATCAGCGCAGAAGTGTTAGTTACCAATTTCTTAGGTTGAAATTTAGCTGGCTTTGGCCATTTCCCCCCCACAGTAATAATGAAAAAAAAAAAACAAAAAACTTTAAATGATAGGTGCAAAGATGAGGCGTGATACATAATACAAGGTTACATAATTAACCCCAGTAGGGTCACAAGCAGTAAGAATCTGGCAACTCCAATAGGATTGTAATTGTAACGACTTATTAACCTAGTAAAAGTAAAAAAACATGTTTAATTTGATCACTTCACCATGCCGTTATTAATGAATGTATTCATGAATTAGTGAATGTCGTCGTGTGCAGTTTAAAACCTACCCTTCCGGGACACGCAGTTGAGAGTTTGTGCAGAGACTGAGCCAGGTGGACTTTGGGGTTGCCAACTGCGTCTCCGATCGGGTCACGCTCCTTCTTCCCAGCGAAGGCCAACTGTGAGAACGCCGTCTGATATCCAGGAGTGTCCTCGATGTCGATGAAGTGCTCGTCGTCTGGGATACTGTCGTCTTCCGGCAGCTCGAACAAACCGATGAGCGCCTGCAGCAAAGGGGTCCTACACACGCACATACACACACAGACGCAGACTTATTCTTTGTAATCTGGTTTGGGCAATCTTAGTCCAGTTAAAGACCAGGTTGCATTTTCCCTTTTTATTTTTAACCAATTACTTTTTTAATTGTTCTAATCTGATATTGCAAATCAGAAATGTTGAAGTCCTTCGTGGCACCAACATTTTCCCAGTGGAACAAATTAAGGTTTTCTTGTCTGTTGTGATGTACCAAAATAAACTGATGTATTAGCACACAATTGTTAAGAAAAATCACGCATGTTACTCGCAAGTAGATGTATTCCTCCTTAAACTAGTATGTCTATTAGAATTTATCAATTAACCCAATATATTACCAAAGTTTTGTGTAATCCGTGTCCATCATTGCGGGGCATTCTGTCAGGACTTTAGTGATGCCAACTGCACAAATCTTTCTTTCCACTGGTCCGGAAACCTTCTGCACCTCTGGAATCACAATCTTTTCCACGACCATTCCAAACATTCTGAAAGACAACACAGAATAAGGATATTTGCCCATAATCATGATTCACAGTGGTGCCATAGAACACATTCATTTTGACTTACTTTGGTTGTATTTCATCAAAGATTTCCTGTAGTGCAATGGCCCCATATTTAACCCCGTACAAGTTCACGAAGACCAAGAAACCTGAGAACAGTACGTTTTTCAAATGAATAAAAGATTCTTAGATCACCGGGTGTCGCAAAACTAATGTACTAACTCTTGATGAATTTGGTGGTTTTGGAGCTTTGGAGCCTCTGGAATAGCAAAATGAAGATTTGTTTTCTATACTGGATTATAGCCTCTCTGAAACAGATGTCAGGAAAGTAACGTCACACCAGGACTTGTGAAATCTGGATTGATCTTTCAGAACAAATAAACTTACGGAGGCATGTGTTCGATGATGCTGTTGAGAAGGTAAAATCCTTGGTGGTCGTTTGCCTTTGAAGCAATAAGTTTCTGAAAAACTCCAAGCAAACCAGGCTATGGAAGAGTCACAGGTTTTAGGTAGGTTTTAATTCACGAGAAATTATCAAACCCATTTTGGGACTCACAATCTTGTCTGCAGCCGTGGATGCAATAGTGGTTCCACCCTTCTCCAGATAGGCCTGAAGCAGACGTACGAGTGGCGGGATGTTCCCAGTCCGCTCCCACAGCACCGGCTGCAGCAAGTGAGGGAACAGAGCCAAGTAGGAGTCAGGAATCGAGTTGGAGTGGATCTCGAGGAGCAGAGACATCACTTGGAACACATATGGGAGAAACTCTGCCAACAAAAGATACGGGACACAAGGTTTAGTTTAGTAAGATCCCCATTCTTCCAGGAGTCTCTTCAAAAATGATTACATGCACTAATACATATTGTTACAATAAATTAATATAATGCACACATACATCCTCACACAACACATTATTACTGCTCAATGGGATATCAATTATAAACCATATTAAAAATAACAATGTACCTAAAAAACACAAAGTGAAAAAAAGAATGTTCTCCAGTGGCTTCAGTCCAACTGCGTCCCGCACACATTTTTTCCTTTTTAGAGTCAACAAACACACACCTTTCTTTTTAAAATCATGTTATAAAAAGAAAGTTGTGTGTGTTTGTTGACTCTAAAAACCAATTATCTTGATCATAGAAAGTACATACCCTGGACATCGTTTTGGAGAATCTCTGTAAAAACTGGGAAAAGTGCCTCCTCGAAGCTGCTGACAGTAACAGGATTGGCCTTGCAGGTGATGCGCACAGACAAACACAGAGACTCAAAGAGATAGTGGTTGAAGTGAGGCTTGCTTGGATTCTGAAAAAAGGGTGCACAACTCAAAAAATAATAGAAAAATGACATTAAATTTGTTCTGAGCTCAAATAGTGCTTACCTTGCTGACCAAGAGAAGTTTTTGAGTGAGTTGACCAATCAGCGTGGGGATATAAGGGACTATGCATTCTTGTAGTAGGGAGAAACTGCGCATGATTGCTTTGAGAATAAAAGAAAAGTAAACTTGATGCTTTGTTTGTGACGTGCATTCATGAGATTAAACGTCTACCTTTCATGATGTACTCGTTCTCTGAGGACGCAGGGACAGCCAGCGCCTTGAACAAGTTATTGAGAAGTTGTTCTGTGAAGGGCGCCATCTCGGCTGGAGTGATACTAAATTTTGAAATAAAAACACAAATATAAGTTAGAAAGAGGCAGAATACGAAACATGCTCATAATGGATTAGAAGGGTTTTTTTTACAGTGTGGAGTTGTTGGGACCTCTCATGGTAAACAGCCTCTCCAGGGCATGAGCAGCATAGGTGTGTTGCACTATGCTCTCAGTCTGAAGATGAGCGATGAGCAGAGGAATAGATTGGATTAGCTGCTCTTTGGGGAGCTAAAGACAAAAGAGAAAAAAAACACTTTTACAATAGTCTTTCATAGAAAATACTTCAATCTTTATTGAAGGGACAGTGTACAGAGATTTAGCTGCACCAGATTTCACCTAGTTTCCATCTGCAGTCCCTGATTACAGACATAAATTACATTATGGAAGTGCATCTACCGATCAACCACACAACACTGTACCATTCAATACAGTTTTCATTCTGCAGCTAAAGTTACATTTCCTAGGGTTTAAAGGAATAGGCCACCGTTTTTACATACTGACATGTACCTTACCTTAGACCAGCCATTCCCAAACTCAGTAACACCGAGGCCCCCTTAAAAATCTGACGGGTCTGCGTGGCCCCCCAAAATAATAACCAAGAAGACAACATTAAGAATAGGCTCTTCTGGTTATTTTATTTTGGGGAAATAGCCTCTGCTACAAACATTGTAATACAAAAATGATTACAGTGGATTATTCAAGTCAAATAATGAACACAAATATTTTAATATTACAAACAAAACATTATAAATTTATATATATATATATATTTTTTTTATGACCTCCCGCGGCCCCCCTGCAGTACCCTCGCGGCCCACCAGGGGGCCGCGGACCCCAGTTTGGGAGACACTGCCTTAGACTAATTGATATGTACCCGTCTGGTCTTTGTCCGTACGCTCTGTCATGCAAACGGAGCACAAACGCGGCCTCTTCCACATACTTTATAGTTCCAAATCAGCTCCCGTTAGAAGCTACCAAACTCGTCCACGTGTTCCCTATTTAAAGACCGTTACATGACGTAATAATACGAGGAGCACTACGTCCGCGCACTAACTCCCAAGACTTCCCTCCCGCTCACGCTGCTTCTATTGACGGAAGTGAGCGGGAGAAATCTGTAGGAGTTAGTGCGCGGACATAGCGCTCCTCGTATTATTACGCCTCACAATATAGTACCCCTTTTTATCCGCTGAGAAAATCGACATGTTACATTTCTGTGTTACATTTCTGTGTTACTATACTTTGTAGTGTAACACGTCACGTAAGTGTATTTAAATAGGGAACACGTGGACGAGTTTGGTAGCTTCTACCGGGAGCTAATTTGGAACTATACAGTATGAGGAAGAGGCTGCGTTTGTGCTCCGTTTGCATGACAGAGCGCACGGACAAAGACCAGACAGGTACATATCAACTAGTCTAAGGTAAGAACATATGTCAGTATGTTAAAACAGTGGCCTATTCCTTTAATGCAAAATATATAATGGTGCAGTAGAATTACCTGACTTCTAAAGATCATGGCGTATTTGATGGCGTCTGCTTTTAACACTGGGAACTCATTAACTGCAAACGACATAAAAAGTAAAATATATTAATTAGATGACAAATGGGTAATTGGTCAAAGAAGTTCTCACCATTTTGCGATTTTAAGTCTGGGAGTATGTGATTCACAAAGAACTCTGTTAAATTCACCAATTCATTAGCCTGTGTGATGCCATGCTGGTGAAAGAAAACGTTTTATTTGCAAATATCTTACAAGAAGCAGAATTTTTCTATCATTCAAGAACTCCAAGAGCAGTCAATTTAACTTTATGTGTATTCCTATTCCATTATTCTGAAATTCTGAAATTATCTTTTAGTTTGAGTTTAAATCCTCACATTTCACAAATAATACAAGGACCGGAGTGGTTCCTGGCCTGGTTCAGGCTTGGTTTTCCACCAGAAAAGAGCGAGTGCAGGTTATCACTGTTTAATGTCAGCTTTTAGCATTCCGTCTTCAGTATTCAAAACTGTTTTATTCCCTGATTTAAGCAGTGAGTAAAGGTAAAAAACCTCATGACTTTGATATGATGGCAAATCTTAAATTCCATTGGTTTGAATTGAAAGTCAAAATAACGGCTCTGGGAGTTCTAGTGTTAAACTCCTTGTATATAAAACACAAGGAGTTTAAAATCAAACTAGTTTCAAATTAGACTTTATAATAAACATTCACCTTTTGTGTTTGAGCTTTAGACGCCAATGAAGTGACCAAATAAATGGCAGCATCTTTGTGTTTCCAGTTTGTTCCAGGATTCTTGGCATATTCTCCGAGCATTGAGCTCACATAACCAGAGAAGATTGCGGTGACGGGACCCTCGAAATATTTACACAGACCCCTCACCAGGTCACAGGCCGCCCTTCGTCGAGTGTCAACATCTGCAAATAATTGAAAAAGATAAATTGTGTTTGTCCATCCTGTTTTCCCAACCGGAAATGTAAACAAGTGTATGAACATACCAGATCCCTCAAGGTCCCTGCGAATATATTCTTCTGAATTATCTTCAAAGGCCTCTTCATCAGCACCTGAACAATGCAAATGGTTCAGACGTGCCCTTACAGAGAGACCGGTATAACTATAAAAGGCACTCACTTCTGAACTCCATGTTGGGCACAATGACCTTTTCACAGATGCTAGTGAGAGTATTTTGGTCCTCAAATAGATGTTTGTAGTGTGGCCTTTCACAAACAGAAGCCAAGAACTGAATGGCATTGCTCACAAGCTGTAACAAGATTCTCCTTAGTAAACTTTCAAATACATATTCAATTCAATACAGCCAAGAATGCAAACTCACCAGGTCATACTTTACTTCCTGTCCTGTGGAAACTAAAAGATTCCAGATGGCAGTGACAAAGCGTGGAAGATAAGGCTGAAACTCTTCGTCATATTTTTGGGCATAAAGAGCAGCATTATCGCAGATTTGAGACTTCAGTAGCTCCAGAAGGCCGGCTTCCTCTTCATCCTGATAAAAGAGAAAAATCAGTTAAAAATAATGGCAGATTATTTAAGTAATTTATAATTAATTTACATCTGTTTGGAGAAGTTTGTTGTCAATTGTGAGCAAAGCGTGAAAGTTTGTCATCCAGGTCTCCATATTGTCCTCAAAAAACTCTGGAAGGTCCTGTGCAAGAGCAAAAACCACAACAGTTTAGCTTTGAACCTCACATAAACATTTTGTAATACCACAGAACTCACCTGGAAGTTAAGGCTGTAGAAGAGCTTACAGATAAGTGTCAGTGATGAGAAGAGGACTTTTAAGGCATTTATATCTGTAGCATGAGTCTGACATAATTCAATAGTCGCCTGGGAATCAAACCAAAACAGTGTGAGCTAAGCCGTTCAACACATTCTAAGGAACATAGTTTCAAAAGAAAAAAATAAACCTTGAAAAGGTTTGTTAATGGCAGAGCAAATGTGTCCAGAACCAATTTAATCTCAGTCCAAAGCTCATTAGACTTGAACTCATGTCGATATCTGTAATGAAATGAAATATAGATAACTACATTTCGCCCAGTTTAGACATCAGCTACAGGCCACAGCTGCAGGGGAAGTACCTCTTGAAGAGAGAGTGTGCAGTTCGTAGTACTCCATTAATGATGTGAAAGTCTCCACTCCCAAACCGGTTGACCATCTCCGTTAGCAGGTCCGGCCATTTCTGTGGAAAATCCTCCCGACCAATGATGCTGATGGCATCGCTTAACTGTTACATTTTGAAACAAACGTCATACATACAACTTCTAACAAATGATCATATTACAGAAGAGAGAAAAAAATACCTGCTTTTGAATCTGCTCTGGGCTACTGAGCATAAGGTTAACAATGTTGGCTTTTATAGCAGTTCTGTCTGCTTCCGAAATTTTGTTGGGCTCATCCTCAACCTGTGAAACACACGTAATATTTCAATTGTAATACATTTTAGACATGGCTTGTGTTCATAGCATTACTAAAGCCCACAAAAGGATTAAACAAGAAAAAAAAACTACTTACAATGCGCCAATTTCTTTTGATATAATTCTTGAAGGTGACAGCAGAGCAGACACGGATCACTCCATCCTGGGACTTTTCTAACAACGTGAGTAGTAACAAAGGGTAGTTCTGGTTTCCTTCTACAGTCTCAAGAAACTTTTCAGCTAAGAGGGAGACGTAGAAGTCAGGGTTAAAGACGTCGCCAAATTGAGGAAGTATACTTTTATAACTTTACCGGGGCGTCTGACTGTGGGATCAGGGTCGAGTGTTTTCCTGAGGAACTCGGTCAGACTTTGCAGATTAGCATCATTCAGTTCCATGTTGTCACTGAGATTTACAAAGTTGATTAATCATGAGTGAGATATAGATCAATACGATGGGCATGTGTATGCATCAAAAAGTCCCACAATATGGCAAAACATAGGGGCTTTTAATGGTGGCTTGACAGTCTCTTAGCAGAGGCTAATATGGTGATCACTGTGCTGCTAGCACACACACATCATGCTGTCGCCGGGCAAACACCTTTCTTTACCTGTGTTTGATTCATTTAGCTACGGCAAGAGTATATGTATTCCAGGAAATATATATTCCACATCTGTATGTCATAAAACATCTTCTCACATCAGAAATTCATGAGCATCACAGTAGGCATGCTCTTAGCAGCTGTGTTAGCGCTAGCCGCTCGTCTGCTATCAATGTTTCATACAAAGTTAGTGAGGATGAAAATAAACTCTCCACGTTCTTGCTAGGACTCTGTAGTAACTTTGACGTATAAACATGGTGTCAGAGCATCAGCCCTTACCTTTACAGACGGGACAGGTCCCTTCAGGAGCTTCTGCAGCTTTCAAAAGGGAACTGCGCGGTCAGTGGAGAGCGCATGCGCACAAGTCTCACTAAGACGACAGTGCCCGCCCACATGCTCTGATTTGTTTCCAGGTCCATAACCGCTGATTATTATTACAAAACTGTGCCTTAAATTAGGAAATACACCAGGTAGAACAACCATCTTTAATTTATCACAATTTAATTGTAAATGTAATGAAGGCATTGAATTCAAAATGACATTCATAACAACAATAATGCACTTGATGAACTGTGAAATGAAAACTATTTGAACACAGAATACACATTCTCTGAATACAAACATATAGAATACACATTCTCTGAATACAAACATATATAAGACAACACAAATTTAACATTTTAACGAGCATTACGTTGTTCTTCCTGTCTCACAGGTGAAAACCAGAGGCTCAGTTATAAGCAAGCTAGAGATTGTGCATCTGACGAATATTCAGAGTGTCCCGTAACATGAGGTCTCGCAGCCGCCAGAGAGCATCGGCCATGGTCTTGTGAGCCCCTTTACTCTTAAGCCAATGGGACGGTAGTTTGCTCTCTTGTTCTTTTGTCAGTCGGATATCTTTTTTTTTTACTGTAATGGCAATTTCATTGTTTATTTTCTTATAAAAATATAGAATGTTTACTGAACAAACCTGTGAGTGTTTGGTCCCACTTGCTGACAGTGGATGATTCTGGAGTCAGGCCCTCGATGTACCGCAGATAGGCTTCAGAGTGAAGCAGCCGCTGAGACTTCGCAGGTGGAGACACAAACAGTGGTGTGGAGGGTTGGTGCGCTGTCTGTCCTGTCTGTCCTGAGAATGAGGCTGGGGCTTGCTGTCCTGTCCCAATCAAACCCATCTAATGGAAACAGTCTTTTGTTAGCTTTGCTCATCAGACTTCATCGATAGGAAATTTAACAAAAAACTAACTAAACTAAACTAAAAAGCCACAACAGGGAATCAAAGTGATATCGAAAAGTCGAAGCACGTTACCTGGGTTCCATGAACATTTCCTCCATTTCCACCACCAATACCATTGAGGCCTTAGAAATAAATGTGCAACAAATCATAGTTATTATCACATAGAAAGTTGCTATTTCAAAAGATTAAAGCATTCTTTAATTTTAAAAAGGATTTCTTTCAGGTAAGATGTTCAAGTCCAAGGTGTGGCCATTTTGTAATTTCATTCAAATTAAACGTACAGGTAGCCCCTCAAGTTAGTAGACTGGCAGACAGGAAGCAACTGCATTGCAGGTGAGGTGGCTATGACAGGACTCTTACCCAGAGGTGGCACTTGGCGAAGCCCAGGAAAAAGAGGCAGAAGATGTGGGGGTAATACAGGTACCCCCATGTGATGGGATGGTAAGCTAGTCAAACTAACCATGCCTCCAACATGGCCTTGCCGGGGCATCATAGCTCTCCTACAAGTTCTCATCACACCTTCTCATGATGGATTAGGTCACAGACACAACAGCATCATGCATTAGTTACACATGCAACAACTAATACATAAACACACACCAAAATAGCAAGTCCAAACCTTAAACCATGTACATTAATGCAAATGAAACATCTACTTTAATGTCTAATTACTTTGAGTGTTTAGTTTAACACTGTGCATTAGAGTACAATGTTTGAGTTAAGGAGAAAAAGTAATCACACGAGCTTCACTTGACATTAGATGTTAGGACGTTATTGTTATTCAAGATGTTAATACTAGCAGTTCAGCTTCTTTTTCCAGTCTTCTAGGCATACTGGATATCTATGAGGGGTTACCTGACATAGAAGTCATGCTGGGATTTAGCATGCCCATAGGGGTTGGAGGAGGCACCACCCCCATCAGTGCCCCTAACGGGGTACCTGCTCTTGGGGAAGTCAGATGAGTTGATCTCTCACGCTCCTGTTGCTCAGCCACTTTTGCTGCCCTCTCTACAAAGAGATCAAAGTAAATACAATGAGGTAAAACATGTTATTCATATTTTGTCTTTGTTTCTACTACATGTTTTCAGATTTTCAAAATCTGAAATGGAATAATCTAATCTGGAGAAATTCAAAAGGAGCAAGACATTATCAAAGATGTGCAGTAACATACCTTCATACTCAGCTTTTCGGGAACTCTCCAAGTTTCTCCATTCTGTCCCAACGAGTCGACTGAGATCCCCAAAGGAAAAGTCCGGATGCTGGGCTTTGATCACAGCCCTCATCTCACTGCTGAACAGGATGTAGCCACTCATGTTAATCTTTCGTTTGGACCCCTCTTTCTTTGAAAGACCCTTTAGGGATTTAGGTGTTGACTGTTCAAACATATATAAAAATTTAACAAAATGTGAATCCAATAAGATGGTAAACTTGAATTTATTACAAAAGAGAACCTGAGGCGGAGTGTAGTTCAACAAGTCCAAGTCACTAGACAGGGAAGACTGCAGATGTGAATGATCTAAATCTGGATCATCAAGGTCTTCCAGCTCCTCGTCCGTCATGTCAGCAAACTTAGCCTCCAGCTCCTGAATCTTCCGGTCAAGAAGTGGTGATGGCTCTTTCTGAGGCACGATCAGCTTTCTATTGGAGAAAAATGTTTAAAAACTAGAGCTTGTTCAAATGTTCTTGTTTAACTCCCGTAATGAATTTCACAACCTAAAATAGTAGATTTCATCCTCTATTACTTTCCCGGAGAGTGAAAAGCGTTTGAGTCCCTTAAACTTCTTCATTTGTTTCTCATTTTCAATATAACGGCTCTCACACAGCAGCACATTCTCCTCGGCGACTTCAGTTTGCCGACATGAGAGATAATCTTTGAAAGACAACACGACGCACTTCCCTGTAATGAAACAGTTTAAATAAATACACGCTTTTATTCAATACCAAAACCAATTACATTTTACCTATAATACAAGTCATTGGACAAGTTTCCTCCACGTTGCTGAGAAACACTTCTCTTTTGTAAAACATCTTAGTAGGTTCATGTACAGTTTCCTCGGGATGGATGAAAATTGGGCCAAAAAAGTAACCCACTCCGTCGCGCATCCACATTTTCTCAATTCTAATGAAATAACGTGCATTATTTGTTTTAGTGAATGTCTTTTTAAATATTTGTTGTCAAATCAAATAAAAGTGTAATGCTTTACCTGCCCACTCGGTGGCGCACTAACCCATGAGAACCTATGTAAACAAAGTCTCCCACTTTGTGCCACAGGTCGTTATAGCAGAGTTGCTCATAGTACTGACATCCAGGATCACCATTACTCATTTCCATTGGCACATCTTCTTTCTCCTATTGAACATATACATCTGTAGGCATTTCCTTCACAGGAAAGGAACGAAAAAAATAAGATTCTGTTCACCTTTTCTACAGTATAATGTTCAGTCTTGGTTTCACTCTCTGCCTCTATATTCTCAACTGGTTTTTCCTCTTGTTTTGGTGCAAACATGGACGCCACTCGCACCACAGGCAGAGGGACCACACGAGGCAGCAGTCGGGCAGAGTTCAGAGGCATGGCCCACAGTTTGATCTTCTTGAAGGACTTGGACTTAGCAGAATACCTTGATTCACAAACGTACACATCACAAGGCTCAAATCCATCGGGCTGAAGTTTGAAATACTCCTTTAGACACACAAAAGACTTCAGTTGAGCAATGTTGCCAAATAATGCAAAGTAATTTCAGTTTAATCAATGTTACCTTCACAAACATAACAACACATTTGCCTAATATTTTGCTGACGGGTGCCTTGTTATAATAGTCACTCTTGAAAACCTCTTTTTCTAAGAACTTTCTTGTGGCAAGGTGAAATGTTTCATTTGGTCTGTAAAACCAGCAGCCATACAACCATTTTTCACCTGTAAGAGCAAGAAATATTTACACATTGAGAAAGTTTGCATTTCGCTCTTGCTTCGTTAGCATGTACACCAGGGGTCTCCAACCTGAGTTAAGGGAACTACCTGTAGCTTGCCACCCCCTTTCAGGTAGCTCCTCAAAGGATTCAAGAATTCAACACAAGATGTAAATAGTCAATACTGTAATCTGTGCAATGTGCAATACTAACAAATTCACTACTAACTTCAATACTAACAATGTATCTTTTCATGAATGCACGAGAACTATGTATGTTATGCATGAGTGTTCTCAATGATTGGCTGTAGCTATATACAGACTACGACTGCTCAATCAAGTAGCCCTTTGCCATTCAAGTTTTAAAGTAGCTCTCCAATCGAAAAAGGTTGGAGACCCCTGATCCAAACTATTGATGGACTCACCAGTGTCATCCTCCCAAAGGCGTTCTATGTAGATGATATGAGGCTGGAGGTTGGGCTCTGCGGGCTCCACATACACATAATCTCCTACATGGTATTTACTGTCTTTGAAGCTGCAGTCCTGGCTGTACGTGCGCTGTGTGCTGGAAGACCATGCCCCTCCCACCGTGTCTTCTCTTTTCTCAGCTTCTATTAAAAATAAAGGTATTTTATTAAATCTAGCAAAACATTTTATGAGTCACATTGATTACCAGGAAATAAATGTTTGCTCAATTCTGAAGTGCCACTATGACCTTAAGAGCAAAGTTACATGTCTGTGCTAGAAGTTCCTGATATTAGTTGGATGGATCAAAAAACAACTTCAGGTCTATTTTTGATGAGGGAGGGATTAAAACATAAATGGTTAAAGGCCATAAGAAGCATTAGAAGTTGAGGAGTTCACAAAGTACAATCGAGACAGGTTAGTGCCATATGAACAAACTCGGACTCTGAGGAGCACAGGGACTGGCCTCCTGCTGGTGCCAGGATTCAAAATTAAAAGGAAGGCAAGGCAAGTCTTAAAAATGGTTCTGTTTAGCTATGAATACAACTGAGGGATTTATTATTTACTCTTTAGTGCTGTGATTATTTATGATTATTATTTTTAAACCTTGTCCTGCCTAATCTGAATTAAACCTTATACGAGACATATCTCAGTATAACTAAACCTGTGAGTAGTTGGCGTACCCTGTTTTTCCTCTTCCCTCTTCTCTTTGTCCTCCTCAAACTCTTTAGGAAGCTTCTCCTTCTTCTCTTTCTCCACGTCGCTGTGCAGATGTTTGCAGGTGTAGCTCAAAGCCGGAGACATCAGGATCTCTCCGTTCTTGCAAAGCTCGTCTCGGATCCGAATGAGAAACTGCTGCAGCTCCACAGCATCCTCGAAGATCTCAGAGTCAGTCCTGGAACAAATATTGACTCTTCTCAATTTATTAGTTCCGTCATAAGATACAGAACAGTAGGGATGAGGAGCACACAACACAACATAAGCATTAAGTATAGGGCTTGTTCACACTAAAGGGCACAAAAGTGTGACAAAAGGCCAAAAATTAGATTTTAATAATCAGAAGATATTTTATGTTTTTCATGTTTCCAAACACCTCCTCTGTCCATTAGAAGTTGCTAGAACAAAACTGTTTTATACATTAGACAAGTTTCCTATAGCGGCCCTGTTTATTTGAGACAGGCCTCCTCTCTGACAATGTTTAAAACCAGGTTAAAGACGGTTCTGTTTAGCTGTGCATACAACTGAGGGATTTTATATTTTTATCTTTTTTTTAATGTACTGTGATTATTTATGATTTTAATACTTTCTTGTTCTGTTCAGCACTTTGAATTGCCTTGTGTATGAATTGTGCTATACAAATAAACTTGCCTTGCCTAGCCTTGCCTTGCCTTATTTTATGTAACGGACGTGATGATTTGACGGAATGAGCTTTGTGGAAGTTTGATAGGTATTTTCAGATGTCCACATTTGATTCAGAGATTCTTTTTTTACACAAAGTAGATGCAAAGTGATACTTTCATATTGTCAAGCAATTAAATGTGAAAACAGACCAGATTTTTTTTTCTCAAGTTTAATTTTTAGAGAAAAGAGGACTGTCCTCATCACGTCCGTTATACATTTTTCAGGGGTCATTTAATTAATAAATAATTTTTTATTTTTTTACGATTCCTTTTTATATCAAGTGATTTCCTTCTGTTGTGTTAACCATGTAAATCTTGTGGGATTTCATCTTCTGCTTTTTCAGACTAAGGACATTTTATTTTCTATGTAACTGGCGTCACAGTAGAATGGTCCAATCAGAGGCTCATTTGGTCGTTTAAAATGTTGCTAAACATTTTTATGTCAATCTTTCCTTTTGATTTTTTCCACACTATCTCTTCAATCTGTCTGTGTTTGAAATCTTTTTTCCAATCTATGAAAGTAATTTTAGTTTTTAAGTTATAACCTTTTAAAGTCCAGATACTTCAATTGTCACTTTACTGTGAACACACTCTATAGCACAACTCTATACTTATTATTTGTACAAAGAAATCTGTTTTTAGCTTAATAAAGAAACGGGTATAAAAATAAGTATACAAATATGGTATAAATATAGTGCAAAGAAATATATACTTGTATATTAGATATATAAATCAAAGTCAATATTTTTCAAAGGAATAATAATGCCATAAGAACAGATGTGTTTATCACTATCAGACCAATAAAATTAACAATAGTTGTGTTCTAAAACAAAGTGACTTTGGCAACAGTCCTAAGTTCTCATGATGTTCTAGGTACTAATTTCAAGCCATGGCCGATACTACCCCAAGATTACACCAAGTCTACATCAGTGTAGACCTTTGAAAACTTAGGTTGGCCTTCACTGTCTGTTACAAGAAAGCAACATTGTGTTACATTTACTCATAAGGACAAACACTTCCTGATTATCTGTCATATTTGTTCAACTGGAACTCTTCTTTGAACACCACATCACAAGACCATTTGTGTTTGAAAATTCCTCCTAAAAAGATAGATTTAATTTGTTTTAGAATTGTAATTATCTTGCATTTTTGCCGATTTGTACATTCTGTTATATTGTTGCTGTTGTGTGTATGTTGTGGTTTTGTACGAGTAGGGCTCAAAGAGAGTCTGGTAACTCCATTGAGTCCTCCCTGGGTAAATAAACATATTCATTAACTGCAGCATTACCTGTTGAGTCTCCTGGCTTTCTCCAGCACTTCAAACATGTGTTCTTGAAACACATCAAGCCTCTTGTAACGCCCATTGTCCACGTTGGAGCGAATAATCTCAAAATTCAGCTGTGGTTTGTCCGGGTTTGCAGGATCGGCCGCGGGAATCTCAGCAAGTGAATCACTGTAGCAGCGTCCTTCATCGTCCTGATGCCCCAACACGGACACAAACAGGCTGCGGAGGAGCTCTTGGATCAGCCTGGGCACATCAGGCACGTGGCTGTCCTCTCCCCCCTCCAGCTCCCTCCTAGTCTCCAGTAAAACCCTGTGCAGCACCAGGGCATCCCGGTAGATCAGGGACTCGGGCTCGTTGTAGGTGCATGCGTTGTTGAACATGAGCACAAAGTCTTCTACCAGAGCGTCCACATCCTGGTATTTGTTGCCAAGCATGTGGCCTCTGATCTTCTCCATGTCCATGGGTCTTTTTATGGCGATGTAATAGTCGGGCAGCTCAGAGCGGGACGGCAGCCGCAGGAAGATGGTGCTGAGGCGGCGTCCTCGTTTGTCTGTGTAGTTTTTCACGGCCTCGTAGAGTTCGTGCAGTTTCTGCTGAAGTGGTGTCAAATACTTGGATTTTTTCAAAGCAATGCTGTTCTTTCCTGAGAAAAAAAAAATCAAAAAGTATTTACAACTAGGATGGGCAATATATCAATGTTTATAACAGTCAATATATTGTTATGGCTCCAATAACTACAAATCAGCCCAAATTTAGCGCTGATTATATTAACTCTTTTCAACTCTTTTTCTATTTGTTAGTTAGCACCAAACAGTAACTATGTATGCAGACATGGAATGGACATGAGACATGGAATAACTGAGGTGATCCAGAATGGAACAGCACCTCTTAAAAATCGTCTGTGCTTTAGTTTGACTTTTTTCTCTTACAATTTCTAGTGTGACCTACTAGTGTTTTGCCACCTTTATCGAATGGTAAGATATATTTATCATACATGATCGATCATTTGAATTTTTAAGCCTCTCCAGGTATGGCAGGTCATTTGAGACACTTTAGACAGACTTTGAAGTTAACACAATTAGACAGAATCTCCTACTCATTTTCAGCTTCGGAGACAGGTCATCCTCATCAGGTGCAGGTCCAAGGTCTTTGCGTTTGTCCTTCATTATTTTCTCCAAGATGTCAGCATCATTGTAGACCTGCATCAAATGAAAAGTCAAAAGTTAATTTGTGAACTCATACAAATAACAATCATAAGAAAAAGGAGTACTGAGGCCTGATTGATTCACAAATAATGAAAATAATAATGATAATAATGCATCGGTTTTAAATAGAACGTTTTTGGACACTCTTGTGAATCAGTAATTAAATAAGAATTATTACAAAATAACAACAATGTTGAGTCACTCATCATTCACATTAACTCTGCTGTTAGCTTTAGTATTGATATGATTTAATATTATGAGAATAATAGTACAACATAATAATAGTATGATCTAATATCTGATTGTATTAGATAATATAATATAATTACATCTACCTCCAATACTCACCCACAAAGAATATTTGAAAGAATATCAGTGTCACACACAAAAATGATAAGCATTTGGAACGGGATCCATTTCCTGCTGCACTGGATTTCCTCTCCAAAGACAGGAAATGATTTGCCCTCTTAAGATTTTATATTCATATTGCAGTTGATGAGGGAAAAACCACTTGACATGCTTGGAAATGGGCCTGTGCCGACATAAATAATAGATGAAAAGGCACGAGCATGAATGACCTGAGAACCCTCTTCATTATAATGCCTTGCATTGCGAAACATCAGCTTCATGTCCTCCACCATCGAGTCCTCCGTCATGTATTTATCTGAGCGGATGTTGTTCTCGATGGTTCTGAGGTCCATTGGCTCCAGGATCACTTTATAATAGTCGGGATAATCTTTCTTGGACGGTTTGACCATAAACAAGTCACAGAGTCTGCGACCAGTGCCGGCCTCCCTCGCCTCTGTCACAGACGCTAGCAGAACTTTCATTCGGTATTTCTTTGAGTTCTTTTTGCAACTGAGAACATAAAAATCACATCTGAATGTAAACATTATATTCCATTAACGATTATTATGAATTAATAAAATAACGGGAGTACTATTTTCTTTTGGTGCTGCCGGTGTCAGATGGAGCTGAGGAGAGCATGCTGTCCCCGTCATCCTCCTCTCTTTGCAAGAGCTCTTTTCTTTTCATCTGAAAAGAACAAATAATAAAAAAAACACACATTTGGATAGAAATAATATGCACCAGACATGGTAGAGACTCACCAGTTGAATTTGTTGCAGTTTAAGAGCGCGTTTGTAGATAGAAGATTGGTGGACATTGTAGCGTTTGGTATTTTCAAACAGCCGCGTCAGGTCTGCATCAATACTCTCAACACTTCCGTATTCGTTATTCTTCATCTTGTTCCTACAAACAAAAAAGTGTTAACTCTGTGCATTTGAAAAATATGCACTCCAGACAAAAGGAACAGGACACTATTCAACAAAAGGTAGGTTATTTTCGGCACACTGACGACGCTGCTTTGACTGTTATATTCTCAGCACAGAATATATAATGTACATAGACATACACTGGAGATGAACTGTACAAAGGCTAAGTTATTTTGAACTTCCCCACAAGTAAATACTGTATGTCGAGCGCAAGGTTTATTAACTCTGCCATAGCGTAAGCAAATCACAAGTGTGTGTTTGTCTATTTATTAGTTATCACCAACTTGAAAAGTATGCAGTAAACCTTGAACATGGGACAAGAAACAACAGAGGGAATCCAGATCATACTTTTTTCAAAGAAATTGAACAGCACCTTTTAATAATAGTCTGTGCTTTAGTTTGACTTTTTCTCTTACAAATTTCTAGTGTGATCTACTAGCGATTTAAAATATTTGTCACATTTGAAAATGCTTGGATATAATTATCATACATGAAAGATCATTTGTATTTTTGAGCCTCTCCAGGTACAAAGCCTTAGACTTACTTCGAAGTAAGTTGCTTTTAGTACAAATTGTTACATAAGTAAGTACATAAGTTACATAAGTGCACAGATGTTGAAATTATAATAAATGAAATCCATCCAGGATTTGTTGGTTCTTGTGATTGCTTTAATGTGTTGTGCAGTGTGCAGGTGGATAGCCCAGGACTCAATAGAACAAGAGCTTGGACTTTCCTGGTTAAATAAGCAACAAATTAACTTTATTGAACTGACCATATAACATACTCAATATATTCCTTCATTCATTCATTCATTCATTCATTCATATACTTGATGTGCAGGAGGCAGATGGGGTGACTGATGTGCTGGTAATAGTCGGGGTATTCTTTTCTGGAGGGCAGCTGCAGAAAGGGTTCAGAGAGGAGTTGCCCCTGGCTGTCCCGGCCGCCTCGCACAGCCTCGTACAGTTGGAAGATGGGGTTCGACATGTCCATATTAAAAGTCATGCTCTCTGCCTCAGATTCCCCCTCGTCGTAGTGGACAGAGCCTACAGGACAGGATGGTCAAATAATAAATACAGAAATTTCTGGACTATAAGCTGCAAATTCTTTCAAGTTGAACTTTGTGGCCTATTTAGCAACGCAGGTAACGTGTTGTATTTTGTAAGAGGAAAGGTTTTGAACACAGCTCTATCGGCGCTGTTGATCTCCAGAGCTGATGACGTAGCTCACATTCCTGCTTCCTGGTGAGTTTATGTGAACAGCAGTAGGAACTGAACTGAGAAAGTGCAGGAAAATTGTTGGTTTTTGGTGATTAGGACTTATTATTTTGAAATAAAGCCGCCATCAAGTTTTAGTAGAATGTTATTGTAAACATAGATTGACCAGAGCTTTGAATACAACAAGTCAGCAGTGTCTTGAAAAAATGATCATGTAGTGTCTTTTAAAGTATAGATTTGCTCCATCTGCTGTTTGTACAGTTTTACGTTACAACATGAAAACCAGGCTTACGTATAATCAAGTGTGATCTTTAAGTGGACAAACTATACTTTCTCCTCAAATACTGGTGCAGTTTATACAGATGTGCTTACAAGATTCATCTTCTATGTATATATTTATACATTGCATATGCTACAGCAGCTTTGGTTCAATATAAACAGTTTTGGTATCCAGTCAGGTTAAGTAACAGTAATCCTGTTACTTAAAAAAAAAAAAAATATCCTTAATGGAAAGTCTGTTTGAAGCTAATCTATGCTTTTCTCATCTATCGTTTTTCTAATCATACATTCACAAAATAGCTTTCATAGTATTCCCAATCACCCCTGTAATAGACAACAGCTTATTTATAATCAATTATTACCAGTCTATTATCATTTAGACAATGTAACAAATATGTTTTTTAAATTGTATTGTATCTTTGTATTGATACCTGCTCATTCCAGTACCTACTTTGTAAAAAGATTTAAAATGACATTTGAATAGTTCAGAGTACCAGAGAGAATTCCTTCGTCGTCGCTCTCGTACTGAAGAGTCATGGAGCCGCTTGAAACACGGTCTCCCTGAACATACTTCCGATTTCTGTCACAAATATTTGCATGTAATAATAGATGGCTCTGGAACATGAACTACAGTAATAACTGAAATACCTTCAGGACTTACCTAATTCTCATACTTGACTTTACCGGGTCTCCGTGTTCAATTTCCGTTCGCTTCTGTGCAAAGATCTTTTTAATCGCATTAGCGTCCTGCAATTGTGAAAAAAATACATTGATACTAAAAGACAAAAAAAAAACAAGTCCTTAAAAAAACTCTCTCTATAAAATCAACCTTATCTGCATCTCCACCTTTTTTAAAATTACTGTATAATATATAAATAAACTAGTGCTGTCATACTACATTTTAAACTCTATTTTGATTCTACATCAAAAAAATACTGAACCACAGGAATTATTATATATATATATATAGTAGAGAAATGTATCTAGAAGAAATCAATAAATGTTAAATGTCATCTGGTTTGTTGCTCAAAATAGTATCTAGTTTCAATACTAGCCTTAGTGTTCTACTAAACACTTCTCCACAGCTATCTTGTCGTATACAAATGTGTGTTGATATGTATGTCACAGTTTTATCTATAAATTGATTTTAGCTTTAATTAATGAGGAATTTTACAATTAAACATAAGTGAAATAGGGAAAGAATAGGACAGCACTTTGCCACTCATGAGAATTTTTGAACAATTGTCTTAGAAATGTCTGTAATAATATTGTCTGGGTAAATGTGTCTAAGTGTATGTCAGTAGACCCACCTTAAACACCTGAGATCCAGGCTCATTGTAGGTTTTCGCATTCTTCACCAGCAAATCGATATCTTTGGACATACCATGAACACTTCTGTACTGGTTCATCTGCCCACAAACCCAGCAGATATAACAAACAAGACTAAAACAAAGTGATCGAATGAAGAAAGAGAGACACACCTGAATCTTCTGAGCAATCGTTTTCAAGTCAATGGGATCTTTGATGATGGCGTAATAATCAGGGTATTGCTGAAAGTACAAGTTTACTTCACACAAATCAATTTACAATTATAAATCAAAAACTTCCTGTGTCCTGGCCGCACCACTTTAGAAGGAAGCTGCTGAAAAAGTTTGCTGATAACTCGTCCAGAGGGCTCTGAGAAGGAGACCACCGCATCCAGAATCTGCTCTAAAACGTCCTTCAGTGTCAAAACTGGGCCCTGTTACACACAGTTTTGTATTTACTGAACGTTTGAGCATAAATAACCAAGTCTGTAACAACATCTGTGTCACCTCTTCCTCAGGATTGTCTTGTTCTTCATCCTCCTCCTCCTCGTACTCTCCACGCTGCACAAACTCGTTCTTGGTGCGGAGGTAAAGGTCCCACAGTTTGCAGGCTGCTCTGTATTCTGCACTGTCTGACTGCCGTAAACACACACGAGCATTTAAAAACCGCAAAAACATTATAATCTGGCAGTTTTTCTACCTTGTAATAACTCTTTGCATTCTTGAACAAAAGCTGAAAGTCACTGGTCAGCTGCTCCACGTCGTCATACTCCTCCATCTTTAGTTTCTGTTGGATTTTCATCATGTCGATGGGCTGCGACACCACGTGGTAATAGTCCGGCTGATTCCTTCGAGAAATAGACCAGGTTTTAGTGGTAGGGACAAAATCTATTCTTTTCAGTATCGCGATATTTTGTGTTGACATTAAATTGATTCGGTAGAGCATGTATCGCAATATTTAATCTTTTCTCTTTTGCTTTTTCTCTGAATTTTCTCTGGTAAATTAAGCTTTAAATGACTATTATGTCTGCTTTTTGTTACTCTATTACGTCTATTTTTTTTCAATAATTTCAGTGATATGCTGGGATCTTACCACTGATGTGAGAGATCGCCTTTTTAGAGAATAATAATGTCTTGTCCTGTAATAAAAAGTCCTGTGTCCTGTGTGTTCAAGGATGACGTTTTTTGCACCACCCTCCTAAGTTTTTTCTCATCAGTTAATGTGCTGACCATAAAAAATGTGAAGTTTGAGTCGAGCAGTCTTATTTTCCTCAACTTGTGTAATGCCTTTGGATAATATGGGAGACATGAATCGCAATATATCATAGAATAAAATAAGAATAGTTGCTGAACCGCAATAATATTGAATTGTCCCAAATATCGCATAATATCAAATCGTCACTTTTGCCAATCGCCCCCAGTAAGTTGTTTTTGAATATAATGTTTTCAAATATGTGTGAGGATAGTTGGATGGATTTTACAACAAAGCAAAAGAATGTGGTTTGAAAAAGTACCCCACTTTTAATATTATACGCAAAGTACCCCACGCTTAATAAAATTTTAACTGGCCGTAGGGTAGTAAAGCCCTTTTAGACTGACTCGTACTATACATCCATTAACTACAGTAAAAGGAGGTGACAAAACTGTGTAAAAGCTCTGTCATAACCATTTGCCAGAACATCTCTCCAAACAAAAACTAAGTGCCTCTTTTCAAAAAGCTGACAAACTGTAGTTGACCAAAATCCTTCAGGACTACAGTACGGGTCTAGTTTTTTCATGCCATTACAAATAATGCATTATGGGGAAATTGCATAAATGTACACCGTATTCTTGGTGAAGTTTATCTAACCCAAATAGTGATTACTATCCTGCAGCCAAAGCTACAAGTTCAAGGTCTCTAATCAATATATCAACTCTTTACAAGGATACTTTCACAGCAAAAAGTGACGAAAATGCTATAAATTTGGCAAAATGAATTAATTTGAGCACATTTTGTCTGCTTATCAGAGGATTTGCCAATGGGACAAGCAAAACTATCTTGTTTTAAAATATACAAGAAATGCCTGCCTTGAAATCAGAAATTAAAGTAACAGTTCTAGAAATAAGACTAAATGACCTGAAATCTTGTTTTAAGACAGTCAGAACGTACTCATATTTAGAGGGGAAAAAACACTCGCTTCAAGCTATATTTTATCATTTTTTGCAGTGCTCATTATTCCTCAACATGAATGGCAGATTTCACCTTCGTTTAGGAGCTCTAATAAAAAGCTCACACAACATGCGCCCCTGGTCATCCTTGTAGTCCCTGATGGTGTTGTAGAGTTCGTGACAAACAGCGATCTGTAAGGCACAAATCAATGAGTGAAATACCACAGTCAATCACCAAATTTGGGAGAAACGTGTAAAATTACAGGATCTACAGTAGGAAGGTTTGAGGTTCGTTTTCTCTTTCTGCCAAATGATGATATTGAAGAAGACGTCTGGCTGTCCTCAAAGTCCCCTGCACTCACACTGCTGGTGGGAGAGGTCGCTCGCCTTCTTTTCAGGGCCATGGCGCCCCCCTGACAGTCCCAACCAAAGAAAACACACATCATATTCTGTGCTAAATGAATGCTTTTTTATTTTTAATAAAAATGTACATGCACAAAAGTAGAAAAGCGACAATGTACTTTAGTAAACATAATTGCTCATTGTAAAATTCAGACTCTGTACATATTCTATTCTTGAAGGTTCTCTATAATTCATGTCAATTTATTTGAAAACTTGTATGAATTAATCCAAACGTTAATCTCAATAGGCCAGTTGTCATCCAGTCAACTAACAACATAATTTTGATTTGAAGGTAAATACATCTAAATCAATCACACAAATTAATTCCTACGTGATTGCCTCCCATACATGTGAGCATAGACATCTTCCAAAGACCAACTCTAAGCAATATGCAGTTATATTTTAGAATAACATTTCATACTATCATTGCACAAGAAAATAGACTATGCATGTGACCCATAAACCATAGGAAAGTCCTGATGTGACCCCACGTTAAACTCCTAATCAATGTGTACGAGGTGCTGTTGAATCATGCAAAAGCTTTTCCCATTGACCTGACCCCTGTCATCTGGTCTGGACCTGGTCTGGACAATAGTATAATAGATCCATGGTCTGGACCTGGTGTGGACCACCCGTGATGCTGCTGCTGCTGCTGCTGCTGCTGCTGCACATGTGATGCCTGCAGCTCCGGAGCCACAGTACCGCAGTGGTCCACCCCTTTTGCCGCCTGTGCCTCTGTCTCTGTGCCTGTGGTCTGAGCTTTAGCCTCTCGCTGCTAACCTGCGCCCGCGGCTGTCAGAGCTGAGCACAGGGGCCACTCGCCAGACACAGAACTGACGCAAAACACGAGCTTTCTGCGCAATAAAACAACGCCACTACTAGACACAAAAGGGAACGCTGTGATGGAAAAAAAGCCATTGCGATTATAAGAGCAGAAAAACTCGACGACACATGATGGGACACGTTTCATTTGGCCCAGGTGACACAGTTGTTAGCTTACCTTAAGTGACACCAGCGATACACTCTTTAAATGTATGCTATCAAAAACACAATCACTTATCAATTTTAAGACAAAAAAATCGACAAGTTAATAGGCGGCAATTTGAATTTCCGGTTAAACCCTTTCAAAATAAAACCACAATGGGGTGCAAAATGACCTGAATAGAATACATTTGAATTTAGCTAAATGCCTAAATATAAATAGTATAGTTATATAAAAAGTATAGTTAAAGTCAGCCACCATCACCATTTTAGTGTTTGTTTGACTTTGATATTTGAGTACGTCATAGACTGTATACAGATGAACAATGCTAAGCCTATCTTAATACAGTTCAATAGGGAAGTGCTCATTGACGAAGTTTCGCTCCAAATCGCTCGGCTAATATTGACTAAAGTAAACTCCAAGCTCAGTAATTAATTGTGTCACACTCACCATTTTGGGCAACAAAAAAATCATGGTTACTCTGATTGTGGCATAGACTGTATGTGATTATGTTGATACAGTGTTGGGGAGTAACGGAACACCTGTAACACTGTTACGTATTCAGATTACTCTTTTTGAGTAACTCTATTTCATTACAGTTACAACTTTAACGTCTAGTATTTTGAATACAGTTACTTTCTGAAAACCATGGGAATACATACTTTCTCATTTTAGGTCTTTAAGACGTCATAAAAAAACAACAACAACAAAGACAACGTTGTGTCCACACATCCAACAAGTCCAGGTGAACGGCAGCGAGCGAACAGGAGATCAGAACATGGAGGAGTCAGAGACAGCATCATCCGCACACGTTGCCAACTATTCAATTTGTGTGTGCACGTGTGCGTGCGCGTGTTATCCAACACTTTTGATATTAAAATATGTAATAGCTACCAATCAGAAACCAATCCAGCTTACTTTAGCAACCAAAGGCTGCAGTTTCTGTGTTTGTGTCAGTTTCAGATGTAAATCTGTAAAGCACTTTGTGTTGCATCTTTTGTATGAAAAGCGCTTCATAAATAAAATTTGATTGCTTGATTGAAATGTTTTCTACGAAAAAGCTGTGCCACGACTCAAAAAGTCTGGAGAACACTCATAGACTGCAAATATTAGGGAACACTGGTCTATGAAACTTGTGACGTTACATAATCATAATTCTATCCATCATACATCAGACAAATGTGTTTATTTTTTGCCGAACCGTTTCCTGCCGCAGGGTGGCAGCACTACGGCCACTTTCAGCGGGTGGCGCAGAAGAAGACGTAAACTAGGAAGTGCATCTTCCGTCTGTCACATGTGTTTGTTACATTTACCACAACAGTTGAAGAGCACTCGTCTACTCACTTATTTTCAGGGATATTTGCTGACTTATTTCTGTGAGGAACACAGTTTTGTGTGGAGTATTCTTTCCTCTGGATGAAAAGCTCCGTAAACAGCGACATGGTGAAGGAGAACAATTGGGATATTCCTCCAAACGCGCCCGCCTGCATGGAGCAGCAGCTCTGCGCGGCCCGCTACAGAGCAGGTGCCTCTATTTCACTGTTCAAACCATTCAAGCTTGTGACTATTCTGTCTGTGCTTATGTAGAGCATGCCAATGTAAGAACCATTTCAAGTAGTGGATCATGCAAGAGACGAAAATTTGTCCATTCATGACAAACATTTGTTTAAGTTTATGCCTGCATAAGTGTTCTGCATTTTGTTTTTTGTCCCATTCTCTTACATTGCCTCTGGAACTACACTTTCCTCAAACCAGCATATGTATGCATTTGGACATACATTATATTTGGATATTCTTACCTACCTTATCCCATTTGAGGCCTTCTTGAACTGGGGCTTCTTCAGATAAACATACATTTATGTTTACAAAAATGTGTTTACTTTACTATCAGCTACTTTTTTAACAACATTGGGATTCAACCTGACCAAGACCCTGATTCTAATAGACCTTCACTTGTATCCACAGATGGGTCATTGCTGCTCGCTGCTTCCAGTCTGACCGGCAGAAACTGGCAGGGCTCTGTGTGGGTCTACAGTGACCCTACACAGGCTCCCAACGAAGGCTTCTGTAAGGCGGGCGTTCAGACAGAGGCCGGAATTACAGACGCAAAGTGGCTTTCCGAGAAAGACTTTGTCCTCGCATCTGACTCTGGTGAGCGTTCGTCTTTCCCAAAGACATACAATTTACAATACAATTTATTCTTGTATAGCCTTAAATCACAACAGCAGTCATCTCAGGACTTAAAAAAAACATTGAAATTGCCAACACAGATCAGAGAATCAACAGTTAAGACACAAAAAAGTGTCCTGGATCATCACCACAATCATTCTTGTTAGACAATAACCGTCCAACAGACCCTCCGGCATCGGCAAGGAAAAAATGAGGAACTTCAAGGAGATCCACATTTTTGAAAGAGGGATCCGCTCCCACGGACGGACGGGCTATAGATCCAGGACCTAAGTCAGGACCGAAGAAACTCCCAGGCAGGTCGGGCAGGGCAGTCTGCAGGTGTTGATGGAGGAGGCCAGGCTCAGAGGTCCCGTTGTCGCACCATGAAACAGACCATTGGACAACGGGTGAATAGCAATGAACAGACTACAGTAAAAAATCTTAATAATGGAGGATTATGGAGTTATGTGCTCCCTCCTTTTGGTACCTGTTAAGATTCTTGCTGCTGTATTTTGAACAAGCTGGAAGCTCTTCAAGGAGGTTTTAGGGCACGCTGCCAGCAAAGCTTTACAGTACTTAAGCTTTGAGGTGACAAAAGCGTGGATCAACTTGGCTTTCCCAGACTCCACAAGGTCGATGATAGAGGTTTAATCAGAACTTTGAATCAAACTTGCAGGGTAATCCGCATACCCTACTTTGAAAACAATTGTTCTAGAATGATTCTTTTTCTTTTAGACTTTATTAGAGGTGTACTGACCTGAAAACTTGACCTGTTGATGCCACTTGTCTTCCTTACGGTGGTCAAAACAATCAAACTACGATAGCAAGTGTCAAAACTAGATACCTATTTGATAAAGTATCAATGCCAAAAAAATTGCATGAACAGACAAATTTTGACATTTCATAATACATTTTAAACTAGATCAAAAGAACTCGTGTGAAACCTTTTGGCCCCATCAAAAGTATTATTTTGAGTTTAAAGATGACATTATTATCCCAAAAAAGCATTTATAAGTAATTGATGTGATATTGAAATTGATACAATATTTTTTAGTCTCACTAGACTGTCATATTGCTGTGGAACATTCCAGGCAAAGCAATAGACAAAAGTTTTATGTTGCATTAAAAAAAAATGTATTTCTTGCACAGGTGCATTAGAGCTGTGGGAGCTGACGGACAATGAGAGTTTGCTAGTGAACCGATGGACCAAATATGAGCACGACGATATAGTGACCAGTGTGAGCCCCATGTGTGCGGCGAGTGGAGCTGTGACCGGCAGCATGGACTGCAGGTGACTGATCGCAGAGATATTTATACTAACACACCCAGGGTTTATGATAATGACTCATTTTTCTGTTGTGTCTAGAGTTAAAGTCTGGGATCTAAGTCAAGAGACTGCCGTCGCCACCTATCATGGTAATTGTTTAATGCAGCAGTTTGCAGGACATTTTCCCTTGTCATAGTTACATCATCTGCTTCAAAATTATTTCATATCGGACGTCAAAACAAAAATGAATTATATTCCAAATAATTGCTTGAATTGATGTTACAGCCAGTTTAGTAAAATTTTCAGCAATTTTAAACAAAATGCCTTTTTTTCTTTTTTCTTTCCCCAGCTCACACGCAGCCTGTGGACTGTGTTGTTTGCAGTCCAACAGATGACTCTTTGTTTGTGTCATGTGGACAAGTAAGAATTTTGTAATCATTATTCAAAACAAACTGCATTCACATTTCAAACGTATCGATATATAACAGTTTGAGTAATGTAATCTCATTCTGGTGGCATCTTCTCCTTACAGGATGGCCGAGTGTTGTTGTGGGACAAAAGGAAGTCGACTAAACCAGCCTCAAAATTAGGTAACCATTGTTAAATTTAGTTTTCAGTGATGATTGGCGTTGACATTGTTTTTTAAATTAAATCCTCAATATGTGTATTTTCCTCACTCAGATGTACCAAGTCCTCTCTGCTCCTCAACAACTGTAGCCTGGCACCCACACCACAAAAGCACAATCGCAATTGGTTTGTACAATAATGGCTCTAAGCAATACTGTACATTGATAAACTAAAACTACAATGTCTGATCATCTTTTCAGGCGATGAATTGGGTAGGGTTACTTTATTAGATTTCAAGACGGCGGAGCCGGCTCTGATTCAAAACGTCCACAGTCGCAGAGTGAATGAACTGTCCTTCTCCACACACAGGTGAAACAAACTTTCGATCCGTTAGAAACAAACTTTCACCTGCAGCATTATTATTGTTCTTTATTTACATACAGCTTTTTCTTCCAATTTCAGCTCTGCTCTGCTGGCTTCAACCAGCGATGACTGTTCTGTAGCGGTGTTTGACTCTGAACTCAAAGAAATGTAAGTGTTCGCATCCATTATGAAATTCTGATGTTGGCTACCCTGCTTCACTGCCATGTTGGCGCTGTATAGTGATTTATTTGTCTATATCCCTACAACAGTCATCTTTAAGACTTGTTTATTCACTAACAACATATCAGGAAATCAAACTGGGGCTAAAATGATTTGTATTCAAAATGTTCTTAATGTTTCAGTCAAAAGTATTGTTTGCTTAAAGATTGATCATCGTTAACAAATTCAAATATACTGTTATGTTGTTCCAAATTTTCTTTTAGTTATATAGGAGGGGTTCTCATATTGACAAAAATGTATTTGTTTTCATTTTCAACAGATATCGAGACCGGCGTCACCAGGACTTTGTCAAAGGCGTGAGTTGGCTTCATGGAAGCTCCACCTCTCTGAGCACTGTGGGCTGGGACCATGCGGTTCTGCACCACACAGTGGGCTCAGTTCCCAACTCCTCCTAGATTCAAATACTTCTCTGTGGAAATGGCATTTAAACAGATTTTGCACACTGCTTTAAGTTGGATCATTCTGTGTTTTATGGAAGCTTTACAAAAGCACCTCTTGCCAACAATAAGTACACCAAATATGTCATCCTGGTTATGTTGTTTGTAGTGTTTAAATCTACATTAAAAGTACTGTATTAATGATGTAGTGTTTTTCATGAAGGGCACAATCTCTTGCAGGTTCTTTGAAAGCGGCTGGTTAGAACTTCCTGAATGTTACTGTGTGTTTTACACACGGCACTGAGAAGCAGAACATACAACATTGTATTTCTTTTTTTTGGGATCTTTATGTAAACGTTTACCAAATGTATTTGATCTTGAAAAGCAGCACCCCTCATAGTGCTTGTCTTTTGATATTTAAAAATATTAGAAATACATTATAGACATTATCTACATGCAAACATATACTTCATCCAGTTTTACAACCTTGGCCCATCATTAGTTCATATAACAATATAAAGAATTGCACTGGTGTATGAAACTCAAATATAGTTACATCTACTATTTAAATGTATTGTTAGTGAAGGCTACAAATGGTTGAATTCCCCTGATGTTGATGAATTGGCTGAAATAATGAGTATTTGTGTTTACACAATGTTTTATTAAAGCTTAATATTAGCAGTATTTACATTGTGTTTCAAACCATACAAAATTAAACATAAAATAGCATATTTTCATATAAATATAACACAGTATCAAGACATTTTGTCAGCAATAAAAACATTGTAACAGTGAAACGTTCCAATCATGGCATTACAACACCTTGGATTACTTTATGATTATCTCACAAATGCTTGCATGATCTACCCTCATTCTCTAAAAGCGGTTTCACCACCTGTAGGCTTTTGTCAGGAGGATAACTGTTACACGTGTGACAGGCACAATATAATGGGATTACCCATCATGGCTAAAACATGACTTCAAACTTGTGCGTGGGACAATTATTAGCATGTGTCGAAAAGTGCTTCTGGGTTGGACATTCAACAAGGTCAAAGTATCTTCATTTCAGTGTAGTATTACGGGTCGCCTTTACTAACCAGCGTAATAGGCTGTTTGGTTCCAGGTCGAACAGTGAATGTCATGCCATACTGATGTTTCGAGGGTCCATTGCTACAAAAAAGAACATAAAAATAGTTAAGTCATATAAGTGCACTATGTCACTTTTATTTAAGCAGAGAGGTTCACCATTTACTTGTGTTCAAAGAGCTGCCATTGCTTCAATAATAAGTATTGTTAATACTTTAACAATAAATTGCTAAAGTATTAACAATATAACAGGCAAAGCAGGAACATCTTGATGAATACAAGCAGGTGCCAGAGCCTCCACCACTACTGAAATTCTGAAAATGTTAGCATTTTAGACTTTTGCGGCCACATCCAAATTCATACTACATGCATCCTTCCTTGCCCTTCTTGTTTACTTTTGTGGCTCAAACACAAATCTATTGAAATCCTATTCCAAAGATGTTAAATTTCACTTTTCATTTATTCAAATGTTACCAAGAAAAGATGTCTCTTTGAACAGGTTGATGGGCCCTTCTATTGGATTTTCATTTCCTTTACTGACTTGTTACACACCTTGTTGGAATAGGGATTCTGTTTGGCTCTGTGTGTTTCTTGGTCACTTTGGTCTGCAGCTCCTTCATGTCCAGTGATGATTTATTGACCATTGGGCTTTTTGGCAAACTCACTTTCGGCATTGCAGTTACTTCAATGTCTTCTGCCGAACCCCAATCGTCCGCATTAGACTCTGGCTCACCCACATCAGAACTCACTTTCTGATCCATCTCCATCATCTTCTTTTTGAGGATGTTCAGGAGAGTGGCTTGGCTGGGCGTTGTGGGAGTAGGCAGTGGAGTTGGAGCCGGTTTGGGTTTGACCAGCACTGGGGGTGGCTTGGATTTGGCCGTGCTATCCAAATGAAGAGGAGGAGCCTTGGGTGGAGGTGGGGGTGTGATGGCGGGTTTGCTTGGACTTTGAATGACAGGGGTAGTGATGGCTGTCTGTACAGGTTCTTTAGGGGGTGTAGGGGGGACATACATAGGACTAGGTGCCGCTTTTTTTGGCGGGTCAGGTGGTGGCATGGAAGGAGGTGGCTCTATCTCTTCAAAATCAACAAACTCTGGTGGGGGAGGAAGGAAAGGCACATCTAAATCAGCTTTAATATTGTCTGCTTTTGGAAATTCTGATGTTATGCTTGGGAAATCTGGTTCAACTGCTGACTTGCTTGGTGTAAAATTTGCAGACGGCACAACCGGATTTATTGCTTGTTTTGTTTTGTTTGGTACTGCGTAAATTGGTTCAGACATTGGACTCTCTGGTTGCCCTTCCATTGAATCGAGTGACAAGCTCGAACCAGAGTTGGTAGACAGTAACGAATTCCGGTTTGCATCACTGTTTTCATGTGAGCTTGATCTGTGTTTGTCCCTTTGCTTCGCGGCCATCAACAGTGCGAGAGGGGATCGGTCTTTGGGAGCGCTCGGGCCACTGAGGTTGCGCAGCTTTCGGTCTAATAATGGACTGTATTTGCCATTAAGGCTTGGTGAAGACGCATCTGGCTTATCTAACCGATCGACTTTTGCGTCTTGTAGCCCGTGGACTTTCAGGAGCGGAGAAGATGGAGTTGGTTTATTAATCTCTTTCAAACTTGCAGCCGTGAGCGGTTTGCGTGCAGGGGTCGGTGAAGGCTGCATTGATGGGAGAGGCGGTGTTGACGGGAGAGGCAGTGTTGATGGGGGAGGCGGTGTTGATGAAGGAGGCGGCATTGATGGGGGAGCCGGAATTCTTATCTTTGGAGCTGTCTCTATTTCCCTCAACTCTTGCATCGGCTTCGGAACCACCGCCTTTATATTTTCTTGAACATTCGCTGATTTGGGTCGTCCGTTTGTGTTAGTTTGAAGAGGTCCTGCTCCTGTATCTTCAAGAAGTAACTTTGGCTTGATTTTTGGGCCTGGTTCTTCGTAACCATTCAGAAATGTGGATTTGGGAGCACTGTACAGCTTTGCAGGGGACTGGGGGTTGAATGTAGACAATGTCGGGGTGTGTACTGGGGGAGGAGGTGCAGGGGTGTGTGGGGGAGAGTCCATACTCTGCACGGACGATATTCGAATAGGCTTCGGGGGTGGGTGCTTGACAGATTTTGGTTTTTCAGGAGGTGGCTGCGGTGGTGCATATTTGGGATGCTCGGGAATGTTGGGACTAGAAATGGGCACAGAACCGCTTGATGTTGTAGACTGTGGCTTTGGTGGGGTCATCGGTGGAGGGGCCAAAAAGTTGAAATTGTCTTCTTGCAGAGAGACAAATTGTGAGGCTGGTTTTTTGGCCGACGGTGTAGGGGGGCGGAGAGTGTTGAGGTCGCCCATGAACTCTGGAGGAGGGAGGAAGAAGAGCTCCTCGGGGGGAGGAGGCGGCGCCATGGATGGAGGAGCTGGGACAGAGATCTCACCCTCAATCGGGTCGGTTACAGATATAGTCGATCCGTTAGAGGACTGGTCGTCGCTCACTGAACATAAGAACAAAACAGGAAGAGAAAACACATTATACAAATTGTCCCAGAATCATTAAAGAGCATTGGGATGAGAGAGACTTTATTCAACTCACAGTGGGGAAATTTCAATGTTGCAGTGCACATACAGGACTGTAAGAGGACACAGGAGCACACAATATACTATATAAGTAGCTGCTATGTTTCTCAGCCAGCTGTGAAATATCAACATATCTGACTATATCGATCTATATTTAGTGTAAATTATATCCATATCTGGCAGGATGATAAGTATTCCATCATCCACGTTTGAGGAACATCTAAAAAGCTCGCTCTGTCTGCAAGAAAGAAAATTGTGGAGAGAGCGTTCTAGATGTCCACTAAACAGAACACAAACACATTAATTTACATAGGAGTTTAGGGCCAGCAGGGCCTAAATATGCTTTTAAATCTACCGTATGAACAATATTTAGTTGTATTTTAAAGTTGGAGTACCTATTTTTTTAGAAATGTGTTTTATTAGAAGAAGCCCTGTGAGTCACTATTTGACTCTTTTGGCTGAGAGATGATTAGCTGAGTGAGGGTCTATTTGTCACCTTTCTGTCTGAAAATGCTTATTTAAGATAAGATCAACTTTATTGATCACACAATGGAGAAATTTACATTTTAAGATGTGATGAAGGAAAAAATTACATGCATGTGAACTCTAATGAGTAAATACATAGTTATCTTCTGGTTTAAAAGTTAGATTTAATGTGCAGTGCCCACATTATGAATTTTAGTCCCTTTACTCTTTCAGCAAAAGATTTGTATAATCTTTATCTTCTTGCTTTGTCTTATCAGATGATCGATCTTTCATAGAGATAATATTTTTGTATATGCATATAATAATAACATAAAGAAATTCAAACAAAGCCGCAAAACATATCCTTCACTTCTGCCAAATTGCAAACAGTCTTTGTCTGCTACAACGTCTACCATGTTTCAACCATTTCAAGTTATTAAGCAATTTCCTGGACAAACATTTACTCGAACCTGATTTTCCAACCTATTGTGGATACACTGAAAACACAGAGATCTGTCAAATCTATCAGATCTAAGACGCCGTGGATAATCGTTGTATAAATAATGACATTCTCAGAACATGTCCAATGTTCAAAGTATATGTTGACAGTCATTAAGAGCTTACCTGAACCATTGATCTTTGCACCATTGAACACTGGTGAATAGTGGGGCACTGTGGGTGTAGGGACAGCAAACGCCTGGAAGTTGTCAGACGACTGCGAAGGGAAAAGAAACATTTAGGAACATTTGTGATTTTTTTTAGAGGAGCAAAGAGGCAACAATGAGCCCTGCTGCTGCTAATGGACGTGGGAACTTTCCTTGTGTTGAACCTGAGAGCAGGCAAACCAGTTTTGAGGCATTGTCCTGGCCTGCAAACAGGTTAGCATGCTCTCACATCTTGATACTTGAAGAAGAGGATCCTTTAGTTCAAAAGCAAATCTGGCCTGACTTCTCCTGATGATTTACTTTAGTGGGTATTATTTCCAAATGTACTCACAATCGCAATACTTTTTTCAGCCAGATGTAGAACTCTATTCCCTTTAAGTTACATAATGAATCTAATCTCATAATCAGGCTTAATTTATTCAAAACGCATGTGATTTATTTTTTTATATTTTACCATCTTATTATATTTTACCATCTTATTATCCTATTTTATTTATATTGTCTATTGTCTTAAATAATAGACTATTTGATGTGTGCAATCTGAGTGCTCTTATTTCCTTCTTTCTCCGCTCTAATGTGCGTAACGATGACATTTCTCCACTGTGAGACGAATAAAGGAATATCTTATCTCATCTATGGACACATTTCAAAAACACAAAAACATACACTTCCCATGCATGAGTATATACTGTATTTAAGTCTAAAACCTTTTTCTTTTTCATATAAAATAACTTCCTGTAAGATTGTGACTAAAGCATATTGTGTATCCCTAGTTTCATTTTAGATAAGCTCAACTAAATTACATAAACTATTACACAAACAAGGATTTGTTGATACAATATGGACCGCTATGCAGGTACATCCTCCTGAAGGGCAAGAAGTCCATTTCCAAGACAAATGCAGTCCACTATTGACCAAAGGGGAATTTACACCCTTCTTTCTTACGTCTGTACTCCTCGGCCTCATGATGCATCTTCCAGGTATCGTAACAACACAACCAAAAGGCTAAAGTCTTTTGGCAGCCGGCCGGACCTCGCACCTTGGATGACATTGCTGTGATTTTTCTCATTGTGTTGACGAGGATCTAAATCTGATTCTGATGCACGCCCTGCAGAGAGAGGGCGTGCCGCTCGATGTTTGATTTCGTATTTTGTTCGTGAACATATGACTCACTTTCATTTGTGGCTGCGCTGGGTGGGGCGGCTCAGCACATGCCTCAGACACACACTCCACTACACTCCCAGACGGCAAGGTGTGTGAATCTGGCCACTGTGAGTATGTTGTATTGTTCCTACTAGTAATGTTCCTACTAGTAATGTTCCTAGCATGGCAATGTGATATGGGACGCGATCAATAAGGTCAATACACACTCATAAGTCTTTCTCAAGCTCGGATATAGAATATTCCTCAAAGGTGAAAACATGCATAGACGTATACCAGGGGTGTCCAAACTTTTTAATGAGAGGACCACCTGTTTCACTAGCCGACAACAGGGAATCTAAAAATGTTTTGAGTGGATTTGGGGTGTTCTGTATATTGTATCTAAATAAACAAATATCATTATGTACAAATAAAGTTGTATTCCAAAGGTTATGATATTTACAGCAATGTATATAATGACTATATTGATGGAGCTGAAGTTGGCTGGATGGCAAAGTGAAAGTACCACAAGGGCTAGTTTGTGTTAGAAAGGCAGAGGGCCACTTAAAATGTTGGACGCATTTGGCCCACAGCCCTTAGTCTGGACATTTTGGCCTGGTATATACTTCCTGCTCTGGTTTAGTTTCAGGTTTCCGGATAATCTTGAACTTCGACCAAAGGAATTTGGAAGGATACAGTATTTTAACACAAAATTGATGAATTGCTATTGCTAAATAAAGTAATTGAAATAATTCCAAAATACCAACTCCTGACATGTAATTTATCGTTTTTCAATATCTCATGTCTTCGGATTGATACACTTCTCTGTATTCAATTATTTAGACAAAACACTACTCAGAATGTGAAGACAAATGAATTCATATTTCATTCAAAAAGGAGAAAAATCTGTCAAACCTTTTCCAATTAACTTGATATCATGACATTACAAGTCATTTATTTTACAGTACTTTACAGTAACCTGAAAGTGAACAATATTAAATTTTGTATTTCAATATTAATAATTGATGACTATATAATATACTATTGAAACATATCATAACTGTGGGAGGAAAAAAACAAGAAGAGAGTCAAAAAAGTGCTGTACACTTGTATCACTGTCTACAAGAGACTCAATCATTCTAGAATTTTAAGCTGTTTGAGGGTTCAACTCTTACGGCTACAGATACATTTTTAGAATTTCTTAAAAATCTTACAAAAATTAGAGGTTTCAAACCATGTCTTCACTTTCATCTACTTTTACAAAACAAAAAAGGCAGTTATACAATAATGTCTACCTGAAAGAGAGTCACTCACAGTCTTGGATGGAGTACAAAGTCCGCATTCACAATAATAATAGACATGTAATGCATAATTGGATAATATGTATAGTTTATAGATTGAAAGGAGATCTTCTGGGAGAACTCAAGCCAAAATTGTCTAAGTATTTGCTCACATGTTTTTATTTTCTAAGAACCAGTCTGTGCTTCAGGAGATAATTGTTTACATTGTTAGTAAATAAGTGACAGGACTTCAAGCAGTCTGTAGTTTTAGTGTCTTTGCTGCACTCACAGAAAAGTGTTTGACCGTGGGCCGCGCTCTTACGCTGGCAGTCCCAGACTCCAGGATGCTGCCAGAGGCCAATACCAGCTCCACACCATCTGGAAAAGATCACACACGTACATTAAATAGTTTTATACACAATACAACAGGGGTCTCCAAAGTTTTCAGTCCAGGGCCCCCAAATCATCCTTGCAGCCGATTCAAAACAGGTCGAGTCTAAAATGTTAAAAATTATATTATGATAATGGCAATAATGATAAATATAACAAAATGGGTAATTCACATGAACTCCAGACATATTTTGTTTCCCTTTAGTGTGAAATGTATCATTTCGATTACGTCACAGCAGTATTTAGGGGCACATTAAAACCTAGGTAACAGAGCAATATAGCACTGTTTATATTGAGTCATTCCAGATTGGTCTGACGTCATGAAGCTGAGATGTGATTCACACTTCAACTTTGGACAATATTATGTCGTCGGCTGTTCAGCTTTTTGTACCTGTAAAGTTATTAAAAGGTAAAGATAAAAACATTTCAAAAGTCAAGAAAAGGTCTGAGTGATCTCAAGGTATTTCCCCCGCAATCATTTCTATCTTCCACTTTGTTTCATAAGTGAGCGATGAGAGGCACCTGTCACTGAGAAATATTTAGTCTTGCTCTTTTGTCGCCTAATACTTTCACATAACTCAAAAGAGCCTTACTATACAAACAAACTCTACTTTATTACTAAATGCATATGCTTGTTATGCATGATTAATATTAGCCAGCCCTTCATGAAAACCTATTTTACTTCTAACAGAAAAGTGAGTGTTTTTATACATTACAACAAGTCATTTTTCAAAATGATTAATGAAATAGATTGTAATAGTTTGTTTTAATTATATAATACTTAACTTTAAGCCAAACAGAGACTTCTAAAAGTTCACTGGAGTGCACACCTGGGCCATGGCTTCTCTCATTTACATTGCACAGATTGTATTAGACAAATATTGTTTCCTTTCTGTGGTTTCAGTGCACCTGTCAATGTCAAATCCTGGAGCATGAGTTTTCATATCAATGATTCAATCTTTACTTCAGTGATTTACATTTGACAGCTTTGCATTATTTACATACTTAAATTATATATACCCTTGCTTAAGGTTAAAAACAGTCCAATGTGAGGAAATATCTTTTTGTAACTGTATTTCTATTAAACAACTGGTAAAATGTGCTATCACACCAACAACTTAATTCCCAATTTTCAAGGTTTTATTACCCCTTCGTAAACTAATTATTACTACTTTATGACTGTAAATATACTCTAGTGTCATACATTCCCTTAATGGCCGCTGTTTCTAGAATTAATAACCCATATCTAACTCAATTACACACAGCAATTGACAAGATGCATGTAAGTAGAAAGACTTTCAGTATCTCAGTGTTCCCCACAGGCCCCATTTTTATAATGTGATTTTATTAGAGATAAAAGTCATGTCTAAAACCCTTTTTGTCATCAACTTTCCTTTGTTCAGCTTGTTTTTAGACAAAAAGAAACACTGTCTGGATCTGTGATATTGTATCCTCATGACTAATGCTAGATTTACCAAAAGGCAGATTCAGCTGGAAATTTTTCCCTAAAAATTCACTTTTTAATATACTGAACTCAAATGTTTAAACTCAAGCTGCTATTTCTGTATTGACATAAAGGCCAGAAACAGGTCAGTGTAAGTCCAAAGGTTGCGGTGTCAGTGATAATGCCAAATTTATGAGGCTCTGGTCAAAGCAGTGCTCACCCATGTCCTTCATTTTCACGTTGGTTGCAAACAGCGACTTGTCCTTTCGGCCCAGGAGGTGGAGCGAGCCCTTCTTCATTGTGGTAAGTGAATACTCGCACAGAAAAGAGCAGAAAAACTACCCGCACATGCTGAGCAGAAAAAAAGTCCTCCACAAGTGAGTGCCTGTGTCGCAGGCTCAGGTGCGCTGCTCTGATCCAGAGGTTCTACTCCTGCACAAGGCCCCGCCCCCTGCGCTACACGCAGCTCTGCGTCTGTACGTCACGCGCACAGGTGAGGCCTTGGCCACGTGCCAGCTTCCCCCCCCACCTGCAATGTAAACATAGGTCACGTGACCAGTCAGCGATATCAGCAGGAGACCAGAGGTACCCGTCTTTAGACTTTCATAGCGCATAATCTACATTCTGGAATAAGTTATTAACTTATTATACTACAATTTCACGTAAAGTAACAATGAACTCTATGCTAATGCTAATGTTTGCCTTTATCATATCATAATCCACCTATACTTCTAATATGAAATCACTCGTGTCAATTTCACTTAGGATGCGACATTTAATTACCCTGGTTAAAACAAAAAAGAAATGAATGAAACTATTTGTGAAGATATGAGGGACATGCAAAACAAGTCAACACAAGTAAAGTTTATTATGTATTTATTATGTTATTGCAATTGTTTCCATTAGCTATGGCATTTATTTTTTTTGGCAAAACAAATCTATTTGGTACAATTTCGGAGAATTTACAGTTAATATTTTTCTGATGAAGGGCAACGCCCAAAATGTCATTCTTCTGGAGTGAGGAATAAACTTATATCATTTGTTGTGAACTTTTGAGATTTGCAATCCATTTTGCATTTCCATATTATGCCTTCCTCCTAAAGATCTGGATATGTGTGTCTCCCCAGTTTTCTCTGCTTTTCTATAACCATTGTAAAATAAATGAGACGTGTCAAAGCCATATATAAACCCTGCTATTGTTTTGGTGGAGTCTCCTCACCAGATGTACGTCATAGGAGGGAGAGACGTGAGATCAGAGGGGCTGGAGATGATGCTAAAGAGGATCAGAGTGGTGCAAAGTCCCTGTGATCCGACCTGCGCGAGTCGCCACGGATCAGAGACCTCAAGGTTTTACACACATGTATGGTCCTGCTTTATCCATGACCCATAACGCAAACACTTTCAATCAATAGATGAAGAGCTGCCCAAAGCAGGGATGAGCCCAGGACCCCATTGTACAACAAAAAAGAATAGTGTTATCATTATCATTTGACTTGTATTATACAGATCTACTGTATACTTAAGTTATTATTAGTAACATGTATTAGTTTAAACCCTAAAAGGCATTTTCAAAATGGAATTGTCTTATTTATAAATGCATTATCGACAAGTTCAAATAATCATATGGTATTTATTTATTTAAAACACATCTTTTATTTCTGGTATTTACTCTGGAGAACCATGCATTCTTCTGTGAGAGGGTTTTCATTCCACAGATACTATACAAATTGGCTATTCTTTTTTAATTCATCGTATAAGAGTATTCAATAAATTCTAACCTTCTTTGAATTACTGGATTGGTCTGAGAAAGCGTGCACTGCCTCACTAATCAGATAATGACACATTGTACGTGTATAGAATGTCCTGGAAGACAGTCCATGCATTTGGCTGAATCAGCGCGTCGTCGTGGAGACACAGAGGACTGGTCTGGCCTGTTCTCTCCGATGATCCTCTAATGTCAGGAATGTGCTTCGACCTTTTGCTTTCTTCACCTAAAATGTTACACTCACTTGATTATGAAAGCACCATCCACCACATTACAACGCGACAGGCACAAAGAACCATAAGTCAAGTCACTCACATGAACATGCTGTAAATGTCGCACATAGTTTCATGAAAAGATGTTGATGACTGGTTGTTTATTACTGCATTACATAATTCTAGAGCAATGAATACAACTTCTTCTAAGCTGGTGAGGGGAATGTCGTTTCCTCATCATTACAGCATATTCATAAGAATTTGTTTTCCTTCTTTTCATGTTTGTTCATGCTGCTTGAATGTACATACATCATATTGTATGTAATGTGACCAATATATTCTCTGCCACCAAACATGATCTTAGCTTCATAAAATCAACATCATCTTCTTCATAATTACACTTGACATTATGTTTTTAGTAGATTATGTACAGCAATATTTAGATACTGTAAGTGGGTCATGAATTTGTTTTTGCAGAATTTAGCTTGCAAAATTAGTTTCATAAGCAATATACACTTTTCAAATGCAAAAAATAATTGTGGTTACACCATATCATGGCTACAACTCAATTTTCCTTACAAATATGAATAAATTGTGTAGCTTAATGATTCAGCGTCTATCACTACTTTAGGCACCTACTGTAATTACTTTTCGGAAATCTCACAAATTGTGGAGCCCTGAAAACTACAAAGAATATTGTAGGGGGAGGTTTTATGGGATTCCAGTTTGCCGTAAAGAAAGATTCCTGGATTCACAAACTAAGTGTTAATTGAGAAGTTAGATTATTATATTATTGAAATAGAAACTAAGCCTGAATCCTTCTGGGCAATATTCTGTCAATTTGCATCAAACTATTTTATTATTTAAATTGTTTTCCTTTTGAACAGATTCTATGTCAAAACCGATAAATGTTTTTTCTTTATTTAGTAAGTAAGTAAGTAAGTAAGCTTTATATATATATTTAATCTAATTGAACATAGATGATGGTTCCAGCTTTGTGGGCCTGTTGTTATTGCTGCGTTGGCCACAGAAGGAGGAGGAGCCTGTTTAACCCAGTGACGGGGCTCTTCTGAACTGGGGTAAGCTCCAACGCCTCCTACGTAAAGAAGACTTAACCAAACAGGATTTAGAAAAATATTTAGAGTCAAGTGTTATTCAATTCACACAATGGCCCCAAATCCACTTCATAAAAATTTACATAACCAAACAAGTGGATTGTTTCATGATATAGACCTATTTTACACAAAACATATTTAAAAGCAGAAATGTTTTAAGGATAATATTGCAATAGTTTTACTCAATATCTGTTAATTTACTTCAATATAATTAATCCATTCCCTTTGCACTTAAAAAACAGCTTTGCAGATGTCTAAATCCAAATGTTTACTAGTATTGACCTGGTAGCACCTATCTGTGACAGTTCTCTGGGCAGTAGCAAGCGTTTCCAGGGTCTAAGGTCTCTTTAATTAGTTAATCCTGTGTGTCAGGCAAAGGGGATTATATATTCTGCTAATTTCACTCTATGGCCATATAGCACAAGGCAGCCGGGGGTTTCCTCACAGATTACAAACCGGATCAGCGGTGGAAACCTAATTCTTACTAAAGGAGTATTTTTTTGTATTTGTTGAAGCTGGAAGTAGAAATCCATCATGGGCAACAGCAACAGAAAAGGTGTGGAGGAGATGCAAGAGTGTGAAAGCCATCAGTGGTATCGAAAATTCATGACCGAGTGCCCATCAGGACTTCTGACTTTCTACGAATTCAAGAAGTTTTTTGGCCTGACGAATTTGACCGAGTCTTCAAACGAATACGTCAAGACAATGTTTCAAACTTTTGATATGAACGATGTAAGTGATTTTCTGTGTGTGATTGGCTGTGTCAGGGTATGTTGTTGCTGCTGCAGAGTAAAGCTTGTTTATTTATGGGCGAGGGTCAATGGATAATTACCAGAGGGGCTCATCCCAGTGACAATGGGCTGGACATAGAACAGGTCATAAGCATTCATTTGTATTGAGAATGTTATGACAATATTATTAAAAGTTCTGCAACGTTTTAGTAAAGATTTAATGCATGCATATTATATCTTGGTATGAAAAATGGTTTGTTATTATTTGCACTTATTACACAGTTATTGTTACATGTACATTTCTCAATTATGGATGACGTTAGTGCTTAAGAAACTGATTTTATTCTGGGATGACTCGCCTCTCTGCAGATATGACTTGTAACTTATTTTAGCGAAGCCACGTGCTTGTTTCTAATATAAAAGGAAAGTTTAATTAATTAATGACAAACTACAAATATCCAGGAAAAACAACAACATCTTTGATAAACCCAAGCAAAAGCGGGCCCACCAACCCTGACCATAACCCAACAGTCGAGGAATTCAATGCAAAAAAATGATAAAATATGGGGTAATATTTATTTTATAATTTTAAGGGAGACATTTCTTGTATCTTTTTAATAAAAAATAATTTGGTCTTTACCCATTTGCAAATCTTGTTTCAAGGCAGTCAAAATGTGCTCAAAATAAGATACATTTTTCAACAGTGTTCAACTTTAACAATCTATTACAGTATCAAGGGGGAGTTTTAGTTTTGTTTGTTTTGTTTAGGTCATATGTGATTAATGGCAGAAACTATTGTACAAGACACTCACACATAATTCATGAGGGTTATTAATGATTGAATGCTCCTGAATCTGATCTTTGATGTATCTGTGTGTGCAGGACGGCTACATAGACTTCATGGAATATGTAGCAGCTCTGAGCCTGGTGTTGAAGGCCAATGTCCAGCAGCGACTGAGGTGGTATTTCAAACTCTACGACGTGGACGGAAGCGGCTGCATCGACAGAGACGAGCTGCTCCTCATTGTTCGGGTGAGCCCAGACACCTCTACTTCAAATCATCTTTCATATATTATTGTTATCAACGTCTGTGTTCTTTTACTTGGAACATAAACCAATTGCATACAGACAAGGGATGGGCACAAAAAAAACAATTCGATTTTTTATTTGAGATAGAAAATCATATTGTTTAAGATTTCTGCCATTAACATTTACTTTTAAAACAATTTACTTTTCTTATTATCACACATTGGTAAGTAGTAATCAAGAAAATAAGAAATCATTCTGGCAACTTCAGCGCAATCAAGTAAATTATATGTTCATGCCATACCTAATTTTAACCCTTTAGGGGCCTTAAGTTTTATCTAAATGTGTCAAACAGACAAAAGATGGAGCCCTGACCCCAAGATAGGCAATGACTAAAATTAATAACACAAAATAAAAAATGTAGGGAAACCTTTGTGGCATACAGACATACATCAATGACTAAATGGCATTCTTTCTATACATGATAAGAACGCTGGATTCAAGTCTAGATTTTTTCTTATCTGCAAAATACAATATAAAAACGATTATTGTTGTGTGGCTGTGTGTAATTATTTAGAAATAAAATTAGAAACTGTAAATATAGTTATCTACTGTACAGTACAGGTCTCTGCCCAGAAATGTGGTCACCTATACTGTAGATAACTATATTTACAAAACTTTGAAAATGGTTGAAAAGTTGGATGCAGCAGAAGAAGAAGGTATAACTCATGCCTACATTGGGGGAAAAATCTTCCTAGCATAGACAACCTGCGTAGAGAATGGAAAACATACAATGACTGAAATAGCTCAGAATCCCACCAGAATTAGGGGCAGCCTGGTGTTTTCAGATGAGCAGTTGTATACAGTGATTGACATTTGCTGACACCTGGTGGTTAAAGCTAAAAATACAATGTTGATGGTAGTAATCCTAATTATTTGTGGCTGCTGTAGCCTTGTTTTGTTGGAATAAGGCAAGGCAATGCAGGTCCCACTGAGACTTTCCTGGTTAAATAAAAGTCAATGAGAAAATATAATCCAAACATAAATTTAAAAATAATAATTGTACTGCACAATTCAGTCATGTGACATATAGTTATGTCATGTTTTATTTATTTCATTTTAAAAGATGGTTCATGTGGCACAAACATTTCACTAACGTACTTTAGCATGAAATAACAACTTAAGAAAATACAGTTGTAAGAAAGTCTCCCCTACTTCAGATTTAGATGACTTACTGTCTGTACTCCAGCTTCAAGAATGTCAACACAATGCAGTAGCAGTTGTTGTAGTGGTATTTTATCCGATTCTTGTTATGTTGTGTGTTTTTACAGAATAATACATCTATTATAATAACATTTGAATCTTTTGTGTTTCAGTCCATTCGTGCGATCAGTGGAATATCTCATGAAATGTCGCCTGAGGACTTTACCAACATGATGTTTGACAAGATCGACATCGATGGAGATGGTAAGCAGTGGTACATGCTGTTAAATGAGTCTGATATTGATTTTGACACTTTATGTAAACTAGATTCTCATTTGAGCAAGTATCGACCCTTATTCAAAATCACAGGATAAAACTGGACCTTCTCTGATCTATACAGAATAGTATAAAAACCAGTCTTGGTTTCTACTATTTTATAAAATCCAGAAAACAATTTTACAATCCTCACTGTGGTATTAAAATGTGTTTTGAGTGTTTAGCTTATTCTTAAGAAACAATATCCTATTCAAAATAAAGTCAGGAACACTAGTAGTGATATAATAATGCAGAGATTATAAGGTTAATTTGAATTATTGATTGATAATTATAACACTATTAATAATGTATGTGAATACATAGGGTAATTTATTATTATGTACCTTTACTTAGATATAAAAAATAAACTGTATTGTTTCCAGGGGAGCTCTCCTATGAGGAGTTCATGGAAGAAATTCAAAAGGACGAGGATCTACTGAAGATGCTTACGGAAAGTTTGGATCTGTCCCACATTCTGCGGAAGATTGAAGGAGAGCTCATGGACCAGGAAATGAACCAGGTCATGTGATTCACTGCCCAGACATCCAAAAAGACAACAACTCAAGACTCAAATACTGTTGGCTGCGTACACGTTGGCTTCCCAAAGGACTATCTTTTTGATGAATGAACAACAATACAGACTCTGATACACTGTTTTCATTATGTATCACAAACCGTTTGTGCCATATGTGCCAGCAAACTTCTATCATGTTGTTGATTTACAGTGGATATTTCATTTGTGGATATTTTTCTCTGAGTTGTGACCATAGACTTTAATTACTAATGGTAATTAATCACTATTTTTCTTTAAATGTTTGAGAACAATTATATTTTTTGAGTAACAGACATTCCAAATCCCAATCATCCTAAATATCCAAAACATGAAGCAGAGACACAATGTAGCACCATCTTAGCACATTGTAATACAACGTTAATGCAGTTCTTGAAAATAAAAATATGCATTTTACAGAGAGTAACTTTACAGGTAGTTTCATTGAGTGGCTGTCATTGATGGGACCTGGACTACATGGTCTGCATCTCAATTACCTTTGTGTGCTGTTTATCGGAGTGTTTCCAATAAAACATGGTCACTTTGTCTGACATTTAAATATTTTTTAGAGCCCAACATTTTTTTTTTTTTTTTAAGTGTGATAAAAAAATCATTGTAAAAAAGTAAAGCCATTCACAGCCATTTATGTACAGATGGAGTATGTACATGATATTAGTTCATTGATGCTATGCCCACTATCTAGTTTCAAGCAACAGGGATAATGAGAGCAAAGCAGTCATAGCAAACCAATACGTGTTTCCACCACATTGCCAAAGCCTATATTATTTCTTATCTTTATAACCAGTGTAGTAGTAGTACTAGCAATTGAATATTTTTTGTAATTGCAACACTTGTATTATAAAATAAATCATTTATTTCTCATTTGATTTGTTTTCTTTTGTTTAGCATTGTCATATATATTTTATAGACAGACTTTTATAGATCAGCTTAGGACTTAATATATACAGTCTATGTTAGGACCTCAGCCGAAGCTCAAATGGGGCTTTCATATTATGCAAAATATGTTTTACTTTGGCAAGATTCTTTTGTTGGGGCAAACTACAAGGGATAGTTGTGAATAAAGGTTACATTTACACTAGATACAATAAGATATCTATTGTTTTTCCTTGTAATTGAGTCGCGTGTTTGTGCGCGTGCACCCTGCTCGTAGGTGTGGCGCCCTATGACGTCATGTGTACCTGAGTTTCGGTGAGGCGGGAGGAGCTTGCCCAAAAGTGGATGGATGTTTTTGTGTGGCTCCACAGCTGCATTTACCAGAGATAAACTTTCACTTTGTTGTTGTTGTTGTGGTGAGACACAGAGGTGTGATCTGGTGGGAGTCTGCGGTGAAGAAGAACAAGAAAAAAGTAGGATTTTCACTGCTGTTCACGCATAGAAGAAAGACGCACTGTGACTTCCTGGTTTGCTCACACAGGTAGGCTACGCTTCACAAAAGCAGCTTGTGTAACTTTACGTTTGGCACGTCCCCGCTTCCACAACACGGACTTTTATTGGTTAAAAAACAGTCAGATTGCTGGTGTGTGCATCTCTTACGTATTTTACGCAGCGTACGTACTTGTCGGCCATTGCACCTGCCCTTTGCCCTCTTGTATGTTTGTTTGCGCTTCTGTTCCGCTCTTTTTATGTCTCTAATCAGCTCTTGGGGGCCCTCCTCTGCACATGCAGGCGGTATGTCTGTGACCCCACGTCGTGTGCGCCTTAAGCCATGGCTTGTGGCGCAGGTGGACAGTGGGCGATACCCGGGGCTGCTGTGGATTGACCGTGATGCCATGCGCTTTAAGATCCCGTGGAAGCACGCCACCCGGCACTCGCCGCAGCAGGAGGACGAAGACACCATATTCAAGGTGAGACTGGCGCCAGGCAGGGGTTTTTACAATGCAAGGCTTGTGTGCAGCAGGAGTGTGGTCAAAATGCATTGGTGTTCATGGAACCTACAAGCATGTGATAAGTTTGCAATTTTACCACTTACTCTTTTACTTTGCCCATTATTCAACCACAATGATCAACCTCTACATGCACATTCCTTTGCTTTCTACAGTTACATTACTCATATTTGCTCACACACAGGTGTTTTCCACTTGGATATTTCATGCTCCCTGTCATTGGTTACAGGCGTGGGCTGTGGAGACCGGAAAGTTTCAGGAAGGAGTAGACGAACCGGATCCAGCGAAGTGGAAGGCCCAGCTTCGATGTGCCCTCAATAAAAGCAGAGAGTTCAAGCAGGTCTACGACGGCACCAAGGAAGTCCCCATGAACCCACTTAAAATCTATGATGTTTGCGACATACCACCGTCCTTGACTAACCAAGGTATCACTTTTCAGACTGAGAGGGTTTAATCTCTTTTTAATTTGTTCTCATCAGTAAAAAAAAAAAAAAAAATCTTTACTACAGCTTCATCTGATGCTGGTTCTTGGACTCCCGGAGATGACGATGGTGGAGATGAGGATCCAAACACACCGGACTCTCTCCCTCCTTATCCGCCCAATGGTATATGATTGTCAGCGGTCATTGCAAGTCATTTTCTGAAATGTGTAATTTACAGGAAAGGTGTTGTACCTCTTGCCCCTTGCTTGATAAATCAGTCAATAACAAGCAAATCAAAAAGCCCTTGGTAAAGAAAAGGGAAAAAAAAGTCCAAACAAAGAAAAAAATATGCAGCAATTTAAAATGACTTAAATTTAGGGAGCCAATGGTTGTGGCTTACTTTAACTTTTTTTCTCTCAGTGGGAAATGTCTTTGCTTGTTCCAACTTCCATTGGCTAAAATGCTTTATGACAACAAACACATTCTCAAAAAAAGAGAAACTACTGAATTCAAGTGTTCAGTTTTTGTAACTTATTCCTTTTAACTTAAAAGTTTAAACATTCAAATGTAACACAAGTTTTTTTATTTTATGTATGCCCGGCCTTAATCAGAAAAGTCGCACTTAGATGTTTTGCCAAAATTGTGCAGCCCTACTCCATAATCCTGTTGCTCTACTTTGAAAGGGTATTTGCCTAATGTAATAGTTTGTCCATATGTATAAAATTGATTTTTTTTTTTTTTTTTTATCTTCATTGTACAAAAGCAGACATTCATACTTTCCCCTTATTACTAGGCACCAGTCCATCTCCTCTAATCCTGTGGTCTCCGTGCTCCGATGCCTCCATGCAGCCCCCCAGCTGCCCGCCTCCTTCAAACGAGGGCTGGCCCAAAGAAGAGCCCAAAGTGTGGCCTAAAGAGGAGCCTCAGGACGTAGAGATGCAGCCTCCACCCATGGCAGTCATGGCTCCACCGGTTCTGCCCGGAACCATCATGCAACCTCAACCCCTGTCCGATGCTCTCTACGCCACTCCAGAAACATGGATCAGTTCTCTCCCAAGTAAGGAGTAATAGTAATATATAACAGCTTTTATTGTTTGTATCTGTGTATTAAGGTGCATTCCATGGTGTTTTGTGAAGGTCTAGATTAAATCCATTATTCAGTTGCCACAGTTTCCAAAAATAAACACACACATTTGGGGATACAGTGTTCTAGCTGACACCAGCAAGTATTTGTCAATGCACAAGATCAATACTGTTTCTTATACTAGTCATCCAAAAAAGTTGTTCAGCTGTTTTGTAAATCTTTTAAACTAGTTACAGATTAACAATTATTATAAACTTTATGCAGTTATTATTATTATTATTGTACTGTGTGTTTATAGTTGTACATAAATGTGTGTGTAATTCTTTATTTTTTAAATCACACTTTTTAAGATGAAAAATACTGTTTTCCCACAATAGTAAGGACGTTGCAGTGTTAACATTTTTGTTCTTAAAAAATTGAGTATGGCATTAGTAGTCGGGTTTCACACTGGTATTTTTAGTAATTCTACAAATATTTATATGACAGAATACATTCCTACCGTCTGTAACTTGTGATGCAACACTGAAATTTCCCCACTGTGGGACAAATGAAAGATCTCTTAATCCTAAAATTGCATCTCTTCTTTCCCACAGTGACCGACCTGGAGGTGCAGTTCCTCTATAGAGGCAAAGAGATGTGTCCCACGGTGACGGTCAGTAACCCTCAGGGCTGCAGACTGTTTTACGGAGACTTGGGGCCGATGGTGAACCAGGAGGAGCTGTTTGGACCAGTGAGTCTGGAGCAGCTGCGCTTCCCGACCACAGAACACATCACCAACGACAAGCAGCGCGTGTTCACAAACCGCCTGCTGGACGTGATGGACCGCGGTCTCATCCTGGAGGTGAACGGACACGATATTTACGCCGTGCGCCTCTGTCAGTGCAAAGTGTACTGGTCCGGCCCCTGTGCGCCAAACCCTGCAGCCCCTAACCTCATCGAGAGACAGAGAAAGGTCAAACTCTTCTGTCTCGAGTCTTTTCTCAGCGGTAATGAGCTTAACACTATTCGTGCAACATTAAAGATTACACAGAAATAAACATGGACTATTGTTGTGGTTGTAGGTGTGATTACTAATCAGCGCGGCCAGACACCAGTCCCTCCTAATTTTGAAATCAGTCTGTGCTTTGGAGAGGAGTGGCCCGACGGTCGTCCCAGAGAGAGGAAACTGATCATGGTCCAGGTGAGGTTTCAGGAAACTGTTCTTTATAAATTCACAAAGTCACAGTGAAATCTGCCCTCCCACTTTAGACTTGTGTGCCCCTGTCTGTGTTTACAAAGCATGCAGTATTCTAAACTGATCTTTATACATGCATATGTCATAGTGAAACATACACTGCTAAAGTGTGAAGAAAAATCAGTCCAAAATTGTTCAGATTTGGCAAAATGAAATATTGATTTTAGCAGATTTTGACTGCCTTAAAACAAGATTAGCCAATGGGATAAGAAAAATATCTTGTTTTAAAAAGATACAAGTGAAGTCTCTCCTGGAATGAGAAAATAAAATAACAATTCTTGAATGGCTTTGGCACATCGAGTTCATTATAACAGTCTTATAATAAGATTTGCCAAATTTTAGATAAAAACTCTCAATCTAAGCAATTATTACTTCATCCTTTGAATGTGTACGTTGTACCTTCTCATATTTCACCGAACCCCTCTGTGTCCGTCTGCTGCAGGTCATCCCTGTCGTGGCGCGTATGATCAGTGAGATGTTTTCTGGAGACAACACTCGGTCCTTTGACAGTGGCAGCGTCCGTCTGCAGATTTCAATTCCAGACATCAAAGACAACATAGTGACGCACCTGAAGCAGCTGTATTGCCTGCTGCAGACTCACCAGGGGCAGGACGGCTGGGCCATGCCTCCTGGTCCTGGTCTGAACATTGTACAAGCTCTGCAGCATTCGCAGTGATCCCTTCATAAAACAGACTATGGTTAACACCTCACTTCATCTGCTCACTAGTTTGAAATATCTTCAACTATACTTCTATTTGTTCATTTATATATTTTAGTGTCGACTTTTTTCACATTTTCATTACGTGAAGGGGACTCTTTCAGGGATGGCAATAAGTGACATGTTTGGAATATTCATAGTAAAGGAGTTACAAAAATGGTCAGAACACAATTTACCCTCAACATCCTCGTCTGTCATACTGCTTTTTATGCTAAACCTGTACCACCACCCGCCGTTAGAAAGTACAATTTGTGTCTGTTTTTCAACATTGTGTGAATGTCAAAGTTGTTTATTTTGTTAATCCATCTAGTCATTCACTGCAAAAATTGATAAGGAAATGGGTCAAAAATTGCTCAAATTTGGCAAAGTATCTAATTGTGAGCACATTTTGACTGCCTTAATACAAGATTTTCCAGTGGGACCAGCAATTATCTTGTTTAAAAAGATACAAGAAAAGTCTGTTTAAATGAGAGAGTAAATAAGTTAATAAGTAATAAATGGCTTTGTCCCATTGGCAAATCTTGCTGTCAGAATGTCCTGAAAATTAAACTTGATTCAAGAAATGTACCTCCATATTCTATCATTTTTTTTGCAGTGTTGTTGCGCCACTCATACTTTTCATGTAGCTTTAAAAATGTAATGTGAATGTGCTGTGACCACATAGCGAAATCTTTTAAATGCTTGCCTTTTAACATTCCCAATAATGACAAATGATCTTGAGCTTTTGAATAATTAAATCTTCTTGCACAGTGCTACAATGTTGTGTTCATTCAAAATATGTAAAAATGACTTCACTATTTTTATTTTTTTTAGTTTCTCTTTAGTGTTACATCCCTCGGTAGATGACTGGTTTACTGTGTTACACTTCTCTCCCTGTGCCACCAATTTAAAATCCTACAATAGTTGTTACTGTAGCTACCCTTTCCTATGCTGGACTGTTATCTGTTGTCTGGGGCGTCCTCGCGTGAGCACACCCAGCTCAGTCTCGGAAAAGCTTGTGTCAAAATGGACTTTGATCTTGATTTTATGAGGAAGTCCTGGGTGGATCATGTGTCTTCCCAGGATTTGCAATTAAACTAAACATAACTCTGGACTGGCCGCATCTACACACAGGTAAGTTGTGTAAGATTTACTTGTATCTGGATCTGCGTCTAAATTAAGTCATAATTGGAAAAACTAAGTGGAACTGGTTTATTGCTTTCTGTTTCTGTCCTCAATGTGGTTAGACATTGAGACTACAAACGTATGTCACGAATGTTTGTTATCAACCTGACATTGTTCTATGATAAACTCAAAGCCTGAATATTTTAGTTTCATTGAGTAGATACAAACTTTTCTTACTTTCTGTGAATATTGATTAAAATTGGAATATATTCCATTGATAAATCCATCATTGTGTAAAATCAAGTAAACGTAAAGATTTTGGCGCAAACTAGACTTGAAAGTGATGACCAGGCTTCTGTGTTGGGTAGCATGTGAAATGATTAACATGTCCTTGTTGCAGTGCCCTTATAGTATGTGCTGTTTGTATGTTAAAGGTGGGTCAGTGTAGAACAATGAGGGTAAATGATCTTTTTGTCGATGACACAGACAGCATGAGCCATTCCCTTCAGTCAGAGTGAGTATTACTCAATTCTCTCAAATGTTCTCACAAAGTTAATTATAATAAGGATCATCTTTATTTTTACCACAGTAACTTTTCTGCATTGGATGAAGTGTCTTCTCAGGCGTCAAATCTGTCCAGGCCCAGTGCAAAAGCAGTCTATAGTGAGTAATCGGTTATAAATGTTACTTTTATGGTTTGGGTAGATGTTTACATGTAAATGTTGTCAACAGTGCAAAGGAAGCAGTATGCCGCTTCAATAAACAAGATGTTGGAGAAGTTTCAGTACAGAGTTGAGGTAATATTAGTACTTTAATATATACATGAGTTTGGCCTATGTTACACGTCCCAGCAGAGTTATCCAAAACCAGCCAGATTTGTGAAAACACCGCTTGGAAAATAAGTTTAAAAACACACACAAAATGCAAATGTCACATTGTGCTCAATCTAGGTCTAGTTTCACTCCGAGAAAGTGTACATTTTACTTTGTTTAACTTTAGTCATAAAGTAAATGGTGTGCCTGAATGTTCCTCTATGTAACCATTTGAATTATACTATTCACTATATTTAATCTATTTGTAGTTTTACATAATGATGTTTAGAATTCAGTCAATATGTGAAAATATTAGCAATTTCTAATGGTTTCATCACTGCACTTCACGACCGCCAAGATTCAAGAATCTCTATATCGCATATATTTAGAAATGGAGGATAGGGGCACAGCTTGGACATTATAGCTCTTGCTCTGGGGCAGGTACTTCCAAACATGAACCACCTTACTTATCCACAGTACACCACATGGAATCAATAGCTCAAAAATTGACACTGTCTAATACGGTTCTTTATGCATGTACAGTATATACAGTAATTAAAGAGAGAAATTGGTCTTATTCCCACATGATTGTTTTTTTGTAAATGTCCCACACAGTACAATTACTGATGTTGAATACACATCACAGAGCCACTTTTACGACCATTGTTGTTTACTAATGGGGACAAAGTTGTTAATCTGTCTAAAAAGGACTGAACGACTACCAAGACTATACTTTTATAGTGACTGGATGTCTGTAATATCACCTAATATGGGCTCTGCTGCAGCATTTGTTCACCTGTGACCTGGATGGGAAAGAGCTAAGTGGCGTGTCGGACTGTGTGGAGAGGCTGAGGCTGCTGGACGAGATGGGCCGCGTGTGGGGACAGAACATGGTCATGGCTCTGAGGGGAACCGAGCTGCTCCTCTCCGACATCGAGACCAAGGTACCGTGTCCAGACCGAGGTTTATGATGTCATGTGAAGCAGCACAGCCCATCCAAAGAGCAATCACAGCAGGCATGGAAACACCTGTCATAAAGATACACAAACACCATATTACATCATATGTTGAGCCTAATTGTTATTTGATAAATCCATCAACTGGTGTTTACAAAAGGCGAGGAGGGACCCAATGTCTTTAGTGGTATTACAGAGGGTTGTTGCACCATTGACACACAGATGGTCAGCACTCAGGTATTACTTAAAAGTAAAAGTGCAAATACAGGAGTAAAGAATTGACACTAGGACTCCCAGAATTCTGAAACTAACATTGATGGAATTCTGAAAAAATCCCCAAAAAAATAGTTGCAGTTTTTCACTACTTTTTTCCAAATGAAGTGAGTCTTACGTTTAAAAAAAAAATCTGTATTGCGAATACAACTGAACTACAGCAAAACTAAATACTAACTGCTGTAGGTAAACAGTGTTCCTATGGTAACTTGCACTCGCTCCAAGCTGAGATTGCTCTGAACTAGACCAGGAGTAGACCAGGAGCAGACCAGGAGCAGACCAGGAGCAGACCAGGAGCAGACCAGGAGCAGACCAGGAGCAGACCAGGAGCAGACCAGGAGCAGACCAGGAGCAGACCAGGAGCAGACCAGGAGAAGACCAGGAGCAGACCAGGAGCAGACCAGGAGCAAGATCATTTTAGAAACATTATTACATTGAAAATAAACTACATGTAGAAGCAGAAAAAGTCATTAAGTTATGTAAACCACAAAATGAAAATCAAAATGAAAAGCTGTCAAATTGACTGCTATGTGAGTTCTAGTGTTAAACCACTGGTTCTCAAATTGGGGGCACTCACTCAATCACTGATAAAAGCAAATACAGACAGTGTTACTTTTCACAATGTTCCAAATACAGTATAAGGTAAATGTACTACTGCAAATGTTGTAGAGTATGGGTGCAGAAGTGACTGCAGCTGTGTTTTAGGAAGTGCTGGACTCCATCTCCCTCAGTGACGTATTGGAGATCCAGTCAGTCCTGGACTCTGGAGTATTTCACTCCCTGCTCACAGTTTCGGTGCAGAGTCGGACTAAACCTAAAACCAGCATCTTCCTGTTCCAATGTGACGATGCCAGAGTGAGTGGCCTTTTGTGCAACAACATGTACAGACGTACACACACAGAATATATTTCTTGCACTAGAATATGCAGCATTTTATACAAGTTTGCTCCTTGTTATGCTAGAGGTATGCTTAGAGGTTTTTGTTCTCAAGTCTTGCTTCTTCATCATGCTAAAGTTGGAGATTTTAGACTTCTTACCTTATGCTAAAGTTAGATACTTTCTAATGCTTCTTTTTATGCTAGAGTTAGAGATTTTATAGAGTTATTATTCATTTGCTGTGTGCTCCTAATTCCTACTGTTCTGTAACTTGTGATGCAACACTGAAATTGCAGGCTGACTTAGTGGAAAAACATCTCTCTCAGTTGCTTTCTCGTAGACATGAGATTTCAAGTTTGAGGTAAGGAGAAAGCAGAATTCATCAATGAATCTCTCCCAAATTGCTGTACATAACTTTTGACATTCACAGCAGTGGCATTGCAAGCTCTCCACCTCCACAGGAAGAGCCGGTTTTGTTATGGACAGCCCCTGATTATGGTGAGATACTGCTCATGTTTAATAGAACAGTAGTGATTTCCCAGGACACTCGACTTTCAATGACATTTACAGACTTAATCCACATTTATGGATACTGCTCATCTGCCCTTTACAAACCAATAGCTCTATGTGGTTTAAAAAAAAACTTTTTTATTCTCTTATCCGTGTTGGCAAATCAGCATCGCCCCCAAAAACAAAGAAATACTAATACTAATAATAATAATAAGGGCTACACGATATTGGAAATTAGAGCGATATTTGATATGAGTGATTAGTATTTCGATAACGATATTATTGTCTTTCACCTAAAAATGCAGACAAATAACAAATAATAAGCACACCATTAATGGCATTCAAATGCATATATTTATATACTTTGTTTGTTGTTGTTGATGTGTTTGTCTGTTTTGTTGTCTTTAATAAAGAAAAATAAAGAAAAACATGCGCGATAAAAAACAAAAAATCAATATGGATATCGCACACACCAATATTGCGATAACGATATTTTTTCTATATATATCGTGCAGCCATGATAATAATACAACAAACTTGTATAGCTCTTTTTAAGACACTAAAGACGCTTCATATGAGGGGGAAAAAAGGTTAAAAAGGGGGGTTTACGGAAAAGCTTGCTTGAAAAGACGGGTTTTGAGTACTGATTTAAAGTTTGGTAGTGAGTCAGAGTCTCTACTGTGCAGTGGGAGTGAGTTCCAGAGAACATGCCTTAACTAGCTCCAACAGTAAATGTGTTAATGATCCACCAGACGCACCACAGTTTGAGATTCTTTTCTAATATCTGCTTTTTGTCCAAACAGAGGATGACATGACTGTATCAGAGGCGACCCTGCAGGAGGAGGAAGAGGAGGAGGAGGAGGAGGAGGCGTTCCCTTCACGAGAGCAGACCCCCGTTCCGCAGCCGACCCGAGAAGAAGAGTTCCCCGTCTCACCTGGAACCTACACAGAGCTGGACAGAAATGTGGTCTGCGCCATGTCGCTCAAAAATGATGTCAAATGTTATTGTTGAAAGTATTTATCCATTTTTAAATCTATTGCAGGACATTTTAAATCATATTATAGGTGATATTGAAATCTTTATGGGAAAAATATCAGCAGTTTTGGCAAAAAATGAAAAAAAGAAGAAGAAGAAAAAAAAGAAAGGTATTGAAATCTAATCTGTTTGAACATGGGATAAAGTGACTCTTGTATGATGTGCAGCAGGGGATGGCATGCCGTCTGCAGAGGAGTTTGCTGTGTGTTTACGCAAAATCAAATCTGGATTTATTTTACTGGTTTGTGCCTTTTTAATGCAGCTTCATTCTTCTCATTTCCACACCACATGGAAGTGCTCATCGTTATGTCTGTGCAGGGCGAGCTGAATGGGAGGATCAATAACCCAAGTGCTGCCGACTTTGTTCATTCTTTATTTTCTACATTGGCATACGTGAGTACATGATGTATACTACAGTCAATATTTTAAGAATAGGCAATTAGAATAGCAATTTTTAATCTGTTATATGTATCGATAAGAGGATATATATGATCACCAGCACTCCAATGTTTACTTTTAACTTTTTTAGTCTATATTCTTCAATTAAATCACATTTTTCAGGATGTACCGAAGTATTGTTTTAGTCTATGGAGTCATGAAGTTTATAAATCAAGCTGTGTGAAGGAGAGGTTTCGTGGGTCTTTCCTTCCTGCTGCTGCTGTCAGACTGTACAATGAGAACTGCTGAGCCTGTAATTTCATTTATCTGTACATCATACAAAATCATAAATCATGTGCAATGTGCAATACTGCAACTTTAGAATATCCACTGAATAATGTTGCTTTACTTATCTACTTATTATCCTGCCCTATATCAACAGTATAGAACTCTGCACTACTACATATATTTTATCTTTTGACTGGTATTGAAGCATTTACAGCATCTACAGCTAGTTAAGAAACATAGCTACTAAGTTTTTATTTTGTATATTTTGTGTGCTCCCTGTGTGCTCTCACTGTCCTGAATGTGTGCTGCAACATTGAAATTTCCCTACTGTGGGACGAATAAAGGAACTCTTATCTTATCAAGATTATAATGTTGCTTTTTAATACTTTCTGTGCAGTTAGGGGAAGTTTTAATCTTGGATATAAATGCTTTTGTAAAAAATATTCAATAATAATAATATTCAAAGTAGTAATTGGCCTTTTTGGTGGGTTTTCATTGTGGTTCCAAGTCACTGTTGTCAAATAGTTTATTTGTGTTTGACCAATGACTCTTACGATAGGTGGAGGCTCACTGTCCCAAAGGCCTGCCCCCAACTATCCTAGCGCCGCTGCTGACCCCTGAGAGTGTTCAGCTCATGAGTGACGAGGCAACGGAGGAGGAGGAGAGTCTTTGGCAAAGTCTGGGGGACGCCTGGAACACCACCAGGTACAGACTGGGACTTGATTTTTATTGGGAAAACTGTCAATATGATGAAGATGTTTCATGCATCTGGTTCTCCCACTAAAAAAGAACATTGAATAGTGACTGATGAAAGCAACTGTTTCTGAATGTTTAGTGCTCCGTGGGCTGAGACAGAGGAGGACATACCCACTTATAATCTGGAGTTTTTTGATGGCTGGCAGCCTCCTGAAGTGAATGCTGAGCCGAACCCTCACCACTCTATGGAGAGACAAACACCTACTCAAGTAAGCTCATGTCAAAATAGAAAAAATAGACAATCAATATCTCATCATGAAATTTTCTATTGCAGAATAAACCAAAATGGAAACCCCAAAGGCAATATTCAAACAAACGGTAATACACACAAGGTATTAAAATATTTGTGTCTTTTCTGTATCTATTTTTAGCTTTCTCTTGTTGTGTGCAGCCCAGGAGAACCTGAATACATGATCGTGATGTACGACTTCACCTCTAGAAATCACAGAGAGCTCACCATTGCTAAAGGAGACACGGTCGAGGTAAATAAATGCTGAGGTGTTATTTTGAGCGCAACCTTCGTTGAATCTCATTTTGCTTGCGGACAGCTCCTGGATAAGTCTAAACAGTGGTGGAAAGTTCGGAATGCACAAGGAGAGGAAGGTTATGTGCCCAATAATGTCTTGCAGTTTCTGGATGAACAATTTGATGAAGAGGTAATTTATATTTGTGAGATCAAGTTAAAGCTTAAGATTTGTAACATCTATTTTTGTATCATTATGAATTGCATTATTATATATTATTATTGATAATAGTAGTTATTGGAGTGTGTCTTTTAAGGAGATAGATGGCCCTCCAGTTCTCAACAAGCGATCAAAACCCTCTGAAGTAAAAGCCTGGCTCGAAGACAAGGGTTTCACCAAAATGTGAGTCCACTGATCGTTTTGCAGCTTCAAAATGAACGACTCCAGGCCATGGATTAGCTGCCCTGGTTTATGATTGATCTGTAATGACTGGGTCTGTCAATAGCAGTGTCAACACAAACAAGCACAATGATTAAACTGGTGCCATTAAATTCTGATTATCGTGAGACAAGAGGAGATAAATATGGCAAACCAACAAATGATGTAAATGAAATTCAGTTTAAAAAGTTATGATATTTAATGTTTGTTTGAGTATTTGCTTGTTACAAATTGTCTTTCTTTTTTTACAGTTATGTAATGGGCTATAATTTCAAATCTACCAAAATAGTATTATTCCAAAAGTGTTGTGTGCATGTAATAGTAACATACATTCATATTACATAAAACTTTTTTGTGAAGACTGAATACACTTAAAGCTGGGGTGCCAAACTTTTTTCCTCTTATCTGATAACATGTTATCTTTTGCATACTTGTACAAAGCTCTGAGTCACCGTTTGACTCTGGCTGAGCTGATTGGCTGAGTGAGGGTGGTCCTCTCTTTTGATAAAGCTGATCTAAAGATATGACAAGTCCAGAAATACATGCATGAACTAGTGATGAAACCAAACTCTTTAGAGAGCCAAGAACTAGTTAGATGGAGCTTACACTAACTACTTTAATGTAAATGTTTAGTCTTCAAAACTTTGACTTTTTCTTTTAATATATGTAGTTTATTTCTGTTATTATTTTTGATCAAATGATGTTTTCCTTTTTGTAAACGTGAGTAGTTTGTTTTACCATTAACTCCCACGGTACGAGTTACCATAGCAACACCCCGTTTACAGCAGTTAGCATAGACTGTATTAGCCAGTTAGCATTTAGCCTTTGTTGTATTTCAAGTTATGTTCACCAGTTTTAGAACTTATTTAAAAGTGAGTAAAGGGTAATTCCTTGTATATTACTTTAATAAATCTGGAGAAAAACTTAAATAAAATTATGGGAGCAGTCAAAAATAATACGACTGGAAGTTTTAGTAGTTTCAGTGCCAGTTTTAAATGCATGTAAGTTGTGAGTTAAGTTGGAAAATGGGTACCCCAGCTTTAATGAGGTGTCTCCTTTTTTGCAAATGTGCAGTAATATTTGTGATTGTCTTTGGGGTGCAGTACCGTGCGCTGTCTGGGTGTGCTCAGCGGCTCCATGCTTTTGGGGATGAGCCGAGAGGAGCTGAAGACCCTCTGTCCCGAGGAAGGAGGCCGGGTCTTCTACCAGCTGCAGAGCGTCAAAGCTGCCCTGGCTGTAAGTCTCTCCAAACACCTCCTTCATGCTACTATTATCATCATCATCATCATATTTTATTTTATACAGGCCGGAAATTAGGGGTCGTCAGCAGACAAGAAGAAACCCAAACGCCTAAATTGAAATAGACTAGCAGGATTTTTATGAAGTATAACATGTTAACTTATGCATTTCCTATTTAAGTATCCAAACTTAAATTCACTAGACATTTTGTTTAATAAAAGATTATCTGTGTGTGCTTTAAAATAAAGAGATTTAAAACTGTGTATAAACATGCTTTTATTGTTTACTTTTTCACTGTTCATCAAGCATTTGTATATGTGGTGATAAAACGTTATTAAAACCATAGTTACATACAACTGGCAAAAGTTAATGGCAAATATCATCCAATATTGTGGCAAATGTGCAAATAATATGGTCAAATGTTTTACAGCATGGACAACACACTGAAGATGAAACAAGGCGGTTACAATTGGTTGAGTTCCAGTGAGGTAGTCTACAGAGTTAAGGAGGGGACAGACGGCAAGTGTTTCCTGACGAATTCAGGCCATAAAAATAGTTTATAAAACATCTGCTATGGACAGAAATGAAAAGGTTACTTTAGTAAGAGGTAAATATCTGCTACATTTCAGAGGACGTGCATGAGGAGAAGGCTGCTGCAATATGGCTGAAGTGATAAGGCTTAGAAGAAATTACTCTGCAGGACAAATTAGAGAATAAAAACTCTATTATAAAAAAATACATTTTGACATGGTTTAACTGGGTCGACCATTATGTCATCCCTTTTACATAGAGAAGCTGAGGCAACTCTAGAAAACTTATAGAACAGTCCCACACTGAGGGACTGAGCCATTGTCAGGATGCAGCAGAAACACTAGAAACGGTTGATAATGATGATTTGATCCTCTGATGATAGTTGTTGACATTAGTTTGAACTCATCCAACCTGTAAACCCATTTCTCATGCATCATGCAACAAAAGCACTTCAAGATAGAAGTTGAGTTTAACTACCTCCACAATCATCAAAGACCACAGCTCCAGACATGCACATACGTATATGTGACTGTGCTCCTACAGAAGGCCCAGCTCAATTCGAAACAATGGAGGATACAAGGAGAAGTAAAGTCCTGTATGCTGCATGCAACAGAGGAACTTGAACATGGTAGTTAAAAAGAAGAGAAAAAAAGCGAAGTTAAACATGCCTAAATGCTACATAATTAAGTTATTGATTGGCAATTACATACAAGGCAATCTGTCCCTTTAATTTGAGTAAAGTAGTATAGGCCCTGAGTGGACATTTTGTTTTTGTGAAGGTCTTTTGACATTGTGATTGGTCAAATGTTTTGGTTGAGTTCAGAACGAGACATGCTCAGTCAGAGTCAAAAATCAGTTGTTGATATCAGATTATTTTGGCTCAACTCGAGTAAACTAAAAATACTGACTGGAATGTTTTCACTGGCCAAAGGGAGCATACCCTATAAATTATTCTGTAAAACCTACAACCAATTTCTAAGAAAGTATCTGCAGAAAGGCTATAGTATAAATGTTGAATATAAATGGCGTGTTTTTAAAATCTAATAGCTCTATGCAACTATTGAACAGTCTTAATATATTGTTATGGCTTTGTCAGGACGAGTGAATCAACTTCAAATGGCTTTCTCAAAATCATTGTGTAACTGTGGTGATTTATGACTCCCATTGTTATATGTTGCAACAATACATTCTAAATCTATAGTTTACAGTCTCTCTGCAGCTGCTCTGGCCACAGTGAAACCCGGGGCCACAGTCTCTGCACTGATTATTGTGCTTTTAACACATTCTGAGCACAAGGCGAGCAGTGACCGGTGGTGCCCCGTCTCTGCAGTGACATGCTGGGATAATAATGTGGATGTTTGTGTTAGCGCGCTCCTGGAAGAGGCCCCATGGTCAGAGTGTCCTCGTCCACTCCGTCCAGTTCGTCGGTGCGCACGGCGTGAGTGATGAGCTGCAGCTCCTCAGACAGAGTCTCGTGACGATACGCCACGCGGATGTCTGGGACGTTCGTGCGGCGGATGTCGTTGCTCTCAGGACCCTCCCTCATGTAGTTAGGGCCCAACCAACAACTCTTCACCTGCAGATAAGGCAAGGCAAGGCAAGTTTATTTATATAGCACAATTCATACACAAGGCAATTCAAAGTGCTGAACAAAATAAGAAAGCATTAAAATCATAAATAATCACAGAACATTAAAAAGAAAGATAAAAATATAAAATCCCTCAGTTGTATGCACAGATACACATTTAAGGTTGAAATTTGACCAGCGCTTATTGGTTCACACGATTATTTTGTATGAATATTAGGAAGAACAAAACAGGTCCTGAAATGTAATGGAAAAATCAAACCTTGTGTGAGAATCCACTCATGAGGACACTGTTCCGGGAAAGTTCACACATGTCGCAGGAGCTGAGTTTCCAAACTTGAGCCGCGATGCTGTACTCCTCCATCAGCGGCTCCTACACACACACACACACACACACACACACACACACACATACGGTTTGTATTTATCTAAAGGTGGGAGCAGAGGTGAGGAGCAGTGTGAAGAGCAGTGATGGACTGACCTTGGTGAAGTGAAACTGCAGTGGGTCGTCAGTGGACAGTGATACCACCAGACCGCGGGACAGATACTCCCACAGCGGGTTCCTATGGTAACTGAGGAACAGGCTGTTGTTGCTCAGAGGAGACATGGCGATGCCCACTTGTGCCAGATAGTACAGATACTGAAGAACCGGAGCCTGAACAACGACATAGAAAAAACTTGTTGTTGTTTATTAAACTGTGGAAACAGGAGGGGAAACTATCTGAACATTCTGAACATTGTAAAGCGCTTTGGGTGACCTTGGTCTGTAAAATTCGCTATATAATTAAACATAACTTACTTACATACTTACTTACTATATTCTTATTCATTACCATTTGAAATTGTAATTGGGTAATTACCACAGATATCATTGTCGTTTATACCGTCTCCTCTCTGAACGTACTTACTAAAGTATCACAGACTGATTTGTCTTGTTTTACGGATCCTTTAAAGCTCTGTTAATTCTGGGGATATTAAATTCAAAACAACTAAACATGAAAACTAATAGAATCCAGTTAACGAGTTACTCACTCTGAAAACAGTTTGGTTCTATCAGCTCTCAGCCCAAAGTGACTCACAAGGCTCATTTTTAAAAGTTTCTAAAAGATTAAATTATGTCAAATAACAGGAAAAGAGCATGTACAAAATGTGTTATTTATGAAAGTTAGGAATCTCCAGCTACAACACAATGATCACATGCATACAGTGCTTCACATCAAGGAACCATTCACTCATTCACACAGTGCTGTACGCAGACTGGGGGCGAGGCAGGCAGGCCCGTCCCAAGGGGGGTGCGAGGCCCTGTGCGAACTCGAAACGCGAGGCCCTGCCCTGACACTTTTTTCCCAGATCTGAGGAAAGTTTTTCCTGTTATAATCTTTGACATGAATTCAGCACCACCTCGCGCGGTGCTTGACGAGATCAGCACGCGTGTAACCGAGTGTCTTCGCTCCTATGCAGCGTTTGGCGCGCGCACGTACACACGCACACACACTCTACGTGCAATATTGGTCGCGGTCTTTTTAGCTGACATGTCTCTTTCGTCCTGTGGCAAAATGGTAGAGCAACTCAAAAGATTGAACCAAAAGGAGTCTTTTTCTTCTAATAGTTAGATTTTGGCAAAATGCGCCAAAATGGCTATGAGGCGGAGTCAATATTATTTTTTTCTCATCAAATAACGTTTTTGCCATGCCTCCACACACTCTGACAACATACACTCCTCCTCCTCCACGCTGACAACAACAAAATACTCTTCACCTCCTCCTCCACACACTCTGACCACAACAAAAACACTCCAGCTAGCTAAAGCTAGACATACAGTGTGTTTGCTAATGCTTTTAAAAATATGTTTTTGATGTGGATATTCGGACTAAACATTGGCAATAGCAGCGCTCACACACCTGTCACACCGCTGATCCTCTTCCTCCTCCTCTGCTCACACAAAGGGGTCTGCTCCTCTGCTCACACCTGTCTCACTGCTCCTCCTCCGCGAGTATCCATCTCTCCTACACTGCGATCATTCCCGTTACTTTCTTTGTATCTCACTCAGACACTGCTAAAGTTATCTGACAGTTTTTTCGGAGGACCCGTTGCATACATAGCTGCCCGCGCGCCTGCCTGTTTTACAAATCGCTTTTGGTGAAAATTTGACTTTACTTGTAAAAATGTTCTTTTGATCAAACGAAATCAAAGAGGTCCAGAGAAAGGGGTTTAGGGTTCCAAATTTGGAGTGCAGTCTGCCCTTTGGGGACCCTTGAACTAGTGTATTTATAAAATAAAATAAAAGGAAGGAAGATTGCGAGGCCCCTGTGTGGTGCGAGGCCCTGTGCGACGGCACAGGTCGCACAGCCCTTAGGACGGGCCTGGAGGCAGGTTAAGTGTCTTGCCAATGGACACAACAGCAGCAACACCAATGGGAGCTGTTTTGTACGTTTGTGTGTGAATCCATCAATGGTATTGCAGTGGTACAGATCTACAGTAGTCGATGTTAGAAAGTTCTGGCTCTCACCTTTCTCAGCAGCAGCCCGTGGGATATATTTTCTGACAACATGAATCCTGACACCAGGTGATGGATGGGCCCCGCCTCTCCACAATGAGGCCGCAGCACCAACGTGTGAAGACCGCGCCTCCTGTATCAGTCCAAAAAGTCATCATTGTCACATTATTATCTGAATATCCTGTTAGTAACTGGGTCACAATGTCAAATGTTGATGATTATTTCACTGCAAAAAAGTGTTTTTGTTATTTTTTAAGTTATAAAAAAGCTGTCACTCATATAATTACTGTCACAATTCACAACTTTAAATCCATCATATATCTAACTGTAAGAATGATCATTTTAAGTTAATGTGACAAAACGCTCCTCACACTTTTTATTGTCTTTTATTTTGTTTAAATGTGTATATTTAGTGTGCTGAATGTATCAATGTCCATAATGAACGGATGTGTGCAGACGTTTTCTCCCTGTGAGTCTGGTCCGGTCATGTTTGCAAGTATAATTACATACTCAAACATTTGATCAATTATTGAACAATAACAAACAGAAATAAACATTATCTCAGCAAGTTATAATGGTGTGAGTTATAATGTATTCATCTTGATTGGAAAAGTAAATTGAAACTTCGACATGAAATCATATTGTGGTCAGTCGTGTTGCTTTTTTTGCCTTTGTTTTGCTATCTTAGCTGGCGGTTAAGTGAATTAAAACTTGTGGCTTATTTTCGAGTGCGGACAAAAGCTAGTGCAGTTTATATACAAGTGCGCTTCAAGTACTGTGTGTGTACTTAAAATCAAAATTAGAGCTAGAGACCCTTTTTTCCGAGCTGCAACAGTAATGATGAGTTACTATACCTCCTCAGGTGATTGAGCACAGTCATGTTGGCGTAGGTGTAGTAGAGATAGTAGGAGTACGGAGGGTTGTCTTCTTCTGTCCAGTTTCCAGGAAGAGGGCTGTCCATGTTGAAAACATGATTTTCCGGTTTGGATTCATCATCTACGCTGTCGAAGCCCACGACCTGTGATACAAAATAACACAGAAGCTGTTAGTGCATGTATGTGCATGTGAGAAGTTACAGAGTTGAATAGACTTATTTGATTTACATGCTCCAAGAAGAGATGCAGCTCCGGATGACTTTGTGGGTTTATGGTGGCTTCAAAGAGAGGCATGAAAATATTCTCCAACATCTCCTGAAAGTTGGCTAAAGTCTTCTTTATTTTGTAGACGTCACTAAGAAAAAAATATCACTACATTATTGTAATAAGTCAAGTCTAGTGTATGTATGAAACAGTCTTATACACATCAAAAGGGACAATTTCTATCTTTATTATAACATTATTTTCGATAACTTTTCTCTTCCTTTTTTCTTCACCCTGTCCCCTTTCACTTTGTCCTTTGTATAGCCCTTCCCTCATTCGTGTTATCATTAATTGAAATATAAATAAAGCCGACCTCCCAAGAAAGAGGATGGTGGCAGGAAAAAGAAAGTGATTGATCCTTTTGTGTGTTTTAAGGACCAAGCCCACTTACTGCAAGAACTGTGTTTATTAAAGCTGCACTAACTGACTATTTTTGTATTCATTACGAAAGTGCTATCCATGTCCATGCAGTGCATTGGGATATACGTCCTTTTGAAGAAAAAAGTAGCGCAGATTTGTGCTGGCGTGACATTATATTTTAGATCGAGTTTTGATGAAACAAGGAAGAGATGTGTTTCGGGTCGCAGATTGTGACCAATCACAGCGGACCACTGGCCCCCACTTTCGTGAGAAATCTACAGGTCCGTTAGCATAGACGGCTGAGTTAGCACAACAAGCCGAGGAGCTAACCTGAAGCTTTGTGTGTCTTTGTCACCGGTTACTGCTTACACAGCGAAACAGCCATCCAAAAGAAAGTCTCGTTCCTCCGCGCTTCCCGGTTCTATTGTTCTATGGTCACGCCATCCGCGTGCAAATCTATGTCCATGTATTATCCATATTGGGAGAGGCTAGCTCCGTCCCAACAGTGGGTGGGTGCGGGGAGGGGAGCAGAAAGAGCGAGGCCAGCGAGTCCGCGGCTTCAAAATCCCAAAGTCAGTTAGTGCAGCTTTAAGTTAAGTTGTTTTAGTATAAGTTATTTGAATGTAAACATTTTGTGTGGACACTTACAAAAGCCTGGGAACCTGAATAAGCCAGCGCACATTGTCAGAGTACACTTTGTGAATGACAGCCCACTGCGCCAACTTGTCCCATTCATCTCTGGAGCGACCGTATATAGAGAGACGCAGCTCGGAGTTTTGGTATTTGCTTTCCTCCAGGTCGGCCATCACTTCCTGCAAATCAAAAGGTTATTGGTAAGTCTTCAAGTTGAGGCCCATTGGAGGATTTTTCCCGGTTTTCCAGGTTTTTGAGCAAGAGATATTAAAAACAGGCAAAAGAAGTACCAATAAACGATTGAAATAACTGGATGGTCTATAAAGATCAACTTTTAACCCTTTAGGTACCAGGTTTTTCCAAATCTTTATGTAAAAAAGACAAAAGGTGATCCCACTTTACAAAAGATAGAGCAATACTATAAAAAAAAGAATAATATAGTATAGTATAGTGAGTGATCATTAATAATAATATAAATATGTAATAAAAGTTTCTGGGAGTTGTTGTAGAAAGCCAGTCATTGTATAGTAAGATTCCTGGCGCTTGTGAAACTATTCTGCTACTTTGGGTTCATTCTTATAATGTTGTGGTGAATATCTCATCAGAAAAGTTGTGTTGCATTGTGTATGTATGTGTATATGTATAATACCTTTACAATGTGTGCAAAGTATTTTCCCTGAATGCAGTTGTCAGTTTTGATGAAGATCTCGCGGAGGATTGACTCTCCAATGGGATTGTACTTGGCGTTGAATTTATCAAAGCGGTGGAAGGTGTTCCGATCCTGAAGGAAAAAACATGTTTTTAACGTGAGAAATGACAGAACTTTGTTTGTTTGAAGTTTGTTTCAGTGTTTTGAGATGGGACTTTTTATTAGTGAAAAAAAACAGGTGAGTGTGTGTGTCTGCAGTGGGGAGTGCGTGTGTCTGTGTGTGTGTGTCTCTGTCTGCAGTGGTGAGTGTGTGTCTGCAGTGGTGAGTGCGTGTGTATGTGTGTGTCTGCAGAGGTGAGTGCGTGTGTGTGTGTGTGTGTGTGTGTGTGTGCGTATGCGTCTGCAGTGGTGTGTGTGTGCGTCTGCAATGGTGAGTGCGTGTGTATGTGTGTGTCTGCAGTGGTGAGTGCGTGTGTGTGCGTGTGGGTACGTGAGTGTGTGTGTCTGCAGTGGTGTGTGTGTGTGTGAGTGAGTGTGTGTGTCTGCAGAGGTGAGCGTGTGTAGTGACTTTACCGCATGCATGTCGAGGGTGTCCACGCTGAGGTCGAAGGCCGTCAGGTTCATGGTCTCGAACACGTCCTTCAGGGTCTGTCCGCGCCCGCGCTCTATGTGCACGATTTCTCCTGGATACTTCTTCATGGCGCGCTTAATGAACCGGAGCAGGTGCTTTTGGTTCATGCAGGAGGAGGCGTGGATGTGGGTGTCCACCTGCGAAGCAACACACACAGACACACACACACACGTTTTGTTATTGGCTGTAAATTTTAAAGGGGTGAAACTTTATTTGTACAGTATGGCACTAAAATAGATCCGGCTTTTCAAAACTACTTTTATTCACATTCAAATACATTTTTCTAAATAATGAATCTTAGTTTGTAAGAATAATATCCTTTTCATTATTTTCTTAAGATTGCTCAACAAATAATCCTTATAATATTTTTTTATTTAAATTATTACTTAAACAATTATGATTATTATTGTTTTTATAATGGAGCAGCCCTAGCACCAATTGTAACCTAAAAATGCTGAATATTAAATTTAGTTTGCATATCTGACTGCCACCTCCCCAAACCACAAATGGATTAAGGGGAAGAAAATGGATGGATGGAAAATTCTAGCCGCTTTCCCCCTCTTTTTATTTAGACGATTGGGATAAAGTGTAGAAAGTAAAGCATCAATAGAAGTCAAAAACATCTTGAAACATTTGGAATACTTTAAGTCCAACAAGTAAATCAGTAAAACAGCTCTAAATAAGATGAATATAGAAAACTATTGATGAATCGAGTGCCAGCGTGGCTCTCACCTTGCGTATGTTGTAAAAATCTCTGTGAGGAACCTTCTTCTGTGCAGCCAATTCTTTCATCTCGTTTAAAAGACTGTGCATTTGAAACTTAGAGGTTAAATACTGCAGGCGGCGGTAGCAAAAAGACTTCCTGAAAAACACAGATCAATATCAAAGGTGATTTGGTGCAAAAAGAAAAACATATATATAATAATGATAACTATCGACTTACACCGGCCCATTGATTATCAAGGCCATCATCATGTTCATATCTGCGATGTACTCCTTCAAGTCCGGATAGGGCAGGTCCACCTCTGAACTCCTAGAATAAAGAGAAAAGAACAGTCTGTAACTTTATCTGCTGTATCTTATTTGGTTTTAAGCACACACTTGTCCATGTTGGTTGTTTTGGTGTAGACGTGAACCACCCCGTCCACCATCGCACAGCCGTAACCCGCGTCTGGGGGCATGTTGTCAGGGTCCATGTTGTCGTAAGGGTGGAACTCTGAGACCGGAGGGTGAACTGAGGCATCTGAGAGAGACCAATGTTTATTACACTGTACACATACTCTCACGCAGTCACTGTGTCCTAGAGCCTCATGCTGCTAATGTACAGATGGAAACATACTACTGCTAACATGTACGGATGCTAACTTACTGCTGCTAACATGTACAGATGTAAACATACTACAGATGTAAACATACTACTGCTAACATGTACAGATGCTAACTTACTGCTGCTAACATGTACAGATGCTAATATACTGCTGCTAACATGTACAGATGCTAATATACTGCTGCTAACATGTTCAGATGCTAATATATAATTACATCTTGCTTGCACTAGAATAGACAGTACTTTATACTTGCCTCTTATTTTACCAAATGTAAAATGTTTATACTTCTTTATTATTATTATGTTCAAGATAGAGATTTTATATTTGTTCTTTGATGCTAGAGTAATAGATTTTGTTTTATTGCCATTAGTATAACCATTGTTCACTTATCTTTTGCTGTGTGCTCCTCATTCCTACTGTTCTATAACTTGTGATGCAACACTGAAGTGTCCCCACTGTGAGACTAATAAAGGATCTCTTAATCTTAACCTTAATCACACTGCACAAGAGGAGACGCCTTTAAACACCTGAAAACTGGCAGCAAAATATAAAAAAAACGATTACGCTAATTGTGCTAACATGGTCTAATCAGATCTGAATTCTGAACATTGATCAGATTGTGTAATTTTGCGGTGTAAAATAAACATCTGGGAAGAATTTTGGTTCCTTTAACAGCAGAAGAGCAGGGTTTTTTCATACCATTGTCAACAGGGGTCTCTGGGATCTCCTCGTAGACTCCTAACTCGTGGTTGGTCAGCCCCAGGTCCTGCAGGGAGTGCGCTGTCGTCTTACAAAAGTTCTGCATGGATCGACTTATGTATTTCTCCCGAATGAACAGCGCCTTTACGACACATTTAGCAGCATCGACAAGGTCTGTGAAAGGAACCTGCCAACAACACAATGTGACAAAAACACCTCAATTGTAACTATTCGTTGCAAGAAACTGTAAAATGTATCAGAAATAATCATTGAAAGAACTTGATATACTTTAAACAGTACATTTTATTTTGAAAGGTAAAGAATGAAGAATTTCCCATCCTAATTTAGAACCTTTTTTAGAGGGAAAGTGCCAATCTCATCAAGCCCGGTGTTTGAACAAATGTTTAAAAAAAAAGCATTGAGTTTTTGTGGTGTGAGAAAATGTATGAACGTAGGAATGAATTGGCTGTAGATTTAAAAGACTGCAGAACCGTATAACACTTCAAAACTTTGAACAAGAAAAATATTATTCAAACATATCGAAATTATCATTATTATGGAGTAAATGGCTTTTGATTTGTGTGTAGCAGCGACTTAAGTTTAACATGTATACTAAAGGATAGGCATCTACAAGTTTTAGCTTCTGCCCATTTCTTCTTCAGACCTTTTAACCATATTTTTTTCCCCAAATGGCTGAAATTGTCAGAAACGTCTCAAATGAACTGAAAACTGAAGACATATTTTCAAATGCACTTACCCCACACTTTTCTTCTCCCGATATAGAGACACGCTGGTACTCCCTGATAATGGGCATTGGACGTGCATTGAAGTCGGCATCTATGTGGTCAGTACTCTGCTGCTTCATTAGCCTTCGTCAAAGAAAATGGACTGGTTTGGTGCATGTTTGAAATCACAGGCAGATATGGGACAGAGAAGACATGGGTAGTGCTAGATTGCCGGTCCAAAGAGACGTTCTGAGATACCATTTCTTTGATAAACTTTTCTAATATTCAAAAAAATTGTTTGTTGTGGGATTTGTTTAGTGCATTTCCATCTTTCAAAGCACTCACTCATACACCAGAGTACACTGGGGTGAGGCGGGTTACATGTCTTGCCCAAGGACACAAAAGTAGCCTTCAGGGAGCTGGTTTCACACCTGGATTCTTATGCTAGGAGTGGGATTCAAACCACCAACCTTCATGAACATTCTATACTAATATTGATAAGTTTCATGCCAAAAAGTGGAGAATTATAACCTTGTTCCTTTTACCATCTCTTCAGATCCAGCACTCTAACAGGGGTCTCCAACCTTTTTCAATCGGAGAGCTACTTTTATACAAATAAGAGGCAGAGAGCTACTCATAATAAAAATCTATGTAAGAATTATGACAAAACATGGATAATACATACCATGATACTGTATAACCCTATATTTACACTTATTATAGATGTGTAATGACTCAAAATTTATTCATTCAAGATCATTTATGAAATTCTAAATCCTTTGGCGAGCTACCTGAAAGGGGCTGGCGAGCTTCTGGTAGCTCCCGAGCCACAGGTTGGAGACTCCTGGTGTAGAAGAATATTATAGTCTGACGGTAAACCAAACTAATACAAAGCTTCAAAACACATAGCAGAGCCAACTCACTCTAGATCGGCCGCACTGTCGATTTTCATGAAGTCCTGTTTGGCGCGGAGCAAGATCTCGGGCTCAAGTCTTGGGAGAAATGCAGGAGCAGGATAGTGTGGGCAAGCAGCGGACAAGAGGGCACCAGAAAAGTGAGATGATTTTAAGCACGTACAAATCAAAAATTGTGTGATGTTTTTCATTTCAGCTTGAGGCACTCGCATACTGACAAATGCATTGAGTTATTACAGCAAAAATTAATTAGTATTGGCACAGTCTGAAGCCGCTGCTGAGCTAGGTTTTTGGCAGAATCAAACAAGACGACAAACGACTTGAGCCAAAAGTCTGTAGCGTCATTAGCTTAGAATTAGTCAAAATTTAAAGCAGTGTTGCCGAACTTTAAATAGTGAAATGTGTCTCATTGTGTGCTCACTTGATGTCTTGGCTGATCTGCCTCTCCAGACGATGGCGCCGCTCCTCCAGCTGCTCGATAGGACTGTCCTCAGGGAACTCGTACGGAGCGCTCCTCATCTCGCTCTCTGCCATAGTGCGGCAGAAGAGCTCCTGATGCACACACACACACACACACACACACACACACTGTTATTGTCACTATTATTACTCTAACAGTCAACATTTGTAATTGGACTTTTCAGCCATCGTGCATTCTCACATTTGACAACTTGATGCTGTTTGCAGGAGTGTCTAACTTTTTCCATTTCATTCTTGTTTAATATAGAAGGATTATCTACTTCCGGGTGGATCATCAAGACTATTGGTTCTCTCAATTGTCAATCATTCTGGTGATACGTGCTCGTCAACTAAGACCAAAGAGTTTTGTTCAAAAACTGGAGAGGGCGGTTTGTTCCTAAAATTTGGGAAAATCCTCCTGTATACCTTTTAGTAAAATGTTGGATCACATTAAATTAGTGTATAATCTGTATTATTAAGCACAATTTTGGATAGAGTTAGCAATAGTTAGAATAATTATGTATTTATTTTATCTATCAGTCTACACAAACATTTGAATTCAGTACTTCCATTATGTAAAAAAAGATGAAAAGTACCAAAAGATGAAAAAATATGAAAAGTTTCAAACAGAGGTTCCACAAACTAATAATATAACGTTTACTTTGTTATAAAATTACAAAAACAGTTTGACAGCCCAGGTGTTGAGTCACTTTTTAAGCAAAAAAAAACATTACTTTGAGGAATAAGAACACACATAGAATGCAATAAATATAAAAATCATACATACATAAATACATATAGTATATTATGTATATACAAAAATGACTCCCCCAATCTATACACTGCTCTATATAAGGAGGGTATATGACATGCTCTTATATGAGGCGCTGGACAACACATAACAAATGCAATCCAGTGGTCTCTGTGGGTATTTGTGTCACATGGTGCTTATGTTTACATTACAGTGTACCAGGATCCATACAAGAGTGTAGTCTCACCTCTGCCAGCTCCTTGTACTTCTCCTCCATGGTTGTGCTCTGTCTGTCTGACGGGAGCGAGTGCTGCGATTTCAGAGGCTTGGGCCTAGATACGCCACACAGATCTGTGCAACAACAGACAGGATAACAGTTAATGTCCCCATTTCTCCCTAAAAAGTAAAAAAGAGAAATACCCTCGCACCAAATATAGAAAGCTATAAATCCTCTTTTCTGGGTCAAATCTTTTGCCGACAAAAGTTCCAGGCTCCAAGTAGGTCAAAGTAAGAGACAAGTGCGACACAGAAGTTAAACCAGGGAAGCAAGTTTTCTAGGTCTGTTGCTTATTCAAATACAACCTGCCCTGGATGAATTGTGGGATGTGCAGTGAATCATAAACAGTTTATAATGACATAGTCGCACATGCTTAAGATAGTGACAGCATTCAGACCGTCCCATAGACCATCTGTTGTTTACAGAGTCTATTTGCGTGACCATGAGACTTTCTGTAAAAGCTGTCTTCTGGCTACACTTTCAGAAAACAGACGTGGTAATTTGGGCAAAACAAACAAAAATAGATTCAAAATACATGTTTGGTTTAGAGTTTCAGATGCAAACCCTTACCTCCAGTTTAACTCGGTGACTCAAAGTGTTTATGCACATTTGCAGGGCTTTATGCAAATCAGGCCATAACAAACGGATTCATCCCTGTGTAAGTAGAAAAGGTCAGAACTGGGAAAAAGATTAAAGGCGTTTTGGTCTGATTTAAAGTACCTTAAGGATGATTCCGATTTTTAGCTTTCAGATTAATTACTCCATGATTTCTATTGAGGAAGATCAATCAACAAACAGGTGTAAAAAGTAATGTCTCATTTCCAGTTGTAAAAAGAACATACATCAAATCCATCCAGATAGATTAAGATGCCAGTGCTTAATCATTTTTTCGTCCCACAGTGGGGAAACACGATAAATGAATGAATGATAAAATACTAAAATAAAATCTGTAACTTTAGCATAATGAAGTAAAAGTGACAGACAATAGGAAGATTATTATATAACACCTTTTCATCATTAAAACCCATCTCAGAATTTTTCTTGCTGCCAGTTTTTGCCATTTTGCGACAAAGTTTATCTTGAAATCATGAAACATTGTCTTGTTGGAACATATTTGTTTTGCCAATACAGCTGCATAAACCCTTAGTCCCGGTTCCTCACCAGCATTTTGCCAAACGACACAAATTCAGGTTGCGTGACCATAATTAGCCAAAGCTCTGGACAATAGCCACACGCAGCTGATACTAAATCTCATGAGAAACTTTGTGTTCGAAACCACAAGGCAAGAGTTGGCTTGAAAAAAGAGTCACACAGGTAGAAGATAACCCTCTAGTACGAGATCAGAGCTGACAAGTTTGTGACTGTCTGACATATTTGTAATAATAGTGTTACACATTATTCACATTTTAGCAGTTCCCAACATATAACGTTACAAATTCCCACTACAGCAAACCCATTACACACAATCATTTTTGAGCCGCACAAATTGTGAAAGATACTGTTTTAAATTGCCAGCCACTGCGAGTATTTGCCATTAATTTGTCTAGATGTTATAAAGTTAAACTGGAATGCGGGTTTTTCTTCTTAATATCTGAAGGTTTTGCATAGTTTACTTGAAATGAAATGAAACCAAGACTTATAATTTCAACACATTATTTCTGTTTTCAAGCAAGGACCTTTTGCCTAGCTAGTAAGAAAACAAGAATTACCTTTTTGGCAAATATATTGTCTTGTAGTAGTAGTCAGAAAATGCTTTGACCAATGGATTATCATCACATAATAAAGTGTGGCACGGTGGCTGAGTGGGTAGCGCCTTGGTTCCATACAGGTGCTAATCCTGGCTTTTGGAGTTTGCCATTTTCTCCCAATGCCATTTTGCAAACTGACTTCGGTACTTGCTATCATTCAAATTGTGATATCAGATTAATAGAATGACGTGCTAGTATTGCCGAAAAGCATGCAGGCAAATATCCATGAAATTGTCCATTGTCTCTCAACTCCAACAGCGTTTTAAATATGAATACAAGACAGTTATGCCGCTCACAATAGATAAAAGGCAGGTTCAGGCAGTCTTACATCCAATCATATAAAGTCTAATTATTCCTAGATTGTTCGGAGGGCAGTAATTAGCCTGTGCCATCTGCTGTCTACCTCGAGGCCTGAACACAGAAGATCTTTCAACACAAAGTAATTATATATGTGACAAAGCACTGACCGGGCTCTAGGCTCAAGTGGGAACTCAACCCCAAAAAAGTAATTGCTCGTCTCAACATATATAATGAAAAATGCTGTAATATTGAATCATGGGGAATAAAAAGATTGCTCAAAATGTTAGAGCTTAGAGCAAAAACAACACTTGCTATAACCTGCAGATGTCCTGAGGGCGTTGCATAAAGACCCACAGAACATATACAGTGGGAAATATCAAGCAAAGACTTAATTTTCATTTTATACACTACATTTAAAAATAATTTACTACATTCTTCTATAGGAATAACTTGAAAGTACAACTAGGGTGCTTTCATGTTTGTTAGTGGGCAATTTCACACTTTACTAGACCAATTCTGGGTTATTTGGGGAAAAATGCTTTGAAATTTGGAAGTAAAACCGCCAAAACCAGTGAACATGTATCCACTAGTCGCTTTAAAATCAGTTGACATAATTTGAAAGATCTGGGACATGTTTTCCCCCCCCAAGTGAATCAGACTCTGCCCTGTTAAAGTGAACCAAATTTTAACATTTACAAAGGAAATACAACACTATAGTTGACAGGCCATAAATACAATTCCTTCTAGCTGTAGTGTCATCGGTCATTTCGTCAATTAGTTTGTTTTGGTGGACTTTTTCTATGCAATTATAAAGATTTGCGAGCACAATAGCAGAGAATAGAAATGGGAGTTTTTGGAGTGACTGAAGAAAATAATCTGCTTTTCACTTGTATTGGGGTTGTTACACATATAGTATTGCATGTATCGTTTTTGCAGTACAGGCTATAGAGGTGTACAAGTGAAGACAGCCATTATATCATACAAGATAAAAATCAATAGGAATAGATGGGCAGAAAATGTAATTGTACCCCTAAATCACAACAGCAAGTATCTCGGAGGACTTTACAAAGCTGTTGATTTGCCAACACAGATCAAAGAATCAAACAGTTAATCTGTATAGTTAAAGTAGTCGATTATAAATTATCTACAATATGTGGTCTGTATGTACACAATCCAGATACAACACTAACTATTTCCTTTCATTAGTTAGACCTTGACACAATGTTTATTCTTTATTTTAGAAAAAGAAATCCCACTGGTATTGAGATAAGATAAGATCAAATGTATTGATCTCACACTGGAGAAATGTACATAGATAGAATCATTCTGGTTGTGCAAAAAGTCAGAAGTGTGCAGACATGTTCCTTCTATTCTCTGCCCTTTTACGACTGAGACTGGTTTTCTCTCTTGGTAAAATGTACATGTCTTTAATATAACACCAAAAGCGTCACCTTCTCTCATTCCTGGAGACCTTTTTTTCTGATGTAATTTCGCCTTCTGTCCTAACAGCATTGTGGACCAGAAGAATGAGCAGTCTATTTTAAGAGTAAGAAATCCTTTATTCATCTCACACAGCAAAGGATAAATGAATAATATCAACAACAACAAATCTCTAACTCCAGCATAAAAAGAAGCAGTATAAAATCTCTATCTTTAGCATAATAAGGAAAGAAGTCTAATCTCCAAATTTAGCATAATAAGGAGCAAGTATAAATACAACTAGAGAATTGGACTATACAGTATCTATACGTTAGCGGCAGAAGGGTCTGGGACAAAGTGACTATATGATCATTTAAAAACAATAATACATATCAATATCATTGTTATAAATACACAATGGTTCAGGCGCTCAATAATTCCCCAGTGAAAATAATAACTTGACCCCGGGTGGAATTTCCAGTAAACAGATGACAACAGCTCCAACAAACACACAGTCGCCCCAGTATAGACCGGTGTAATCCCCAGGCCCTCCACCCGCATCTCCTCATAAGCCCCAACTATTTACCAAGTGATGTCACCAGAAAAAAAAGGAGACAAGGCGTACAGCAAAATAAACTTTTATGAAACCTCTTGATATTCAAATATTACTTTCTACTGTTTTGTGTAGTAACTAAAGATACAAATCCCACCACATCTATGAGTAAGACCTCAGCATTTTAATGGTGCAAAAATAGCCGCTCTTCAATGTAACAAAGTCCTTGAGTTTGAGCTCCCTCACTCTCCTCTGAATAACACTGATAACAGGCTCTAAAGGCTTATGTATTGAGTGTTCATTGAGTGCAGATGTATTTTTTAGCAATAAGCCCAATATTCAAAATGAGAAAAGGCCAAATGCAGTAGAGATGTTGGGTCTTATCAGCTCTCTACAACGATCAATGGTTCCAGCTACTTTCTCATCTTGTTTTTGGCACTGGAAAAAAAGAGGTTTTAAAACTGCTAAAAGATTGTATTTTCCTTTTATATTGTAATTATCCTTGACATCAGAATTCAATCAAAAGAATTGATAATAATAATTAAAAAAAAGAAAATGATGACAATACCAAGGACATAATTGTCACTGCATGTGCTTTTATGAAGTTTGAACTCCTCTCCACCTATTGTCTCCCACTTTATTGGACAAATTGTTCAACCAAGTATTTGGTTGAACAATTTGTGTTGGGAGTGGTTTAAGTGATAGCTGCTGCTCTGAAAACAATACATACAATTGCATGAGAAGTGGGCAAAGTGATTACATATTTAATTCTAAAACATGCATTAAGTGGGAGTGTCAAGAAATTAAAATACTAGGGTTTCGATGTAAGTGGTCACAGTATATTTTAGGCATTACTTATGTTTGTGTACGGCCTCTCCAGAAAAGTCCATAAAGACCTGTAAAACAGTTCTGCACCAGTGGGGATGAGGTCAGCATAATGGTGGAAGACACATGTTTTCACTTCATTCCTGAGCAGAAAAGTGATGACACTTTTGACTTGTTCCTTGGCAACAATTGCTGCAGCACTAACAATCTCTTAGTATTTTTATAAGTCGTGAGGCGACCTGACGCAAGAAAAGTGAAATGAGTCAGCAACAATCAGCTGAGGTAACGTTATAATAGCGTTACGTACATTGTTTATATTCATATTGTATATTTTCGCTTAAAATGTTATATTGTTACAATGGTGTATTACAAATCTCACTACAATATGCACTTTAAGCCACGACATAGAGTGTCTTTAGTCTCAGAATCAAAATAAATGTTATTAACAACAATATCATATTAACATTTATAACAGTTAATGGAAATACTCAAATGACTACATAATAAAATATATCAACCATATAGTAAATATGTTATGCTTTCTAGAGTAGATTCGAGAGGAAAACAGTAAGGACAGTTTATTTTAGTGCAGTGCAGTTGTGGCACGATAACTATTATTGTTGGCAGTACAATACCTACACCAAAAGCTCCACACAACTATTTTACAGTCAGGCTGGGAGTTACCTCAAGAGCTACAGTTATGACGTCTCATGTTCTTTTTGCACAGCTGCCTTTTGTAGCATGTGTATTACTACTTAATTCACTTCTTAGACTTTAAGATCATAAGCTCTGGTGCAGTTACCAACATTTGGCAGCCCACTCTGAACTGTTTTCTTCCTGTCATCAAATTCACCAGACTTTTGCTATTTATCCTCTGGACAATCCACTACATCAGGACTAAGAAGAACTCACTACATACAAACATGTTCAACACCAAAAGCAGTTCCAATCACTGCTCATCTTTGCCTATCAATCTTTTTTATAAGGAAGTACACAACATTTCTGACAAATGGCTATTGGCATGTTTCCCAACCACGCATTTAGCCACATTATTCATGTTGTGAATGGTAACTACTGATCCAAACATAATCTTGGTAAGAATAAAAGTTGTGCACATGTAAGACGGTTTAGTCATGGCGTGTCCCGTTAATCATTGACATCATAGGGTACTGTACCTTTGCCTCTGTGTGTCTGTCTCCTTCTCTGTCTCTGTCCCTGGTCAGGTCGCAGTACAATGGTCGCAGTGGTCCCAGATGAGCTCTGCAGAGATGCTGGGACAGTAGGCCTGGGACAGTCGATGCTCCCCCGAAACAACAGAGGAACAAGCCGGATGACAGCAGACTCACTGTCCCGAAAGGCAGCAGCGAGTGCGGGGTCTTAATAACGCTCTGAGTGTCCAATGAGTGCTTTTGAGAGTGGGATCTGCCTCTGTCCTGTGTCAGCCTCTTTCCTGGATGTTCTCTGGGATACGGAGCATAAAGTGGGACACGGCCAGACGTCAAGCTCCTGCTTTTAAATACTGGGCTGGATGTTACGTACCACGTAGCAGGAAGTGGGCGGGGCTTGTTCACCGGCACTGCTCTCTCTATTGAACAAGAGCTGGCCACAGATCTATGATAAATATAGATCTAAGCAGAATTATTGATGAAAACTGTGCTGGCTCCAGGCGGATTTGGATTTGTAAAACTGTATTGAGCGATCGTTCACAGAAAAGGTTCTGCTGCGGTAGTCATGATGAATGAATGCATATTGTTGTTTATTAATGAATAATAATATATGCTTACCTTTGGGATGTGACGAACATTGTTTGAAAATTAGTGACCACCACAATGTTTTAATTAAAGCTGGAGTACCTATAACTAAAAAAAACTAACTTTAATGAGTTACATAGCTCTACATGTTTAGCCTCTGACCCATCTAGATCTCACACATCTTAAGATAAGATTTTTCAGCAAAAAAGAGGGTACCAGCCCTCACTTAGCCAATCAGCTCTCAGTAAGTAAAAGATGCAATGTTTTGTGATGAAATGAAGACAGTATGTTGTGATCAGATGCGTTGCTGTATGTTAATATAGATGTTTTGTAATAGTTTGATATAGTTTTGAATAGTTAGACTTTTCTCATTGTCATGTTTGGACTGCAGGTTTTCCTCACAGTACTATGTCCATCACATTGATGAATTTGAAGGTAATGAGAGCTGACATTCTTGGAAAACAAGAATGAATTCAATGCTTGGTACATAATGCAAGACTTCCTTCCTCCGTCACATGACTGCAGCACGCTGACTGGTGAAACATCTGCGTTCTTCTTCAGATCTTTAACTGTTCTGTTCACAGCTCAGCAATGAGAGATTTCAACAGCGACCCTTTTGTGCAATACAAGTGAATATGCTCCACAAAACATTGACAACTTTGGAGGCAGTATTGGCGAAAACATTGGTGCCTGAAAAATGCAACACTGCCTGAGACTTCCTCTTGAAAAGGGGCCAAAATGTATCATTCTCTGCTTAATCTTAAATAACTTTGCCGTAGAGGTGTATAATATAAAAAGAAGAAATGGAAGTGAGACAAAAAATATGCTTGTGTTAGCATTTATTGAAAATTTAAATCATGCTTTGATCAGCGGATCAATAACCTCATTTTAAAGCATTTTGCAATTTAAAGACCCAGTCTTTAAAAGGCAAAAGGGCGGATTGAATGTTATTTTCTGTCAGACATTCACACGATTGGAAAGAAAGGTTATGGAGAAAAGTCAAGTGGTCAGGGGAGCTGTCATGTTCCTCAATCCATATTAGGGTCGGTATTCTCCATTTGACAATTTGCCGCATCCGGGGGACCCTTCTCCAGATCCTGAACATTAATGAAAATTGTATCTCTATTTGAGGGGATTATCAAGTTGAATTTTTGAAGAACCCAGTGAAAATGTAAATTATTTTGAAATTTGTTAGGAGCATCCCCATTCCCAGGGAAATAAGTTGGTACAAAAACAGCAACTGCATACATTCCCAAAACACGGTGCAAAAACAAACTGTTTGCCCGTGGGACAAGAGCAGGTTCACACATTCTTTCAGAGCTTCAAGATAAAGGATCACAGGCTCCACACCTCTGGAAGTGTAGTCCTCACCATATCTAACTTCAGCAAGAGCAACACTGTGTAACCACCTCCGTTTGTCATACACTACTACACTGATTGAGCCATCGGAGGCCGACATCAAAGGTCAAAAAGAACTATCGTACAAGTGTGACTCAACTTGCAGATAATGTTCAAGGCAAGGCAAGTTTAATTGTATAGCACAGTTCACACACAAGGCAAATCAAAGTGCTGAACAAAATAAGATAGAAACAATTTGAGGCACAAAAATCATAAATAATCACAGTACGTTAAAAAGAGTGGAGATATAATCCTTCAGTTGCATGCACAGAACTGTTTTTAACATGGATTTTAACAATGTCGAATGAACATTGTGCGGCAATAAATGATACTCTTAACTAGATATTCAAAACAATATGATACCAAAAAAGTTAATTTAATTTTATAGCACACTGTAATTTACAACATGTAGACTACTGCCTGTAAAGCATGCCATGTGGAGGGGTCATAACAGAGACAGCAGTAATTACAAAACCACAACTGTTCATGAGGACTATAGTTTGTGGTTGAACAATAATCTTTGGCATCTGTACGTAATCTTCATGCACTATGGTTTTCACAGCAAAGAGTTGCAAAAGTGGTAGACGACTTTCCCGATCAGATCAGATAACTGCGTAACTGCCAAATTCAGATACATCCATTGAATAAACAAAGACACAGCGGCCCTTTCAAAATGGCAGATGCGGTCTTGTGCGTGAGCAGGAAGCACCTGTCATTCAGATACACTTTATGACAGGGCGTAGAATGGTGTAAGTATGATAACAATGACAGATAACATCTCAGCGCGCCCAATGACCACGAGCCATCTTTATTACAAGAAGGCACATTATGGGGTTTTCCCATCTTTGCAAAACAAGTCACAATAATAATAATGTTTTATCTTGCGTTTTTTAGGATACTTTACATGGCATTATTTATTCATTTCGTACACAGTGGTGGTTAACTACAACTGCATTTCACCACAAAAAAATTCACCCACACACACACACACAGACACACACACACACACACACACACACACACACAGACACACAGCGACACACACACACAATTTTCATTCTAAGCAATGTGGTTGATGTGTCTTGCCTAAGGGCACAGCGACATTATGGCACATTGCAGCTTCAGCCGCCCCGCTGTGGCACCTGGTGTTCCAAGAGGTCTCCCATCACAATATCAATCAATCAATCTTTATTTGTAGAGCGCCTTTCCTACACAGGGCTTCACAGTCCGCATCACAAAAGGTACAAATCATGGCATAAAAGAAATATCAAAATCACCATTAAAAACACATGGTAATCAAAAACATTAAAATCACATGTCATAAAATTCAAACCATTGATACATTAAAATCACACCAGAGATCCAAATAATACATAACCACAGTGCACTAAAAACTGAGATAAAATCCCTCACTTGTAGCACAGACAAACAAAACCATCTTTAACCTGGATTTGAAGATTGTCAGAGTAGAAGCCTCTCTCACATTTTCAGGGAGACTGTTCCAGATTCTAGCTGCATAAATCTGAAACGCTGCCTCCCCATGTTTAGTTCTGACTCTGGGTACCAGCAGGAGGCTTGTCTCTGTGCTCCTCAGAGTCTAACCATGCTAACCAGGCCCTTTTTCACTTTACGACTGGACCATGCGCAAGAGGGACAGAACTGCACCACATACAGCACAGAACCGGGCTACACAAGACAGAACCGGTCTGAGCACGAGCCGCGATATGGCAATAAAGTAGAATCTCAATTTTATTTCCTGCTTTGGACAGTTTCGATTTCAAATCGATTTTCATTAAAGTCACAAAGGCAGACTTTGCTTGTAGAAATATATTTTGATCTTTCCTCTCAATATTGAAGTTTCAAAACTATTTTGAATTTGTTTCCTCCAATACGTATTATAAAAGTCTTGTACAGACTGTGCTGATATTGCGAGTAATTCATGTGCTGCTGGAACTCTCACATTTTTCACAAATTTGATATTTTCAAAAGCCGATTCATTGCTTATTGCCCAGCCCTTTCTGACTATCACCGTTATGATTTCAGCTGTAGTTTCATTGCTCTTCATCCACTGTCCCATTGCCTGTTTCATGACAAGATGATGGGATCCCTAAACCTGCACCTGTGATCTGGCTGCACTCTCGCTCCTGCCTGGGAGCCTCTTCAGTCCTGCATTGTACATTCTCGGCCCCCATGCTATTTGAGAAATCTTTGTTGAAAATAAATGTCATTGAATGCTGGACTGCGGATGCGTGTGTGGTTGTTGTGGCTAAGCGTAGCCTAAATAGAGAATTAAACTCAATTTTACCCCAAAGCACTCATATGAATTAGTCTCTCCAGGACAAAACCTCTAGATCCAGCACTGTGTTGATAATCAGTTATAGTTTTATTGGTGCATTTCCTCAAAAAGGAATTTGGCGAAATGTCGACAATAACAATAGCTATTGACTATTGCTGCAACCGTTAAGAGATAAACAATGAGATTTTAATGAGATAAAGACAGCATGGTTTGTTCATATTACGTCACTTTCGCCAGACTCTTTCTATTGGGACAAACAATGCATTATTTATTAAACAAAAAGAGTAAGGTACTCCACCTTTACTTTAGGGTTATAGTTTACAGGTAGATATACAATATGTTAATAGTTTACTTGACTACTGTAATGGTTTTAGTTACATACTACATATAAGTACTATATGGTACAGTGGAAACAATTTTGAGCATGTAAAAAGACGTTTTAGATCAGTTGTTTTTACTAGAATATTTTTTTATTGCATCAATGCCGCAACATTGTGCAGAGAGAGGTGATGTTTTTATAAGGGTATGACAAGTAATTCTGAACTTAAGTGGAAATTAACAAAACAGAAGATTGATGTAGGTAATTCACTCATAAATATCAGACTTGATTAGAATATTTGTTCATGGGAGAAGGCAGCCTTAAAGAAAAGCTGAGGTTTGCAGGTTCTGAAAAACAAAGTCCACAGGGCAAAAATGTGCATGACCACCTGTACCTCTTGCAGCACTTCAACCTCTTTGTAAAGGCTCCTTAGGCCTTAAATGTGTCACACAATCGTTATTTTTTTCTCACATGCAAATACATAGTTAAACAACAATTAAGTAATAAAGAAATTATGTATTTAACCTCAAACTAAGAAGTCCCAACAACAACAAAAACAATAAAGTCATTACATGGATCTCCCATTGCTGAAAAACTGATTATATTATGGTTGTTATAAGGCAAAGTCTGTTATAAATTAGAATAAAAAATTAGATAAACAATCAACAATCCAGGGCAATTAAGATTCCACTCATCAAATCCAACCAGTTCCTCTATTTGAAAGCAGCAAAAGCACGAATACAAACGTTTTCAATTCCAGGCTCTTTGAAGAAAGGAGTTTCCTCTTTGACCAAACACCAGCTGTTCCATTTTAGAGCACAGCACTGGTTTGGTCCCTGAAAGTGCTAAAAAGAGAAGTCCACATAGACTGGGAGTGCAGGGGGCTCAGTCAAGCGGCTAATTGAGAAGACTTGAACCACTGCATTGATGGGGAGAGTCCTAAGTTATTTATTACTGCAGCACGCCAAGGCTTCCTCAGCAAATCACAGTGCTCTGTCCATAAGAATTACAGCGAGGCAATATTATGTCTCCTGCGGTGTTGCTATACCACTACCGAGTTCTACCACACTGTTTAATCAATATTAGCAGATAATTACAAACGGGCTTGTGATTTTTAAAGCCATTCAGTTCAAAAAGGAAACACTACGGTTACTATTCTAGGATTTACGTCGGCCTGTTATCAGTGAAATAGGTAAAAGCTTGAGCAATTTCTCCTTCATATAAGCACAGTTATAGACATAGTAGGGTGTCCGTCAAAAGTGTACGTTACAGATTCATTCATATTTGTTGCCTAAATACAGCAGATAAGGATCACGCTGACACACAACAGGACCATGGCACCAAGGCATAACTTTCCTTGACGAAGTATCCAAATATTTATATCTGTCAGTCCAAAAATGGAAGTTGGTTTTAACCTTGCCAATCCTTCTTAACAAACAGTGAACCGCAGCATTGCCTTAAAAAGAAAGTTATTTTTTTTTAAAGCTGTAACAAGTTAATTGATTGAACGCAATGAATTATGTACAGATATAGTTATAGTAAAAGTAGAGACTCAAAGAGAGAATTACAATTAAATGGTTGAATTTTAATACATTTTTTGTCACAACTTCTCAAGGTGCATCACTTTAGCTTTGTATTTGTCAAAAAATACAAATCATCAAAACAATTGTTAATTACATTTCTAGTTTTTCTCATTTACCTTTCTATAATAGCAAGCTACGACACAATATTATGTGTAAAGTCAGTGTCACCCATTTGTTGAAATCCCTTAAAGTCATACATGTCTTCTCTCTAAATATTGATTTAGAGAGAAGACATGACCCCACCACGACTCACCAGTCGTGGTGGGGATCTGGAGGCTTGCTCTTTTACGGAACTGCGGTTTGCTGGTGGTCTTTCCTTGACCATTAGTGGAGCTCGAGGAATCAGAGGTTGACATCTTGGCCTCAGTGTCTTGGCTCTTGGAGCAGAATGCGTGAATTGTTGGCAGTGTCCAGCAGAGGGGCAGTAAAATGCTCCTCACCCTGGGGCGGTGTGGGGGGTCCTGGGACAACACTCCACGTCCTGAACCGGCACAGACTCCTGCACACAGCTGGCCCCTCCTTCCATCGAGCAGCAGATCTGAGCGTATGCTGTACAGTGACAAGCTCGCAGGAAACCCTCCGTCTGATGCTCCTCCACTGGGGACTACCCTCCTTGGTTGCCGTAGTAACCGGGGTGCAAGTTTCCTGAAGTGAAAGTAAGGAAGAGCGGCCACACTGAGGAGCATGGCAGACAGAGGTATGTGACCAGCATGACAGTGGACAGGCACACTACTCACCAGCTCAGCAGCAAGGAGACAGAAGGACAAAAGTAGTTTCCACTGCTCTAAAATTAGCTACAACACACATCAGATAACATGAGAGTGAGAAGCGTTTGTCAACCCACTGGTCCAGAGGAACAACTGGAAGAAAGTCCAAAGCCACAGGGTCTGCACACATGGGGAAAACAAAAGCTGAGCAGACAGTTCTCACAGTGATTTATAAATAGAAAAAGTAATGCCTACACAGTGATTTATAAATAGAAAAAGTAATGCCTAATAAGCTATTCATCGGCGTGTTCGTGTGTGAGTAAGTGAGTAAGTAATCTTTATACATGTAGCCTCTCTCACAGACCACAGTCACAATGCATTTGTCCTCCTCTTACACCATACAGTGATTGGAAACATTTATTCTACAAAACATCTCCATCTAGTGGTAGGATATCAAAACATAATATTTGTGGTGATTTTTTTTAGTCCACGCTTTGAGCACAGAAAAATAGTTGTTACAGAGATTGATTTTAATAATCATGTTTGTTCTGAACTATAAAAAGTACAGTTTTGGATACAAGCTGGTCATGAAATTATCTCAGAATGTCGTCTGGAATTAACATAATAAATGCTGAACTCACCTGACATTTGGAGCCTCTGCATCAAGTAGCAAATATAAAAGTATGCAAACATTGATACTTTTGCTGTTGATTGATATTTTGGATTGCTTTTTTTATAGTAGCCTGAGCCAATACGAAGTAACGAAGAAATGTATTTTGGTGTAGAGAAACGAAATTCGGTAAACTGGTAGATAGAGACGCTTAAAAGCCAGTCCGAGCCCATGGACCGAGTCATGGATCTGTAATAATAACGGACCGAGTACATCTCTGGGACCAACAGGGAGTCGGCCATGATGCTCCGAAGCTTCGCCGACTTTTCATTTTTTTGATTCGAACTAGTCCTTGGTTTTTCATCACACAGAGTTCTACCATGTCATTTCCCAATCTGGACGGATTGAAGTTATATAATAATTTGTAAAAAGTTATAAATTCTTCATTGTTTTCGTCGCACGCCATTGCGAGTAAGACCCAGGGCTGGACTGGGACAAAAAAACGGCCCGGGCATTTTTTCCTTCTTACCGGCCCAGGCATGTTTTTGTCACGTTTTTTACAGTTTGTTTATACCAGGGATCGGCAACTCAAAAGGTTCAAAGAGCCATATTTGACAAAAAATACTAAAAACATCTGTCTGGAGCCGCAAAAAAATAACAGCCTTGTATAAACCTTATATGAAGGTTACACAATGTAGCTACATTAGCTACATTAGCCTATTATCTAAATGACCAAGTAAAGGCTACAAATACATGATTAGCATTCATGATTGTCAAATGTGTGTTTTCACTGCAGCGTGTCCTGGAGAGAATGACGCACCACGTGATGACTCTGCTTTAACTTTGACTTCCATTTTTTTGCCTTCATGCAACTGTAGAAATACAGTAAATAAATCTGCTTTTTGGCTCAAAGGTCACACACCTGCACTGTCCACTCATATAAGTAAGTAAGTAAGTAAGCTTTATTTATATACCGCCTTTCACAGACCAGAGTCACAAAGCGGTTTACAATTGTTATTTTTTGGGCACTTGTCTCTCACTCCACACAGAGATGGGAGCGGGGTCGCCGAACAGGAGGCGCATGCCAGACCTATTGTACATATTTTTAGTGGTAGGGGAAACCGGAGTACCCGGAGGAAACCTACGCAGACACAGGGAGAACATGCATACTCCACTCAGAAAGGCCCTGGTCCGGCCGGGATTCGAACCCAGGACCTTCTTGCTGAGAGGCGAGAGTGCTATCCACTCAGCCACTGTGCCGCCGATTACGGCACGATTACGTCACAGGCTGAAGTTTGCTGGAGCTGAATGTCCTGAATGGCCTTTTCTTTCACAGTCTTTGCGGAGGTTTTTGAAGTCTGAAAAAGGTGCTCCGGATTTTGTGTGAAAGAATCCTTCACGTAATCCCTGTGAACGGTATTTAGTGCTTCATTGTTCCTCGTGTTGCAACAAAACTTCCTATTACATCGCAAACATGAAGCAGTCCTTCCTCATTGACTGAAAGCAAATGTTCAGTCTTGTTCTTAGTCCAGTCTTATTATCGACTCGTTCTCTTTTTATCTTTGGGATCCGTGCCACACGCCGGTTTGTTTACAGCAGCGGCCGCCTGGCGCAGGGCCGCGCCACAGGATATGACTCACTACGTTGACAGAAATGTTGAAATTGAATATTACTTATACACATTTTTACAGCATTGAAATACGTTAGGAATGTTTTTCCTCCTACAGAAACCACATTGAAACTAGGAATAAAATATAGCCCTCACACTCCATTTTCAGACATTTTTTAAAAGGCTCCAGGAGCCACTGGAGGAGCACTAAAGGTTGCCGACCCCTGGTTTATACAGTATGTGGAAGCAAATACTGTAGAGGATCAGGATGTCTACAGTTTCAACAAAAAAATAAAGTGCAATAGTCTACATTACAAGAGAGTAATAAACATGTCTCAGAGTGAGGGAGGTGGACACAGACAACACTGTTGTTTGTTACAGGGATGAGAATTGGTCAAAAAAGTCTGAAATGCATAATGTCAGCCATTGGCTGGCTCTAAATCTGTTTAATTTTTTCACAACATTTTACTTTTGGGCTCAAACATGAACTTTTAATGCAATGGAAAATTTAGGCACCCGAGCTTTAATTTAGTCGCACTTCGAGAGGAGAGGGAGACGCGGACTGTTTCCTGCAGCGGTGTATTTATTGGGTGCACAAATTACGCAAAGACACGCATGGTCCTGTGCGCGTTTATGGTCTTGGGTACATGATCACGTTGCGGCTACGCGCTCACCGTGTTGTGTTGTGAGCGGTTCCCGGTGAGCGGTTCCCGCGTCCAGCTCAGAGCCGCTGGATGCCGGAACACTGCGGCCGCTGAGGTGGTGGAATCCCGTTCGAGTAGATGCAGCAGGTGCCCCGCGGACACGCGCGCTCCCCTCAAACATTTCTCAACGGATTTACACTTTTCACAAACATCTTTTTTGTATGAGGCAAACAGACCGGCCCAAATATGGGCATCGGCCCTTCTGGCATTGCCCGGTACGCCCGATGGCCAGTCCAGCCCTGGTAAGACCTATGTTTTGGGTGATTTGGCTGAGCCCTCAGGGCCACAGGTGAGACTTTAGTGTTTAGTATATACAGTCTATATACAGTCTATATGCAGTCTATATACAGTCTATATACAGTCTATATACAGTCTATATACAGTATATATAGTCTATATACAGTCTATATACAGTCTATATACAGTATATATACAGTCTATATACAGTCTATATACAGTATATATACAGTCTATATACAGTCTATATACAGTCTATATACAGTCTATGGGTGAGACTCGAACATGGCTCTTTAGCTCTTTAGCGACTCCGGTCTCAAAGAAATGACTAGTGGTAATCAGCCCAAAAATCACTGACTGTAATCTGAAGCGAGACAAGCAAAACATTACATCACGGTACATTACACCTGACCACTACCGTGGACAAACTCCATCGTTTTTCGTCCATTTGTGGTTGGAATGAATGCCCTCAATGTTCAGTTGCCGTGTGTGTGTTCGTGTTCATATTGATTCATGCACAGTTGAAGTAAGTAATCTTTATTTATATACCGCCTTTCACAGACCAGAGTCACAAAGCGGTCTCTCACTCCACACAGAGATGAGAGCGGGGTCGCCAGTACAGGAGACGTATGCCAGAACTATTGTACCTATTGGGACACAGGGAGAACATGCAAACGCCACTGAGAAAGGCCCTATTCCATCTGGGATTCGAACTCAAGATCTTCTTGCTGAGAGGCGAGAGTGTTATCCACTCAGGTACCGTGCCACCCAAATCCCTGTTCGGAGGGGTTGTATGACAGGTTTTATTATTTCACAATTTATGAGGTTTTTTGTTAAATGACACCGGATTAAAATGTGTTTCAACCAACAGTCACAATTTGTTGACACTTTAATGATGAACTAGCCTAAATGAAGTTATATTTGTATAATAGAATGATCAGACAATACTGTAATTTATGTTACATTGTTTTAACTCACTTGATTCTAACTGTTTTGTCCAGCCTGTCATATCATGGATCTATGTGTCATATGCACTAAGTTTGAGTACTTTGGATATTCCTGTTTACGCCATACCGTTTACTCACCCACTTTATAGGCTACTGCAGTGATGGGCCTTCTTCTATGTGAACATATATGGGGTTAATCCTATGTAACACATTTTCATCCATAATACAATGTTCACGACAGTCCCCAAGCATCACTCTTTCAAACCTAAGTTGCCTCGGTCTCCTGCTCACACAATCTTCAAGAGAAATGGCTCTATAAGTAATGATTGTCATGTCTGAGTTCATGGCTTGAGGCAAATGTAACTTTTTGTTACGAGTCGGACAAAGAACCCAAGTGCAGAGGTAACAAAAAGTTTAATTAACAAAAATAGGTAGACTCAAAACACAGGAGAGCCGGGAATGGGGCTGGGACCAGGCGGGGCAGGGCTGGGTGCAGAGCTGGGGTCAGGCGGTGCTGGGCTGGGGTCAGGCGGTGCGGAACGGAGGTCTGAGGCAGAGCAAAACAAAGGTGAGACAAAAGTAACGAGAGCGATAAACAAGCAGGCCTACTAACGCACAGTAACACTGATTACGAACTGGCACCGATGAGCTGGCTTCTGGAGCTCTTGTAGTAGCTTGATTGGAGCCAGGAGGCAGCTGGGCCTGATCAGCCTCTCCCATCCACCTGCTCTGGGAGGCGGCTCCAGGAGAAGCAGGGGAGGGAGGGGCTGCTGGAGGAGCAGCCCTGACAGTACCCCTCCCCCTACTGACGCCCCCAGGCGGACACACACGCCTCCCCGGTCGACGAGCGTAGAAGTCCCGTATGAGGGACGGGTCCAGGATGTTGCCACGGGAGACCCAGCATCGCTCCTCGGGGCCGTAACCTTCCCAGTCCACCAGGAACTGGCAGCCACGACCACGCTGTCGAACATCCACGATCCGCCGAACGGTAAAGGCAGGATGGCCGTCCACCAACCGAGGCGGGGGTGGGGCTGGACGGGGGGGAACCAATGGACTAGACTGGACAGGCTTAACACGGGACACATGAAACGTGGGGTGAATCTTCAAGGAAGAGGGAAGCTTGAGACGTACCGCGGAGGGGTTGACGACCTGTTCCACCTCAAAGGGCCCGATAAAGCGGGGCGACAGCTTCGCAGATTCCACCTTGAGGGGAATGTCTCTCGTGGACAGCCACACCTTCTGTCCAGGCAAATAGGCAGGAGCCGGGATGCGGCGGCGATTAGCCTGTACTTGCGTCCGAGCAGAGGCGCGCAGCAAGGCAGAGCGGGCCTTCTTCCAAGTCTTTTGACATCTGCGAAGGTTATCCTGGACCGAGGGCACTGCCAACTCAGCCTCTTGGTCAGGAAACAGGGGCGGTTGATAGCCATAACAACATTCAAAAGGGGACATACCTAAAGAAGCGCTCGGGAGTGTGTTATGGGCATATTCCACCCAGGGAAGGTGAGAACTCCAGCTGGACGGATTAGAGGAGGACACACAACGTAGAGCCACCTCCATCTGCTGGTTAGCCCGCTCCGTCTGGCCATTAGTCTGGGGGTGATAGCCAGAGGAAAGGCTCACGTTAATATTCAGGGCAGAACAGAAGGCCTTCCAAACCTGAGCCGTGAACTGGGGGCCTCTGTCAGACACGATGTCGGCAGGAATGCCATGCAGCCGGAAGACGTGGTTCACCAACAGGTCTGCAGTCTCCTTAGCAGAAGGAAGTTTAGGAAGGGGTACAAAGTGAGCAGCCTTTGAGAACCGGTCCACAACTGTCAGCACCACGGAATTACCATTAGAAGGCGGGAGGCCGGTAACAAAATCCAGCGCTATGTGAGACCAAGGGCGATTGGGGATGGGTAGAGGACGCAGCAACCCAGATGGGGGCTGGTTAGAACATTTATTCTGGGAGCACACGTTGCATGCAGCAATGAAGTCCTTAGTATCCCTCTCCATAGTAGGCCACCAGAACTTGCGCCTGAGCACAGCGAGGGTACGACTAACCCCAGGGTGGCATGTAAGGTGGGTGCAGTGTGCCCATTGAATAACTTCTGAACGAACGGGGTCAGGAACAAACAAGGAACTCGGGGGTCCCGTCCCCGGATCCGGGTGGGTCAGTTGCGCATGACGCACTCGTGACTCTATCTCCCATGTAACGGTAGCCACTATACGGGACAAAGGCAGAATAGTGTCATTCTCAGGAGCAGGATGTGCACCGCAATAAACTCTGGACAAGGCATCTGGTTTCAAGTTCTTGGAGCCAGGGCGATAAGTGACAGAGAAGTTGAAACGGTCGAAAAAAAGGGCCCACCTGGCTTGCCTTGAGTTGAGACGCTTGGCTGTCTGGATATACGTGAGGTTCTTGTGATCCGACCAGACCACAAAGGGGTGAGTAGCCCCCTCCAGCCAGTGACGCCACTCCTCTAGGGCCAGCTTGATTGCCAGGAGCTCTCTGTTACCGATGTCGTAGTTTCTCTCTGCAGAAGACAGTTTACGAGAGAAAAAAGCACATGGATGCAATTTCTGATCAGTGGGTGACCCTTGCGAGAGTATAGCCCCCACTCCTGTGTCAGAGGCGTCCACCTCTACTACAAACTGGAGTTCAGGATTGGGCTGAATAAGCACAGGGGCAGAGGTGAACCGGTCCCTAAGTCGCTTAAAAGCCAAGTCAGCCTCAGGAGTCCATGCGAAATTGGAAGAAGTGGAGGTAAGTGCAGTCAGGGGGGCCGCAATGTGGCTGAAATTGCGGATGAATCTCCTATAGAAATTAGCAAACCCCAAAAAACGCTGTACCTCCCTGCGACTGGTGGGGATAGGCCAATCACGGACAGCAGACAGCTTTTCAGGATCCATCTGCACCTGGCCCCGGGCAATAATGTATCCTAAGAATGAGACAGAAGGTTCATGAAACTGACATTTCTCTGCCTTAACAAATAACTTGTTCTCCAGGAGTCTTTGGAGGACACTGCGGACATGGCGCCTGTGAGTCTCGATATCTCTAGAAAAAATCAAGATGTCGTCAATGTAAACAAAAACATATCTCCCAATCATGTCACGTAGGACGTCATTTACCAGGTTTTGAAACACGGATGGGGCGTTAGTGAGACCAAACGGCATGACCAGGTATTCAAAATGGCCCAGGGGAGTATTAAAGGCAGTCTTCCACTCATCCCCCTCCCTGATGCGCACCAGGTGATAGGCATTGCGCAAGTCCAATTTAGTGAAAATAGTAGATCCACAGAGAGGGGTGAAGGCTGAACTAATCAAAGGGAGTGGGTACTTGTTCTTAACAGTGATTTTATTGAGGCCCCGGTAATCAATGCAGGGCCTAAGAGACTTATCCTTTTTCTCAACAAAAAAAAATCCAGCACCCACCGGAGAGGACGAGGGCCTGATTATTCCCACTGCCAGGGATTCCTGAATGTACCTCTCCATAGACTCGTTCTCCGGGCGCGAGAGGTTGTACAGGCGGCTGCTCGGTAGAGGCGCCCCAGGAAGCAGGTCTATGGCGCAATCATAAGGCCGGTGAGGGGGGAGAGAAAGAGCCCGATCCTTGCTAAATACAGCACCAAGGTCGTGATACTCAGAGGGCACTACCGACAGATCCGGAGGGTCTGGGGGCGGGGTGGATCGAAAACAAACTGGGGTCAGGGCCGACTGCAAGCAATAAGAATGACAGAATGGGCTCCATGAAATGATACTCTTAGCTGACCAGTCAACATGAGGATTGTGCAACCTTAACCATGGCAACCCCAAAACAAGAGGAGAGTGAGTACAATCAAAAACATGGAAGGAAATAGTCTCCTTGTGGTTACCTGAGAGATGAAGGAGGATTGGGAGAGTCTTCCTCGTGACTCTGGCGAGTAACTGCCCATTCAATGCCTTAGCCTCCAAAGGGGTGTCCAGAACTTCGGTCCCAATTCCCAGCTGGTGAACGACCTCACTGTCCAAAAAGCTCTCATCTGCCCCAGAGTCAATGAGCACAGGAAGCGTTAGGGTTTGATCAGAAAAAACAAGGGTGCCCTCAAAACTGGCTCTTAAGGGAGAGGTGCCACTAATTTGGCTCAACAGTACGTCTCCCACTACTGTTGAGCCCAACCTTTTGGCCGTGCAGGACAAGATGCGATAAAGTGCCCAATCTGACCGCAATAGAGACAGCTCCGGGAGTTAATGCGGCGTTCTCTCTCTCCTGCACTGACGAGGGCTCGGCCAAGCTGCATGGGCTCTGGTCCCGGCGTGGCTGGAGGTGGAACAGGCGGTGTCGCTGGAAAAACAACTTGTGGAGAGTTGTAAGCATTCACATATTTCGTCCTACCCGCTCTCTCACGTCGCCGCTCCCTGAGCCGGTTGTCCACACGAATGGTCAAATCAATTAAATCATTTAGGCTACCAGGAACGTCACGGGAAGCTAGCTCGTCCTTGAGATTCTCCGACAGAGAATTAAGAAATGCTCCCAGAAGCGCCTCATCATTCCACCCCGATTCAGCTGCGAGTGTGCGAAATTCAATGGCCAACTCAGCTACACTGCGGTTCTCTTGACGCAGGGAAAATAGTCTCTTAGCCGCCTCCTTGCCACTAACAGGATGGTCAAAAATCTGCCTCATAGCAGCAGTAAAATCGTAATAGGAATCACAAATTGGATCCTGTCTCTCCCAAACTGCGGAGGCCCAATTAAGAGCATGGCCTCGAAGGCACCCAATTAAGTATGAAATCCTGGCTCGATCATTAGCATAACTTAGCGGTTGTTGCTCAAAAATAAGGGAACACTGGGTCAAAAAAGACTTACATGACCCCAGGTCGCCGTGGTACGGTGCCGGTGGAGGAACAAAAACATCTCTGGTAGGAGGAGGCAGGACTAGCGATGGGGCAGCAGAAGGAGCAGAAATATTATCAGTGGCCGTTGTGTTGATTACTTGAGTCCTCAGGCTTGCCAGGCTGATAGAAAACTCCTTCATGTGTTCCATGAGGGCCTTGAGCGTATTGTCATGTTGCTCCAACAGAGACATCTGGGCAGAAAGGGTCTGGTTGATGTGGTCTGCTGGGTTCATTCTTTGGCCAGTTCGTACTGTTACGAGTCGGACAAAGAACCCAAGTGCAGAGGTAACAAAAAGTTTAATTAACAAAAATAGGTAGACTCAAAACACAGGAGAGCCGGGAATGGGGCTGGGACCAGGCGGGGCAGGGCTGGGTGCAGAGCTGGGGTCAGGCGGTGCTGGGCTGGGGTCAGGCGGTGCGGAACGGAGGTCTGAGGCAGAGCAAAACAAAGGTGAGACAAAAGTAACGAGAGCGATAAACAAGCAGGCCTACTAACGCACAGTAACACTGATTACGAACTGGCACCGATGAGCTGGCTTCTGGAGCTCTTGTAGTAGCTTGATTGGAGCCAGGAGGCAGCTGGGCCTGATCAGCCTCTCCCATCCACCTGCTCTGGGAGGCGGCTCCAGGAGAAGCAGGGGAGGGAGGGGCTGCTGGAGGAGCAGCCCTGACACTTTTGTTTATAACCATCCTGGAATCTACTTTAATATGATGAAAAAGAATCATTTACAAGCGTCACGTGTAATAAATAAAATGACAGAGCTTAATCATCATCACGCTAATAACTTATAAACATAAAAACGTTTTATTTATCAGACACCAACTCTGCATACGTTCATGTAAGTAAAGTACAATGGAAGTCGTTTTTGACTTTGAGCACAGCATACAAAACAAATTCTCATCAAGTGATAATCCTAACACAAACATTAAAGATTCTTCACAGTATTATTTAGACAATGCCAAGATCATTTCATTATTGTATTAAAAATGGACTTAACTCGTAGATAAAAATAGCTTTAAAACCCTGTTTCCATGGTAAAAATCCTTTCAGTCGAAACATGTCAATTTCACCTCAATGATGGCCGCAGTTTTTTTTTTTTAAATAAACGATGCGCAGGAATCATAGCTTACAATTTATCCAAAATACTCTCCGGAGAAGCACAGTAAACAATGCATTTTTACGGCTTTAAACCCAACATCACATACTGCATACACATACCGCTGTTAGAAAATGATAACATATACTCACGACCAAAACAATACTTAAGAGGCACGTACATTTTCAGCTGTTTAAATATTCACAAGAAAAAGTACATTGTTACATAAAGAATTGAATGGATGTTTGGTTTGGTTCTGCTACTTTGGTCATAGAGAATATAGCAGAGAAGGAACACACAACAAATTACAACCAGATTATAATCCTTGCTTCAGTGGTAAGAGACACTGAATAATATATTGGCTTGCCTTTATAACCAATTATAAGATTCTAACCAACTAAAACATGAATTTAGTTGACATTGTTGAATGTATTACTTTGAAATTGTGTTTTGAGAGACTTCAAAAAGCCTGTAAAGCGCTTTACAAGTGCAGGGCATTATTATTATTATCATCATTATTTGTAAATTACAAAGTGTAATTTCTGTGTACTCTGCTAATATAAAATGGTCCACATAAATGAAAAACAATGTGTTTTTTATGTAGAATAACTGATTTGTTACAGAAGTGTAACCATCAGTTTGTTGTTACAGCAAATACTGTCAAGTTTGCGGCTGTTTAGATGTAAACGTACTGACTAAAAGAAAACAGTTCATCCACTGAGTAGTAGTTTTCCTGTACAGAGCTGAGTGGTTGTGTGGAAGGCCATCAGAAAAAACAAGGTAGAATATAAATCCCTGTTCATTTCTTTAAATGCATACAAAAGCTTTACTGTAAGTTTCCATTCCAAATATATTGAAGCAAAGTGCATACATTGGCATTTCAAACATTTTGCTTTGAAGCATATGAGAGGAATATCCTTAAAGCAACACCTGAAACACATTTTATCTCATAAAAGCTTAGCTTTCTGTGTATATATGATTGTTTTTTACTTGTCCACTCTCAGTAAACTCAGATGGCTCCTCCGCAATTTGCCCAGGAATACGAAAATCAACAGGGATTGGCTGCGGAGGCTCAGAGGGAGGGGCTTGAGCCTCAGCACAGCGGATATCTCCTTTGGGGCTCGAGGTGCTGTGGGAGTTCTGAGGGTCCAAGTTACAGCCAGTGCCCTGAAGAAACTGGAGGAAGTTCTCTTCTATGGATCCATCCCGACTGGGAAGCCTCTCCTCCACCTCTATCCCACTGCGGCGAAACAGACAGGGCATGTGCTTCCCCAGCTCCTCCCTGATCTGCCTGTTGAGGCATCCGTAGAAGAAGGGGTTTGATGTAAAACAGAAGTAGCCGATCCAGGTGACAGTCTCCTCCAGTGAGGCAAGGGCAGCTGGGGGGCTGGAGGCAAGAGCAGAGTACAGGTGGAAGGAAAAATATGGCAGCCAACAGCATAGAAACTGACCCCCTACAGCAGCCAGGACTGCTGCTGCCTTCCCCCCTCCAAAAGGTCGCTGAGGAGTGGCCCTGCCTGTCCCTGTGCCAGAGCTAGTGACCATAGTGGAACGACTGCTCATGGACTCTGAACGCTGACGACGAGGCGTGTCCATCCAGGTAGGCAAAGGCCCATGATGCATCGCCGCAACCCGTGCCACTTTGAACATATTGCAGTAAACAACAAGAATGACAAGAATTGGACACAGGAAGTAAACAAGTGTAAATAGAACCATGAAGGCCAAGCGGTTTGGTCCCCCTCCTGACCAGTGCAGCGAGCATCGCCTGTGGCCTTGAGACGAGGCTGAAGGGACAGGACCACCAGCTCCTGCTCCCACACTGGAACTCTCTAGCAGAGGAGCTTTCCCTCCTTGGATGAACCAGGCAATGAGCGGCAGCGCAGACATGACTAGGGCCTTTACCCAGATGCCCACCAGCACAGAGGCCACTAGACCCATTGTCATCTTCACCTCATAGCGCATGGGGTGTATTATGTAGTAGTAACGCTCCACGTTGATGACGGAGATGGACAGAATGGCAGCGCTGACCAGGCACACACTGAGAAAGAGGTAGCTCCGGCAAAGAGCCTCTCCAAAAAAGGGCCGACTCGACAGCATGCCCAGAGGCATGAGCACCAGTGCTGCTAGAAGGTCCACCAAGCACAGGTGAAAGACAAAGGCAAACTTATGGAGCTGTGGGGCTTTGGCAATCACTGCCATGACAGCAATGTTCCCCACCACTGCCACCAGATCCATCAGCAGCATGGCTACCAGAGCAAGAGACTGGGACACATCCCAGCCTTCTGCCAGAACGGAAGCCGAAATGTTGGTCTGTGGAGGAGACTGGGAGGAGTTCCACAACGACTCCATTGAAGGATGGAGCGAGGCAGGCAGGAAGGACAGCTCACAAGCCCATCACCCATCCTTCTGCGTCGGGAAGAACGACAGAAAACAGTGACTTAAAACAAGGTCACGAGCCAGTGAGTAGTCCGGAGGTGGTTGACTGCTTAATGAATGTCCATCAAGGTATACACGACCTAAGGAACAGAACAACATGCACAAGTTCTTAGGAGTTTATAATTACTTTATAATACATACAATATAAATATGTTACATTTTACTTAACAATCTTAATCTCTTCAAATACATTATGACGAGAGTGAATTAAATATCATCCTAACCCAGATACATAGTCACACACAACAACAGAATACAAAAAACAAAATGTTGATCGATTTGATATCTGAAATTGTCACATTCATTGTTTTGAACTTGACCTAATTTATTGTGATTATCGCACAACCTACTATGACATAACAAACCAGGAAAAACCCTTTCATGTTAATTCATATGTAGGGGATGATGATATTTCTAGCATACATCCTGTCCTTGAGTGAATGCCGAATATCTTAAGTATATGGCATACACCTTACGTTCCCATGTTACATCTTTGAGCTCATGTTGAAATGTGACAGAGGCCTCGGCATTGTGTACATAGGTGTAGTGGATTAGCCAGTGGGTAGGAGTCAGGAGCAATAATAGTCTGCAAAGAGACAGAGTCAGAGAACATCATGTGGCATGTTGTTTTTGGTTGGGCAGCTATGCAATCCTTCAATTCCAAATGAAATAGTTTTGTGTCACCTGCTTCCAGTGAAAACCAGAACAAACCTTTCACATATCTGAGCAAGCTTTAGTCATATCTGTCTACCACCTACTCATTTATGTTTTAATAGAAATCATGTTACACCCATTGTTATAGCTGGGCCCATGCTAAGTATCACACAACTTGATTTTTTTTACAACAAGACCGTACATTTGTGAGACAGAAAATATGTACCTGGTCCAAAAGTATTTCCTGATTCTGCTGTCTCTTGCTTTTGGTCTCTTGGGATGAAAAACTGGAAGCTCCCACTGCTCAGGCTCTCCTTGTGGACATCAATCAGTGTATTTGGAAAATGTGCTGGTCCTGTTGGATTGCCCTGAAGTGTTTCTCCTTGCATCCTCCCCCCAGATGATGACAACGGCTGTGGACATTTTTTCCTTCTCAAGGTGGAGACGATGGTGATGCTAAATCACTTCCAAAGGCACACCAGCTCAGCCCCTGCTCTCCTCCACACTCAGAGACTGCAGAGATGAAGCAGGAGGCAGTGAGGAGCAGAAGCAGCAGCCGCCTCCTCAGCAGGGTCCTAGTGTCCCATCAGGTAACACACACATCAGCCTACTGAGGGTTATAAATAGCTGCATGTAATTGAGCTATTATTAAAGATGGTCATGATATTATTTGAGCAGAGTGAATTGTCCATTTAATTTCACCTACTTAATAACTGTTATTTTCAGCAAAATTGCAGTGAGTATTTTTTTTTTTTTACTATAATTGTTGTTAGTATACTGAAATGTATGTTTTGAATCATAAATAGAATTTAAAACCAACATTGGACAAGTTTCACAAGCATTTGCTTTAGCTGTCAAAAGACATAATAGTACAGCATTAAGAGTGAAGTACAGTGAAGACAATTTCATTTTTAAAAGTACAATTATTTTGGTTTGAATTTCCTGACTCTCAATAATAAGTGTTGTGGAGGTTTTGTATGTTGTTGAATGCAAATTAGATGTAAAACATTATGCAAAATGTATTGTTTTAACGCAGATATCTGGTTAAGTTTTTCATGACAAGCATGTAATATACCAATACTGAAAAATCTCCCAAAAACCAACTGAAAGAATGGAGGAATGTGTTCTAATCCATCCAAGGCTATGTTGGCGACAGAAAGTGAGTGTGCAAGCAATTAGATAAACCATCCAAGAAAATGTGGATAATAAAGGACAAATCAATATATCTAGTATTATATTGCAACACAATAATCGCAAGATAATAAAACGATTTCCACTGAAAGAAGATGAATCCCGACTCTATTGAACCCCAAACTACAGTTGTTCTCTGGTTGCCAGGACGATGGCCCTCGTGTACAGTGTGCTGCGCTTGTGAAGGACAATGAACACTGGCCTATTATGGATAAGGCTACTTCCAGTGACAGAGCAGGCACCCGCCGAGCTGCTGCTACATTTGCATTTGTAAGGATTTACATGTGTGATCGCGACAAGGCACTCTTGACTAAGCGGTAATATAGGCTGGTTAAGGTGTTTATGTTTTTGGCATAGCATAGGATTAATTCAATTGATTGTTTTTAATTTCATCCCTCTTAAATGTAGTGAAACAGCAATGTCATCACGCACAGCAATGGGAATAATCTCATCCTCACCTGTAGCACATAAACGGGTATTGTATTCATTGTTAATGGAAATAAAATCTGATCTGTAAAATAATAATAATAATAAGTAGTGCTTTTTGCATAATTCATGTAGTCCTTGTCACATTAATAAACCTTGTATCAATAATTGTTCAATGAATTGCTGCCTGTGGTTTTAATTAATGTTGGTCAGAAATCAGCTCAGAGTGCAAGTGTGGGAGTATTGTTTTGGATTCACTCCCTGATTGTGTCTCTGTATAACATTTACCTATACTCGCACTGGTGTGTGTCTATAATTGTGTATCAGGTGTTGATTCATACCAAAAATAGCTCTACCGCGGCAGCACCAATCACCGCCATTGCAAATACAATGGTTTCTATGGTAACTGTGAAAATAGACACTACATATGCACTCAGAAATAGCACACACACACACAAAAAAGCATAGAGGATGCCGCTCTAGCCCCGGAGAACCTCGCTGTCATTTAAAACTAGTGTAAATTTGGATTGGCAAATGGAATAGTTTAAAAACGGGGCTTGCACACAGAAATTATACCGATTCAGATGACAAGCACATATTTACACATACGCCAGTACAAGATATTATTCATGTTCGTCATTGATTATACATGAATTAAATTTACATGCTGTGGTGATGCTTTGTAAGGATAGTGTTAGATCATTTATTGTTGTTTTACAAATGTAACAAAAACCTTGGAGCAAACCACTACAGCATTGGTTATATAGAGATTAAGCTCAATAGTAAAAATGTAGCTCAGCAAGTTGATAGCATTGATACATACAAACATATTCTCCCACCGACCAGTCAGTACAAAAACATGAATAAATACAATATTGCACTGTGGGCCTTCAGGGGTTATGTCTGTGGCTCTGTGACTGAAGCCTGTTTGTGCATGTGATGGTGGTCTGCAGTCTTCTTGAGGGGAACCTGGAGAAGTGGCGGTTCCCTGTGTGTGTGGAGATCCTGCCGTAAATTTATAAAAACCAAAATAATGACTGTTGCCTTGAAAACAGACACGTGGCAAGCATTCGCAAATTACTGCTTGGATCGGACGTAACTCTTTCTTTTGAGGAGGTTGTCTGTAGTTTTGGTTTAGAATGGATTGGGCTCACCATATTGGGAATTTTACCTGTATTTGACCCATGCATCAACGCCTCTCTGGAAATCTCTGTTGAAAAATCACCTGTATGCCTTTATTTCAGTTGCCATTTTTATTCCTGATTGAAGACAGAGCAAGCATTTGATATTTTGCGTCACAACAAAGACGTCAACCCACAGGTGCTAGCTTGTCCAAACAACAGGGACATGACTAAAGTCGTTGTGACCTGATAACTTGAATATTATGTCTTGCGTTGGTCAATTTTTATGAAGGCTAGAATCAACACCTCTCTGGTAAGTTGACCGGGGAAACCTTGAGTATGAGCTGTGCTAGACAAATAAACTTGCCTTGCCTACCTTATTGGTTGCACTCGAAAATCAAAGCTGGCTGAATGCTTTGGCATGCCACTCGAGGTTTTGTGTATATATAAATAAGTAATGTAGCATTTTTCTTTCTTTCTCTTCATAGTTGTCACTTTGTATTGATTTTCCATTAAAACCAACAAAATGTCTAGTTGTTTGGGGTAATAAAGTGAAATTTTGTTTAAAAATTCACAAGTTATGAGTACTTGACAGGAGAGAATCATAATCGTTTTGCAGTCGTCTTAACAGTATATGGAATGGCCGGTTATGTGCTTAAGAAAAAAAAAGACATTTAGTGTGACAATTGCATATTTGTCCATTGGCGTTTAAATAACTAACAAACCCCATTTTATTTTAATATTAAGTATCCAGCAGTCCATTATGTTATATGATAGGCCACTCACATACGCCTTTGAGTCTTGATATATGGGCTGAGTTGACCACATTAAAACAATGTACCTAATGTGGAATTAAAACTTTAGTCATTTAGTATTTACACAATTCTTTAGATTAAAACAAGACTGGGATTTGACCAGGTGGTGGCAGTATAGGCACAGCTGTAGTTGCTTTCTCTTATACAACTGCTGTATCATCATGCTCTGTGGCTCTGTGCTCTTTCCAATGTTCCATTACTTTAGCTCATAGTTTTTTGTTTTTTTTTCCTGGAGAAACAGATTTAACTATGTTTAAATAACTAAAGCATACATCCACAGAATACAGAACCACATGTGTGTCCAGTGTCACCTTACTCAGTCACATTGTCCTAGACCCTCATGCTGCTTACATGTTCAGATGTATACAACTATGTATATATATTTTTTAATAAATATATCTTTATTTCTTGCACTAGATTATATAGTATTTTACACTTGCTTCTTCCTCATACTAAATATAGAGATGTTATACTTACGTCTCATAACACTAAAGTTGGAGATATGCTTCCTTATCATGCTAAAGCTAGAGATGTTATACTTGCTTCTTTTTCATGCTAAAGTTACAGATTTGATTTTATTAATTCCCACTGTTCCGTAAATTGTTCTGAAATGTCTCCACTGTGGGACACATAAAGGATCTCTTCAGCTTTACCTAGAGCATAGTATGATCTCTGGATACTATTTGAAACCAGTCATTAATATTGGGCAACAGAGGACCTTCCTTCTTATTGCGTAACAGTCATTTGTCTCTTTTGACCTGTCAGACACAATGCACCTCATCAGCACCAGCCCTCACTAATCTACATCATCCCAAACACAACGCTCAATACTAATCATTTACTTATTTCCAACAGCAAATAAGAGGCAGCAGAGCTCATTTGGCTGATGGGATGTCCTGGGTTAGCAGCTCCCCTGTCGCACCTCATTTATAATGCACAGGAGAACGGTAAGTCTCCCAGGGCTGAGTGCACGCAGCTGCCTGTCCATGTGCAGCTCAAACACACTCACACAAACACACACACCGCTGACACCGGACACTGTGGGTGTGTGGCACAGGACAGGCTCCCATGTAAACAGGCTGGCCCACAATGACAAAAACAAACCTCGATGGAAGTGTGCGAATATTTAAAAAGCAGCGCTGACAACATAATTTATTTATGGAGTACATGTGTTTTTTTGTGTTCAAGAATTTGTTTATGGGCTAAAACATTAGTGTCTTATCTAGTGGAAGAACTATGATAATTCAAGAATCAAGAATGTGTTTGCTATTTGCAGTAAAACATTGGAAAAACTGTGCAAGACTATTCCATTGTGCACTAGGGTAGTACACATACATACATAGAGAGATAGATAAAGAGATAGATAAAGAGATAGATAAAGAGATAGATAAAGAGATAAAGAGATAGATAAAGAGATAGATAAAGAGATAGATAAAGAGATAGATAAAGAGATAGATAAAGAGATAGATAAAGAGATAGATAAAGAGATAGATAGAGAGATACAGTAGATAGAGAGATAGATAGATACATAGATAGCTACATAGACAGAGATAGATAGATACAGAGACAGAGATAGATAGATACAGAGACAGAGACAGGGAGATACAGAGATAGATAGATACAGAGACAGAGATAGATAGATACAGAGACAGAGATAGATAGATACAGAGACAGATAGATAGATAGATACAGAGACAGATAGATAGATACAGAGATAGATAGATACAGAGACAGAGAGATACAGAGAAAGAGATAGATAGATAGATACAGAGACAGATAGATAGACAGATGCTATATCGATCCCGTGGAGCAGAAATACATCCACTCATACAAACAAATAGATGCATAATTTCCAACGATTACTAACAATAAAAACAAAGTTCAGGTGCATGCTAATTCAGTGATTTTACACATTTATTGTAGTATGGTTTATTGACTCAATTAAAATCTCACTAAATCCTATCTTTCTACCTATCTAAATCTTCTTTCTAATATAAAGAGCAAGGCCTATGAACTTTTTTTTATTTTTTCAACCTGCTTATTTAATATTTAGATGTAGAATTGAGTATCATTGTTAAACATCAATCTCTTGATATTTTGCCGTGGGTCCTCCTGTCGCAGTCTGATTGCTCTGCTGATTAATAACTGTAGCATTGACCTTTTGTGGCCTTTTCTTGATGTATGTGACTTGAATAGATTTACAACCAGACCGTGGTCTCTTCTCATCAGCCACTCAACAACCACCAATGTTTACAGTTAGTGTTAGACAAGAAAAGGCAAGACTTTTCTAAATAGAGTAAACAATATTGGATTTAGATCTTCCATGCAGGTGCACTAGGACTGGGGTTTTACTGTGACTTGTTCTCACTCATTTGTCCTGAATCCATGTTTAATTACACCCGTGTCAACCACAGGTGTTGCATGTTGACCTGTTTGACCCAGTCTCTCACCACCACTTCCGGATGATTTTCACTTTCCTACTTCTAAGTCTTCATTCCGTTTTCTGACCTATTAACCTGTTTGGTAATGTGTGATTTTACTTTTGTGATCACTTTCAAGCTTATGCGAGAAATGTTGTGCCTGTAAAACTGACAACTACCTACATAATATATATAATGTCTGAAAACCTTTAATAATTATATGCCTGAATGTTTCTTTCTATCACTGTAGGCCAATGGTCTGGTGACTTACCAACAAACCAGTCTTATTCCTATCACATTGTGTATTTAGAATTGATTCTGTGACTATGCATAAATTGTGTTAGTGCACTTGAAAATAGTTGTAATTTTAAGACATGTTATGAAGATTTGTTTTACCTTCTTTGTGGTTGTTTTACCTTTTGCCTTTCTACCCTTAGAACTTGTTTGTACATTGAGCCAAGACAAATTCCCAGTTAGTGATTTACTGTTGCTTACAATGGAAATGTTCAAATACAGATAAAACAGTTTTGTTTAGCTGTGCATATAACTCTTTACAGTGAGTATATATCATATTAATGACTTGTATTGTTTCTATCTTGATTTGTTACGCACTTGGAGTTGCGTTGTGTATGAACTGTGCCACAAATAAACTTGTCTTGGCATGCAATAAAATATTTCTAATTCAAATGACACATGTTGAGTTCCTTCTATCTCCCTGGGGTTTATGTGGGTGTCGCTGCTGTTTAATTATCTAATCTAAAATGAAAGAGAAAAAAATCCAAATAATTTCATAGCACCACTGACTTGACTCTCAAATTACATTTCTCTCCATTATCTCGCGTACGCCTCTTTACGTTGTCATATCGATTGCTTTTTACGCACAGCACCCAGACTACATACAGGCCTGTCACGTCCTGCTGTTGAAGACCGCTCCGACCGCAGCGGCTCCATCATGACCATACATCACTGTCTGCGCAAATGGGAAATCGTTTTGACACATGGGGAATGGATAGACAGAAACGTGCCAAAAGTAAGTAAGGAAGCATCGGTGCGCATCGGTCATCCAAACGCAGGCTATAGTGTTGATGTAGAACCCCATGTGTTTTTACGAGTTGGCAATGGGACATAAATAACAGAGAGGGAGGGGTGGATCTCGCCTTGGATCAGCTGTCAGATGCGCTGTGTCTTCCAGCAGCAGCAGCAGCAGCAGTAGCAGGAGCAGGAGCAGCAGGAGCAGAGGCAGCAGCAGGAGCGGACCAAAGAGTGGACACCGCAGAGGACCAACGCCGATACGAGTCTGCAGTACACCAAGAGAGGGCTGCTTGTTTGGCTGTCCTGTCTGTGGAAAGGCATGGTCCCGCATTGCCATTAAAAGGTAAAAGCGTTGATCAGAACCATGGAGCAGATGAGAGCAACTTTCAGGGTGGGACAGCGGCATTCTTTCTCCATCTTTATCGCCTGTCATCTGTTTCGTTTCGCTGAGTTGGCATGCCGCATTGATTTGGAAAAAGACATAATTTGGGGCATAAGTAATAGACTTTTTTTCAATTTTGTAAACTGCATTGATATTCTGATCTGCGTTGTTGCATTATTGTGCCTCCTGAAACTGTAAAGGTAGTTGTTTTAGGATCTAGGTAAATTCACGTTTACATTGTTGATGTCATGGTGGGTAAATTGAAAGTATTGTATATCATTGTAGTATGTATGTTGCCTATACTGAAATACTGTATCTAATCAGAAGTTAATCGGTGCTCAAGTGTTTGAGGTTCAGTGCAGTATAGTGCTCTAAGTGACTTCCTCTGCTTGAGTCTATTGAGAAGTAATTGCTTCACTCCGAAATGTTTCACAGTATGTCAACAAATGTATCTAGCTTCATGAAGAGACAAGAGACAAAAAGGAATACCATTTCGTCCAGAAAATGAGAACATAATTTTGATATAGATTCTAGATTATTTATAGATTTGATAAACACACACAGACATGTATTAAATTCCATATTTTGGGAAATATTCCTGGATAACATTCAGACGAGCAGGTCTGGAAACTCAACTACAGAGGAAAGTTACACAGTGCACTTAAATGTCACTTTATTCTGCTGTACATATTATTAACCGTGACTGTTTTCTGTCACTTTTAGCCCTTTGACTTTGCACTGTGAAAAGGACAAGATACATTCATGCGGGTGAAGATGCGTGTGTCCTGCTGTGTCTCTCATAATACCTCTGGGAAGATGCTCTGGAGAAACTGCTTCTTTGTTGTCCTCTCTCTGCTGTCAATGACGCGGACGGTCACTGCGCAGTTCTTTGCGACGCCTCTTGACTGTAGGAAGAGCTGTTTGTGTGCCAGTAACATCATCAGCTGCTCCAAGACAAACCTGACACAGATCCCCACAGAGCTCCCTGCCTTCACCGCCGTCCTGGACCTCAGCTTTAACTCCATCAGTCGAGTGAAGGCAGACTGGACGCCCCACAGACTGGGGCGCCTCCACACATTGCAGCTCAGCCATAATGGGCTGTACTTCCTCTCCACAGAGGCCTTTGTGTATGTGACTCGCCTGCGTCTTCTGGACCTGTCCTCCAACAACCTGAAGCAGCTGGATGAGTTCATCTTTGAGCCTCTTGAGCACCTGGAGGTGCTGCTGCTCTACAACAACAGGATCACTCAGATCGACCGCTCTGCCTTTGCCGGCCTCATGAATCTGCAAAAACTCTACATGAGCAACAACCAGGTGTCCCGCTTCCCCCTGGAGCTGGTCAAAGAGCGCAGTCGGCTGGAGACACTCAAGCTGCTAGACGTGTCTGGGAACAAGATCAAAAATCTGCCTCTGAATGATCTGCAGGAGCTGCCTGCCTGGGTCAAAAATGGATTGTACTTCCATAGAAACCCAGTGCCCTGCAGCTGTGATCTGTACGACCTTGTGGCTCGTTGGTTCAACATGGAGCTCAGCTCAGTTGTGGACTACAGGGACGAACACTCCTGTGTCATGCCAGGCCCAGCTAAGAATAAGCTGGCTGTCATGGACCTGAACAAAGTTTACCTGAACTGCAGTGAGGTAACGGTGATGAACAGAGAGTCTTTTCTTGAGCAGTTCCTGGTTCTCGACTGTGACACGCGACAGAAGAATGTGGTGAAGAGCTGGGTGCTGCCCAGGAACATTCTGCTGTCCCCAGCTCATAAAACAGCTTTGATGCTGGATGGTGGAAGCCTGCAAATTGGGCCACTCACAGCTGAGGATTCTGGTGTTTACACCTGCTATGCCACTGGAGAGGCTTTCAATGAAACCCTCTATGTGACTGTGTTGGTGTTCAACGGGACAATGAGTGGGGGGCTGGAGAACCTGAAGACCGCCTACACCACTCTGGTGGGCTGTCTGATCACTCTGGTCTTGGTGCTCATTTACCTTTATCTCACACCCTGCCGCTGCCCCTGCTGTCCAGGACAAGACTTAGAGAAAATTGATCCCAGGGATAGTCTGCACTCCTCCACCGTCAGCATCGCTAACAGGGCTCAGGGTGAAACGGGACAGGCCTTCTCCTACAAACATGTGGGCTTCATGGATGAGCAGCTGAAGCAGAATGGTCGTCTGAACCCGATTGGAGAGGAGGATGAGGAGTGGCAGGGCGAGGCCACAGAGCGGGGCACCAGCTCAGGGCACCGCTACTCACCGATGGTTGTGTAGAAATCATGACAAAGGTTACTTAACAGGACACAGCTTTAGTCCCAGCAAAAGCACTATGGACACATGTAGTTATTAAGCATCTCTAATTAAAGATTCCGCTCCTCACATAAAATGCTGTAGAATGCTGTTTATGCAGAGCTTTGTCGGTTCAGATCATCATGACTTTATAGTTTATACCGAGTTATCCATTCCAGTCAGGGTATGCACCTCAGTCGTAACTCTCACTGTGATAAATCAGGATGTCTTGTATGCACATTTTATTACTTCAATGTTACTTTTAAATGCAAAGATTAGGGCTTCCCTGGTTAGCTATGCATATGTATCTTCAAAGTATATGGTAGCAATAGTGTTAAATCTACAAACTTCAGCCAGATGAAGAAATGCTGGGGGTTCTGAAATGACATCAAACCAACTGCTGTATCTTTATTTGTAATTAGTGCTGTACAATTGTATAGTTATGTGTGTTATATTAGCAATATTTCTATTCATGTTGACTAAGTCTCTGTTGTATCTTAGTGTAGCTAAATATAAAAGTGTGTACCGATTATACAACTGTGGACCTATTATAGAACCATATACAACTTCAAACAAGTCAACTCGTCAACTATATTCGATTCATGTAGAATAATACTGGTTTAAAGCAATGTTGGCTCTATGAGGGATTTCTAATTTTAGCCTGTGACTGTGTTGACAGAGGGTAACATGAAGGATTCTGGGTATTAAAGTTCCACTCAGTCCATTCTGCAGTCATAGATAGCACAGACTGGCAGCCACAATCAGAAAGAAGTTCTAAATGCATTTGTATAATTTCATTGAGGAATAAATAGATCTGAAATACTATACCAAAGTGAATTTAAGTGGGTTAAGCAGTGAGTGTGAACATTTTATCTTAAAGTTTTACAAAACAAATTGTCTTTATTCCCACCACCAAGAGCAAGATCCAGAAAATATTCTTGATTAATATTATATTTTTGATTCACGGATTCGTGGATCTTATAAGGAGCCAGTGTTTCAGCATTGTACCCATGTGAGGTCATAAATTATACTATGTTTGACCATTCGTAATTTAGTATAACCAATGAATGTTGTGTTGCTGTATTGTCTTAACCGTCTGGTACACAAACAACTACAGTCTACTGCGAATAAAATCCCCCTTGGCTGCTGATTTTGTGTGTATTGTATTGTATATATGCTCAGTGTGTCTGTAGAGCCCATGCAGAACAGACTCTCAGAGCAGAGCAGGCTTATGTTTCAGTTGCACTAATGGCATTGTGCTGTTCACTTGACGGTGAAATGGAAGAGCCCACAGGTCACTGGAGTGGAAAGACTTTAGACAGAGAATCACATTAATGCATGTGTTCCTGCTTCATCTGTTGGTAGTGCCAAAAAATATGAGCAACTTGTCCCTTGACTTGATACAGACGTGTGGTGGAGGAGAGTGCAATACAGTAGGAAAAAAGAAAGAAAAGTCACCCATGAACTGTCTTAATTAATTTGTTTATTTTTTTTTGTCTGCAGCTTTGGGGGTGGTTAAGGTAATGCACGTTTTTGCCCCCATTGGGAAGTTTGACCCAAATTCAGCCAAATTAAAGACTTGGGTCCGCTTCGCTTGAATACATCGGTGTGTACTGTGGTATTAAACATATTTAAAGAGATCTCTGTGATCTTTGGACTAGGCTGGATGAGAGATGATTAGGGGTCTGCAAGCTTTCACATAAAAACAGCCCAACTCTGATTCGGGTTAAATCACAAAGACAAATCTATATTTTTCAATAGAAATTACAACCTCCTTTAAAAAATGAAAAATGTATTGTTACTGATTGAGCTGAGGTCTGGGGTGTAGCTATGATGTGATGATAGGACTCCATTCACATTTCCAGACAATCCATGGGGTTTGTGGGGTATACGCTCTCATTCTCTGGGTCTGTAGGGGAGAAAAAGGTAAAAGATGTTATTGAATATTCATCAGTTAAAGCTGCACCAGAAGCTGTGAAGTGTAGGCTTTGTGGACTGTGGTTGCAGACCCCTGGCCCAAACAATATTAAATCTCATCTCAAGTAATGTTAAATATCGCACCAAATTAAGACTGACCCTTTCTATGGACCCTTCTCCTGCACTGCACAAACAATACTAACCAAAGTCCACCATCTGAATGAATAGTTTCAAGTGTATAAACAATATAAAGCCGTGTTATGCTGAATGTAAATGTTAGCTCGTTAGTAGAGAAAATACAAACCTTATAACGACCTCACAGATGCAGGGGTATCTGTTGATCTGACCTCGTGGTGAAGATGAGTCATTCTCATCCAGACCCCTCTGAACCACAGGAGGATGGGTGCCGTCCGCCAGTCTCTGCTCGTGAGCCAGGCGCCACCTAGTGACAGATTTTACGTACTGCAGCCCAGAAGTGACAAGCCTGGAGATCTACCCCCTTCCATGCCCATCCAAGACGATTTTTATAATATATTCTGCACTGACCAATTCGAATTTGATTTATGACATATTGTGAATCCTTACCAGTGCATGATCCTAATGTAAAGGCTTATTTTTTGCTGCAAATATTTGAAGTGGTTATCTTGTCTCTTATGTTGATTCAGTAGATCTTCGAGGAAAACAAGTCTGATAATGCATTTGTGGTTTGGGAGTGCTGGACCAACTTCTCAGTGGCCATGATTTTTATTGCAAGTTTACAAATCTGGAGTTAATCTGGGGTTTTTTAGTTTTTTCCAAAAGAAACAGTTAAATATGTATTTGTCCAAGTTACATTTTTGCTCCTGATATTGATTGTATTCAAATGTCTTGCTCATCCAATCACTCCACATGAATAACACGCAATACACAGGGGGCCGTTACGCATTTATTATTTATTAAAATATAAATATGTGGGAAATAGTTTAAGTTCATACTCACCACGGCGACGTCGCAGTCAGCTCTGAGGAAACCTGGAACTCAACACTTTTCAATAACAAAAACACATTACATTTTTCCCCCAAAGACCTCTTATGAAATGTGACACATGCAACAGCATTACAGGTGAACCAAACCCACAGAACTGAGCTGGATGTTTCAACAAGACTATTGTCCATAATACATTTACAGGTTTGAGTTGAAAGTGCTATGATTCTGAAAACGTATCAATCATCTGGTAAATTTTTTTTACCGTGTTGAACAAGAATAATCGCAATTGAATCATAACTTCAATGTTAGTGTCCACTATTAGCAATTCGCAAATACTGCTATCATTTAGATCAAATTATTTTAGTAACAGTAAATTATTGTTTAAATCTGGCTACTGCTGATATAAGAGCTAAAAAACAGTCTTTAAATAAAAGTATCAATGCAAATATTAAAGAGTTTAAATAAGGTTTTAGATTTTGACAACTTTATCTGCTAATGAAAAAGCAAGTTCAGTTCAACTAAAAGTGTAGTTCTAGTGTACTTTTTGAAGAATATCCCAGCTTCAAAACAGTTCTGAATAATAATTGCAAGGATTATATGAACATTTGAAAAAAGTGCACCCAGATTGTAGGATATACTTAATGTGGCATGTTAGTTAAGATAAACCATTGTTTTTTGGTGGAAGGTCTGGCATTTACGTCTACCGTGGGAGTTACTTGCAATTTTTTAGGGTTATCTATAAATATTACAAATTCAATTTAACATATTATAGTAATATATAAACTCTGTGGGGATAGTTTCCATGTAGATAGCAAGGTTGTGTGCGTTTGGTCGATTCCAGGCACTATAGTATCTCCATGAAAAATATAATAGTTCAGACGCTCCCACTAAAAAGCCAATAGTGCATCTTAAAACACAGGGTAAACTACATTGTGATACATACCAGTGCTGAGGTCTACTCGGAATACTTTACCACGGTTACATTGGGCACACAGGCCTCAGCGATGGTCTGGGGGTGGGTAGGTTCTCCATTTCAGAATCATGTCCTGAAATCATGCTTCTGTAGCGTGTCCCTTCTTTTTCCTGTACAGTGCGTTTGAAAAGTGTCTAAAAATAAACGTTTATATCTACTGTCATTTTTGTTGTTCCAAATTATGGCAAACAAAGCTGTCTCAGGGTCAGGATTCTCTTCAACACCGGGCACGTCTGACCTAGCTCCTTTCATCTCCAAAAAGCAACTACACAAACGTTAGCATTGCTTGTTCACCGGTGCGGTCAGTGCTCCACAGGTTCAAGCAGGACCTGGCTAGTCAATCCAGACGAGTCAAAGTTAGCATAAAACTACAAAAGTATTCTAGGGTTAGGCCAGATTCAATTGCACTGGCCTTGCGAATATTTCATGACAAGCCACAGCTGTCTTCCCACTGTCTCGAAAAGGCTCCAGAAACACAAAAGGTCACAAATCGGTCTTCCAAGGCGGTTTCCCACGAAAGAGCAAATTTATTGAAACAAAATGTATTGTAAGCGCTTGTTGCACCGTTTCTCTGACAGTTACTTCTTGAGCAAAGATGATTTCCATATTTCTTGCCTGAGCATATCCTGAGTATACAGCAATCATTCTCATTTTAAACAGTACTTAAAAATGTTATTGTTCATTAGAGAGAACTGTACTTGTTGGCATGTTCCACAAATGTCCATTGTTCATGTCTGAAAGAAATGGTGACTTTGTTGGGAAATTACATTTTGAACTATACATGCTTTGTTGGGGCTGATTGAATAAAATAAAAAATAAAAAACGTTATATCTAATGTTTATGTAAACAAAAAATAAAGTGATTCTTGTTTTACATTTACATCCCTGTTCTTTTAGAGTCATCTCAAACAGTTCAAATCAAAATACTCCAAGTTATAAAAATAAGACTTTAGACTTTATCGGGGCAAAAAGTAAAAAGAGCAGAATTTGGCTGGCTTATTTACATTTAACTAATGCAGTTCAGCACTTTGTATTTTGATGAAGTGGAAATAGATTTTATGAAAATAACAAATTATATTTGTGTTGAACTGCATTACAGTCTCTAGGCACTTAAGTAATTCCCTCTACAGTAGTTGACAGAGTAATAAGTAACTTAAATGTACTGATTGTGTGGCCATATGAATATTCAACTCTGTCCAAAAAGAACAAAGACAAATAAAGTTGGATTCTTCTATTGGCGAAACTTTGAAGATTGTGTTTCTCACAAATGACACAAATGTAATCATCATAAATGAAAATTCTACTCAAATCAAATATTAAGGCAATAGAGACTTGTGGCATTGAGTTATATTGAATTTAGTAAGTACCATTACAGTCATTTACATGTCAAAAGTATATTCATAACTGATTTGAACCAGAATCATCCTGAAGCCACAGTGCAGAACACGACCCCTGACAAATGAACAGTAAAACACTCAGGACGCTCCTTTGATTATGACCATAACCATACAGTCCTCCTCGGATTTAGCAAAGGTTTTGGCCGCAGCATCCACAAACTTCTGCGAGAACTCACAAGGAGGGAAAGCGTGGAGCACTCCAGCGTTGTCCTTGTCTCGGCCACTGCCCCCAACAGGGAGGCTGATGATACCGGCCGCCTCCTTCTGCTTCAGATACGACACCAGATTTTTCAGGGGTCGCTCCGTCGAGCTGCTGTCTGCTTCCTCCTCGGTCTTTCCCGGAACTGCCAGGAGGATGGCGTATCCATCAGAGCCTGCTGCTTTGATGCGACGAGACACTTCATCCAGTTTGGGCTGGTCCAGGCGCAGGCGCTGTGCAATCTTCAGCTGGGACACGGGACCTCCAGTGGGGCCTTCCACGAGCAGACTGCTGGCCAACTCCAGATCTCCCTCTAACAAGTGCAACAATGTAGGAAAACTGCTGTTTTTCAGCAGCAGGGCACCCTGCCATACAGGACTCAGCTTCTGTGCTCGTTTGGATGTCGGGGCAGTCTTTGAATGAGTGCGATCTGAGCGCTCCTCTCGTTTACTTGGGCTTTTAACAGAGTCGCTGGTTCTGCGGCTGTGCTCTCTGTCTGAAAGGAGTTGTGTCGGGCTGGAAGGTCTTCTTCTCTTTTCTCCAAAGTTATGACTGTTTCTCTCTTTGCCAGGAGAGGGACGGCCCGAACGAGACAGACGCTCCGAGTCACTGTAGCGACCATCCCGACTACTGCCTCCAGGGCTGCGCTCTAATGAGTTACCATGACGACGCGGGATATAGTCAATGTGTTCAGGAGAGCGGTCATGCCGCCAGCCGTCCTCTAAATGCCTCCTTTTGCGCCCCATGTCTCGATTGTGGAGGAGGTCCCGCTCATGCTCTAAGGCCCAAACGTCTCTGGGGTGACGGTCCAGGTGCTCCACATGGTCAAAGGGTGGACCTCTCATGCGCTCGTGTATGTTGAGACCAGACCACTCAGGGGGATATGGGTCTCTGTCCCTGAAGCGTGCTGGTAGAGGGGGAGACCGGTCTCGCAGTCGCACAGGGTCTGGCAGTCTGTGGGCAAAGGGCTCTGGGACCAGGTCAAAGTGGGACACTGGCAGTGGCAACGGCATGTATGGCTGCTGTGGATAGCGCTGCTCAGCTTCTGCAAAGTCCACTCTCAGTCTCCGGTCCGGACCCCCAAGAGGAAAGCTGCGCATGTGAGTCCAAGCTGCGTGTGCTGCATCCAGGCTCTCATAGTGGATATAAGCCCACGCCTCCCCCTTTCTGTAGTCTATAGTCCTAATTGTGCCGAACCGGTCAAACTCTTTGGCTAGAGCAGCTACTGGTACCCACGGGCCCAGGCCTCCCACCCACAGTCTGGTGGTAGGTGTAGGCTTTCCGTAACCTATCTTTATGGGGCTATGACCCACGACCTTCCCAGACATGGCCAGTTTGGCTCTATGGGCCATGTCCAGGTTTTCAAACTTGATAAATCCATAAGTGTTGGTCTGGTCGCGCCCTGGTCTCTTTATGTCCACCTCGGTGACTATTCCAAAACGTTCAAATGCTCTGCGCAGGTCATTCTCGGTCAAACTCAAATCCAAGTTTCCCAGAAACAAAGTTCTGTTTGGCCTTTGTCCGTCCTCAGAGTTCAAGAGGTCATCGTCACGGAAACATTCAGGGATGAAAGGTGGTCTGCGATTGTCGTAGAAGTCTCTGTCCCGCTCCAGGCGGCCCAGGGCGAGCTGCTGAAGGCGGTAGTCTCTGTAGCCGACAGGAGGCGACAGCGGCCGCTGAGTGTGTGAAGGCCTTTGGCTTTGGAGAAAAGTGTCTTTGGAGACGGGAGAGCGACTCCTTCTGCGGTTCATGTAAACAGTGTCGATTTTTAAAGGTCTGTCATAAAGCACGAGGCGTCCACGCGCGTGTTTGGCAGCGCGTGCGTCCTCCGGTCTGCGGAAGTTCACAAAAGCAACTCTCTCATCGTTTTCACGGCTGATTTTCACACTGACGTCTCCAAACTTTTTAAACTCGTGAAACAGCCCGTCTTCTATCTCCTCGTCATTGAGCTGATTGCCCAGTTCACTTATCTTTAAAGTCTTGTACTCACTCTCGGTGTTCGGCAGAGGTCGTGCGGAACGCGAGGCTTCAGGGGAAATGTCAGCGCCTCCGTGCGGTTTAGCCACATACTCGTATCCGCTACTAGTCCTTCCAGGAGGATTGTGCTCTATCGCCCTCATGTCTCTTTTATCTGCGTGAACATTCCGCCTTGAAGACGCGCTGCTTTGGATCGAGCTGTTGCTTCCAGGAGCGGGTACAGATCCAGATTTCTTGCTGCTCGAGTGGCTTCCTCCTCGGTCTCTCCCCTCCTCCGGAGCCCGGGTGCGCTTTTTAATCGGGGATCTTTCTTTCCCTTTCATTTCCAATGACCCAGTCTTTCGACAACACTGACTTTTCTGGCTAGTAAGAGTTAAGCCTCACTTAAACAAACTGAATAATGTGTTGCTTCCACACTCACTCAGATGGCGACACGTCCGCCATCTTAGATCTAGAGTACATTACGGGACCGGAAGTTCCGCCCTCATCTGCTGCAGTCATGCGATTGGCTGTAAGGCAGGTCACGTGTTATAATCTGAAGCTCCTTATGTGTATATGGGTGCGGCCATGGATCTATCAGTTCAAAGTACAACTCAAAGATTTAAGAAAAGTTAAGTATCAAACCATAATCAAATGATTGATGATGGTATTAATAGCGTCCAATTGACTGTAATCTATTTCATGTCACATTTGACTGTTGGTTTCACTACAGGGTTTATTTGTATCTTTTTTTTAATAATGTACCATTCCTCAACATGTTCAGATAAAACATAATTATATTCATATATTTTGGGGTCATTGACAGCCCAGGTTCACTGTTATAAATGTATTCTGGACTCCTAACCTTTCCTAACCTTTACCATTTTCTTCATTCTAAATCTTACTAGAGCCTTAACCATAACCCTATTCCTCCTCTAGCCCTAACTGAATGAAACATTTATCTTGAGCTAATAACTTAGCCATTTAATTTCTTGGTGGTGCATAGACTTTTATATTATCCGACGTCAGCATTTATCTACATGTATTATTTATATCTGATATATCGATATAACAAGAGAATCTGACAAAACAATGCACTAAATTCAAGCCATTGCTAGTCATAGTTCTTGAAAACCAAATGAGTGAAGTAAATAGTTGACAGGACAGTGGACAATTGGTGGACAGTGTATGCTTGTGTGCAGATCTATTATGAAATGATCAAATGGAAAAAGCTGATGCCACATTTTGTCAGTATTGAAACTGAAATTTGATCTCACAGGTCAAAATCAGAATCAGAATCAGAATGATTTTTATTGCCACGTAAGTAACAGGAAGTCAGACTTGGAAAATGCTTTGGCTCAGTGCAACAGTCAGAAAAAAGAGAATAGAGTAAGGCATAATAAATCAGCATACACTTCTAAGGAATAAAATTAAAAAAGGATAATTACAGTTACTATGTACAATATGCAAGTGCACATGGTGCACACAATATGCGCAGTAGGCAGTGCAATAAGGCAACAGCAGGTGACACATTCAGAGCCATAGATCATAGTTCAGATTTACACTCTTTAAGACTTCCTCCCCTTCAAACTTCAAATGATGTATTTGTTTATTTGGTTTGGATGGTGATGAACATCAGTGCTTAACTTACAACAGATACAGCCTTAGTTGTCTCTACCTCATAACAAATAAATGAAAATTAAAAAAAAGAACTGCAATGGTGAAGTGTAGGAGAATGTAATATGTTCTGTTTAGAATATCCTCACGTGGATAAACAAGGTAATACGTGACAGGAATATGGAAATAGCTCATCTTTAAAACAACCATATTAAAGATGTTCTAACAGGTCTATAGTGCTTAAATGATTTTGCCTCTGATGACCCAGACAACGCAGTAATATGATCCTGTGGTTGCTGTGGTAACTGTTCCCACTGGCAGATCTCAGAAGTGCGTCAAAATGTCAAATAGTTGCAGAAGCACAGCAGGGGGTGATGGAGTCAAGTGTTGGGAAGTGAACTGATTAAAACCACATTGACAAAGCCGGCTATGTTGGCTGTGAAGGCAAACTTGGAACAGGTTTATGCACAGAGCAAATTAGGTGTTGATTTTGAGAATATAATTGTAATAACTGACCTTGAAAAAGCTGAAGGTCTCTTGATATGACTAACATGTTTTTAGGGCTGATACCAATGCAACTTGTCAGTTTATCAAAATTATGTGTCCTATTACTTTGTTTAGGCAAATATACAGAGGCCTGTTTTACATGAGGTTTGGCACAGCCATTGTGTTGCGCAGTAGACTAAAACATTTTATACACACAGGTTGCTACTTGCTATTGTTGTTTCGACTAGTAGACTGGAATAGACTCATAATTTTACCAGTTAGGTAAAGGTCCACTTTATTAATCCCTGAAGGGCAATTCATTCCCTGCATTTGACCCATCCTGATGCCACTGATGCTCACGTCAGAAGCAGTGATCGCTATAGTAACAGCACCATGGGAATATTGATGCTCGGAATGGTCAGGACTTCCACCTTTTTTTAGTGGTAGGGAAAACCGGAGCACCCAGAGGAAACCTACGCAGGCATGGGGAGAACATGCAACTCCACTTTCGATCAGAATTCGAACCCAGGACCTTCTTGCTGAGAAGCGGGAGCGCTATCCACAGCCACTGTGCCGCCCGGGGACGATGACATATCAAGTATCAGTTACTTGATATGTTTAACATTGTCATAGCTGGATTATAGTAATAGTAGTAACTGTGTGACCTCAGTCTGTCAAATGCACTATGTAAATGATGATCAAGACTACATAATGGCGGCACGGTGGCTGAGTGGATAGCACTCTCGCCTCTCAGCAAGAAGGTCCTGAGTTCAAATCCTGGTTGGACCAGGGTCTTTTTGAGTGGAGTTTGCATGTTCTCCCCGTATCTGCGGAGGTTTCCTTCGGGTACTCCGGTTTCCCCTACCACTAAAAATATGTCCAATAGTTCTGGCATGCGCCTCCTGTACTGGCCCTGCTCCCATCTCTGTGTGGAGTGAGAGACAAATGCCCAATAATAACAATTGTAAACCACTTTGTGACTCTGGTCTGTGAAATGCAGTATATAAATAAAGATTACTTAATAGTGTGAGAGTAACATCATTGCTGCTTCACAAAATTAATGAAATTACCGTAACGTGGTACTGTTAGGCATTACAAAAACCGGGGCAATATTTTCATCTAAAAGATATGTGTTACATTGCATTTTAACCCTGAATTAATTTGTGTTTAGTTTCTACAATGCCATTATGAGATCGGCAGAGGAGAGAAAATCTGCACCAATAGAAGATGCCTATAGACTTTTTTTGTTTCTCTTTTTTTTATTTACAAGTATGTATCGAGGGGTTATGTTCAAAACATGGCATTAAAGACAAAATTAACAGCATCACAGAGAATCAATAAAGGTCTTTTCTAAATACTCTTGTTGTATTGTTTTCTTATAAACATGCAGTGATAAACTAAATTATATAAATGAAACGCAAACATAGAATGAGACTTTTTTGATTTTAATGATACAAGCAGTTAGTCTGCAGCAGAAATCACAAATAAAAATAACTTTTTGAACTGTTAATAATCAGTCTACACAGGTATTAAAACTTTACTTCTAAAGACATCATGCCAAACTATACCGTATATGCTCAAAAGAATACTCTGTGATGGCATGACTTTGCTTGTTAGCAGGACGCTGGTTGCATATGACAGAAGCCATTTAAACAAATCCAGAGATGGAAGTCCATAAGAAACAGCAGCCTGTGATCACTCTGGGTCACGTTCTCCTTTGAGATGTGAGTCTCAGATTGAAGTCTCTCTAGTTCTGAGAAAGCTGTTCATTCCAAGTTCAGTTATTTTTCTCAAACACCTGTCATGCTGAGAGCTTTCTGATGGACCTGGAAAATATGAACATTCATTCATTCATTCATTCATTTTATTGGTCCATTTCTGGGTCAGGGGGCGTGGCAATGAGAGCTGCCACCCAATGCTCATAGTACTAGTCCTTCCCTGATCCTCCGGCAGGTGGTTGGTCCACAGGAAGACAGACGGTAATATTTTGTTATACTTCAATTAGATGAATGTAAACATTCTGGTTCTGCAGAAGTGGTTCTTTCGTTGGTCAATTCCAAGAGGCCGAGGCTCAAAGTGTTTTCCGCCCTCAAGCATCTTGCCTCCAATTATTCTGCATTATGTTTCCCCTTATGCATGTAAACAGAGGGTACATAATCAATCAGCCCCCGTCTTTCAACAGGGCTTAAATGTCTTGCCCAAGGACATAACGACAGAAGACATTAGTGGGAGCAGTTGGAGTAGGTCTCATGGGGGGATTGAACCCACAAACTTCAGGCCAAAGGCCAATGTTCCACCAACCCCTACTGTCCTATACTTGTGGATCACACAAGCATGCACTCAAAAGTTCATCAACGCGTGTTCAGATTATAGATCAGATATTTTGTCAGGTCTTTCAATAAAATGAAATAAAATGTTAGTTTACATTACTGAGATACTGAGAATAATACATTACAGTTTCTTGAGTAATTGGTCTCTCCCAACACTGTTCAAGCTGTATTCTCCCATCCATCATGGTGACGTCAAAGGTGGGAGTGGATAACCTTGTTCCCATCCAACACCAAAATAACCTCACAACAAGTGCGGCATAAAGAGCGCGTATCTCTGAACTCATCCCAATGTGCGGCGCTATGTGCGTCACGCCGAAGCCTCTGAGCCCCTCCCTCGCGGATGTCGGGACGGGACAGCAGCATGTGATGCTCCTGCAGAGTCCTGACCTCAACACAGACTCAGCACCGACTGCCGCGACCCGTCCTGAGGATGTCTCTGAGGTTCGAGCGTCTTTGTCCATCTGATGCTCGACTGCACTGTGCGCAAGACTTTCAGGTACAACTTGTCAAACTGTTGTACGGTTATAGCCTCTTTACTGAATTAGGGCACATTCTTAAGGGGGTGATATGAGTTTTGTTTTGTTTATGGTGATTATAATAACAATGGAACAATAACTACGTTTGCCTCAAATGTTAAGGGAGAGTACGGTCCTGGCACTTTGTCTTTGAGCCAAAAGCTTAGGGGTCACTTTGACACATCTTGATGTGCTACGCTGCACATTGGGAGCCCATTCAGATATCTGACAGAAAACTGTTTAGTGAAACAACATACGGAACTATGCACTAATCAAAAATATATAAAGGAACAATACTTCATATTTGTGTTATTCGAAAAATGGTTAAGACATACATCTTAGAGGTTAGTTAAATTAAATCGGGCCTGGAGTGTTTTTTTTTTTTTTAAATTATGGATTTACAATTAATGAGAAACGTAAATTACTTATGTGTCTCTGGTTCTGGTTGGATGGCTGAGGGCTTGTTTTGCCGTGTTTTGTCCACGTGGTTGAGTGTCTCTGTTCATCAGGATTATTGCGGGATTGTTTACTTTGTGGATGATGCAGCAGTGATTGATATTACGTGTCTTGGCCCGATGTGTGAGGGATTGAAGAGAAATAGAGCAGTGATGTTAATGCACACAGGATTATGGAGAGGGCAGAGTAGGGCGAGTACTGGACCTGGATTATTGCATCATTTCCTCATGCACGCAGCTACACATCTGGAAAAAGATGTGAAAAGACCATCTTGAGCACAAAATTTGATCTGAAATGTTGGTGAAGAGATAATTAATTTTATCTAAACTCCTGGTGAGGACTACAACAACAACATATACATATTTAATTGAATGTAAAGGACATGTTGATGACTGAATTAAGGAGGAATACACAGACATTATGAAACAAGCCATGAATGTGTGAATACAGACCATTTGGTGGAAAGCTGCAAACTAAATTGAATAGTTCGCCAGATTGGTAATTTTGGCCCAAAGGAAAACAATGAGATAGTTTCTGCAAGAATAGGGATCAGTTTACTATTTGGGAATACAAAGTCAATTAGAGAGTTAACTCATCTACACTCTAAAATCAGATTCACAAAACCGATGAATTACAATCAGTTTGTAGTTAGTGTCTGACTGATATTTTGCTTTTATCAATCAATCTATAATGGTAATAATCATGACACCCCAAGACACTTCACATGGCATTATTCATCCACTCTTTACACAGTGGTGCTGGAAGGTGCCCTATACATACACTAAGGTGTGAGAATACCAAATGTTGGACCAGAAACTGACAGAGAAAATGCTTTATAACCTTCATAAAATAATACAATATTTTGTTGCAGTAGCACAGCGCGGCCCTGAAGAGAGAGGTTTTGTCTGCAGCAGTGCATCTGTCTTAGACCCCTGGTCCCTGGTCCCTGGTCCAGGCGGCGCCCCCTCCTCTGACCTGATGCCGAAGAGCAGTAAAGTGACGCAGAGGGCACAGAGCCATGAGCTTGTGACAGAGTCTGTGGCCGACCTGCTCGCTCATGAGGAGCCGCTGGACTGTAAGCTCAGCTCTCTGCATGTTCCTGGGACAGGGGAACATCCAGCAGGTGCAGGCCCTCACACAGAGGGGGCCGAGGAGGAGCGCCCTGCCTGGAACAGCAAACTGCAGTACATCCTGGCCCAGGTCGGCTTCTCCGTCGGCCTCGGAAATGTGTGGCGCTTTCCGTACTTGTGTCAGAAAAATGGAGGAGGTGAGTTACTCATTGATTTAACGTATTTGACTTTTTAAACTAAACACTTCGACTTTTTAAAATAAACAAACTAATTCTGTCACTCATCATTTCTTGGTGTTTTGCTGTCATTAAATCTATTTTCAAATTTAGAATTGGTATTTTAATGAAAATAAATACCTATATGTTTTCAAAATTGCTATGTAATGATATTGTGTGGGAGTCATAAATGTAACGTTTCCACCTGCAGTAGCCACTCGACTCGATTAGACCATGAAATCCCGTGAGCAAATATGTCAGAGACTCAACACTGCATCACTAAAAAAAAACATTTGTCTTTGTCCTAAATGTTTCATTGTTTCTGATTATAAAGTATTTAAAAGAAAGTATAATTTTGTTTCTTGAGAATACTTGCTAACCATACAACATATCTGATCCTTTTTACCGCCAAACAAACATTATATTGTGTCAAGGGAGTTCTATGTAAAGCAGTGTAAATATAGCCGCTTTATTGATCTGTCCAGTAAGACAGGTCAGAAACACAAAACACAGAACAAAATATGGAGACATGTGTAAACATGTGTTATCACTCAGACTCGACTCCGCACGGCTCTGCCCAGTTTGTATGTTTTCCCGCTCTTAAAATGAGTAGTGTCAAGCTGCTAAAGACACTGAATTTCAAAAGACACTGGTTTCACTGGATTCAACTCTTAGTGCAGAGGTAACAGGGTTTGCTGACCGGATTGCGTTTCTCTTGCAGTTCATTTGTGTAGCTAGGCACAATCACATGTGTGCGTTTATGTTAATGCACATCACGTATTTTGTTTCTGTGTTTGAACAAAGATAGATGTAGATGAGTGGTATAACAGGGAATCATATATTACTTTATGAGTTCAAGTACAAGTAGAAGTAGAACAAGTAGAATAGAATTAATGGCTTACTCATTATGGGTTACAGGGCATTACGCACAGGGCTGTTCTTCATTGTCTGATTTAGTTTAATTTACAGACTGGGCACTGTTTACCGACACATTAAAGCTGTGTGCTGAGTAAACGATTCCTGCATAAACAAGCCAGCTCTGCTTCGGTCATCAATTCATCCTGCAGTTTTGTTCTTGGCTCAGACATTAATCATCCTTTCTGAATAAATGCAGTCTGAACTCTCCACAGTGCTCAGACTCTTGAGCAGATATGCATTAAATTGTGAGACTGAGGATGAATTAAACAGAAAATCCGATGCTAAACATTCATCAAAGCTCTCCCTGATTTAGGAGCATACCTGGTTCCCTACTTCATCCTGCTTCTCATTATCGGGATTCCTCTGTTCTTTCTGGAGCTGGCCGTGGGACAGAAGATCCGCAGAGGGAGCATCGGTGTCTGGAACTATGTCTGCCCTCGTCTGGGTGGGATTGGGATGTCCAGCCTGATGGTCAGAACTTTTTATTAATGTGATAACCTCCCAATGTTTCTTCTTTTTTTCAGCAACTATGGTAGTAGTATATACACACTTTTGCTTTTGCACCCATTTTCTGTGAGCTGAACTCTCATGGGTCTATGATTACACACACTATTTCTCCCAAATCTGTCTGAAAGTGTATTACTGAGCACTTCTTGTTTGCAGGGACAAGATACAATGCTGATTAGACAACATGGTTATACGTTTTTAGGGAGCATGCAATAGGCAAGTATAATTTCTCTACCAGAGGTGCAGTACATGGAAACCTCAAAAATGCAGGCCATGTTTAACTACACCAGCCCAGAACCTCCACATCCGTCCGTCCGTCCGTTTTCTTCCGCTTCATCCGTTGCCGGGTCGCGGGGGCAGCAGTCTAAGCAGAGACGCCCAGACTTCCCTATCCACACACACTTCCTCCAGCTCGTCCGGGGGGACCCCAAGGCATTCCCAGGCCAGCTGAGAGACATAGTCCCTCCAGCGGGTCCTGGGTCTTCCCCGGGGCCTCCTCCCGGTGGGACGTGCCCGGAACACCTCCCCAGGGAGGCATCCAGGAGGCATCCGGAACAAATGCCGAGCCACCTCAACTGGTTCCTCTCGACGTGGAGTAGCAGCGGCTCTACTCCGAGCTCCTCCCGTGTGACTGAGCTCCTCACCCTATCTGTAAGGGAGCACCCTGCCACTCTGCGGAGGAAGCTCAACCTCCACATCCATGCTTGTAAATTTCTCTATTGTGAGATCAATACAGTTTATCTTATCATATCTTAACGCCAAGATCCTCTGAGACCAGATCCCAGACCACTGTAGCAATACTTGATTAGCAAAATCAAATAATTTCTGGACAAACTGTCAGAAACAATTTCAGGGAAGATCTTCTGTCCGGACTATACGTCATCATAGTACCTTACCTCATTCCTCCCTAACCCTAACCTCACATTTCAGTATGATCATGCACAGCCCCACGTCGCAAGGATCTGTACCAGACTGTAAATATCAGATCTGAAGACACTGACTGAACATGTTTGGGACTCGCTGTATTGCCTTAAACGACAGCGTGTTACAGTGTCTGCCAATATCCAGCAACTTTGCGCAGTCATTGAGGAGGAGTGGACACACACAGACCACGGCGGCCTGATCCACTCTGAAGATGTTGCTCTGTGTGAGTGGATAGTGTCACACTGATACTGACGGCTTTGATCTTTGAACGATTACTTTTTTATTGTGGCCATCTTAAGACACACCTGTGCAATAATCATGCTGTCTCACGCTAAGCTGCAAGCGTAAGAGGGTGGATTATCTTGATAAAGAAGAAGCATACCAACAATAAAACACCTGGAACCGAAAAAGCCATTAATTATGTCATGATGCAAACCAGAGAAGATGGCGCTTCTTTAAGGATATGATCTTGATTATAACTAGATTAGAAGTATCCACACTATTTTACTGTTGGTGTATTGAAAAGGCAGAAAGTCCTAAGTAGCTCTGAAACAGTTGTTGTTTTGTGCTTTACAATTGTTATTTTTCTTGCTTTTTTCTACCTGAGAAGTTGCTGCAGTTCAGTGTTCATGGTTTTGCACTGGACCAGACCGGAGCAGAGAGGATTCATGGTCGGAACCAAGCGGATCAGGCGAAAACTCATTGGAGGAAGGCTAACTTTTATAAAAATGCTATTGAAGCATTTTGTATTGGCTTTGGACTAGAGCAGAGAAAATAGTCTGAACAAAGCGGCTACTCCACCTTGTGACCTGTCCCGCTCCACCCAGAGGCTACACCTCTGCTGCTGTGACCTGAAGGGCTGTTGCTTATATTACTATTGTTAGCTTTTTAGAACGATCAATTTCATTTTTTCTGGTTGCTGCTACTGGACACCTGAATTTATCCTACGGGGGATCAATAAAGTAACTCTCTATCTATTGTTTACTCCAGCACCAATGTTCAGTTTTACATGTTTGAGATAATGTAGTAATGTACAGAAAATCAATATAACCATGAAACTGATCCATGCCCCAGAATGCACTTGAATCTCTCTGGAGAAGGTTTCCAATCGGTGCATCTGGAAAGACACGATAGAACGGGTTATAAATATCCTGCACATATCACAGATGAAAGGAGAGTGCATTCATTATTCATGCTTTTCTCAGCTTTATTTAGGCTGTCCTCATTGACAAGAGCAGATAAGAGCAGACTGCCTCTCAACAAATACATCATCCATCTGCGGCACAAAGGGCTGGGATACGTTTATGGTGCTAAAAATAAAAGCGTGTTCTCCTTATTATGATGGCACTGTTCCCTTTTGTTGATACGGTCATATTATAACAAAACATATTCATTTGATAAACAAATATATTTAAAAAGGAGAAGGCGATGAAGTCAAGTTTTCCAGTGTATTTTTAATGAAGTTTTACAATAAACCTAAATTCATTTTTATTTTTTTATTGGATATGGGCTTTAATATTCTTTGTTTAATTGTTTCTCTAAACACAAAGTATTTTTGATTCATTATTTTACTATATGATTTAATTTTATTGTTTCGAGATTCACTTAAAAAAAATTTTTAACCTGTCTCGATAGCACAAATTAGGTTGTAATTCTTCATTGGGTATTGACTGAGACCACTTGTGGTCGGGAGGTCTATTTGCATTAAAGCTGCTTCAATGCAAAATATTATTCACTCTTTCAGCTGGCAGCACAACAGGGAAAATTATGGATTGTCAAATACATTTAAACTGATTAATCTCTATCTCCTGTTTGTTTATTTCTGCAGGTGTGTGGATTTGTTGGCCTCTACTATAACGTCATCATCGGTTGGAGCATCTTCTACTTCTTCCAGTCGTTCCAGTATCCTTTGCCCTGGAGCGAATGTCCAATAAGGAGGAATGGAACACTAGCCAGTGAGTCCAAAACATAAGTGTAAACATTGGAGTTCTATTTCATCCCTCCTGACCACCAGAGGGCAGTGCATAGCACTTGATGTTCCCTTTGCACATGCAGGGAACATTCAGTGCTATTCACCTCCCTCCGCCAGTCATCCAGAATTCATAGAACCGTGGTTACATACTTAACCTTAGTTTTGTGTAGCTCTAAATCACAACAAATCAGAGAATCGAACAGTTCAAATACAGGAAATGCAATGATGAAAAACACATCGAGCCACTGGTCCATAAGAGGCGGATAAACAATGTCCAAATGTTAGTAGATGTCCATAAATGTCTATAAATCCTGGATCATCACCACTGTCCTTAGACCCGGGGTCTCCAAACTTTTTCAATCGGAGAGCTACTTTTATACAAACGAAAAGGCAGAGAGCTACTCCTTTTTGCAGTTGTAATAAAAATCGGTCTAATAATTACGGACAAACTTAAAGAACACATGTAAAATACACCATAATACTGTATAACCCTATATTTATACTTATAATAGGTATGTAATGGGTCAAAAAGTATTCGTTGAAGTGTATTTTTGTTAAATTCTAATTCATTTGGCGAGCTACTTGTAACAGCGAGCTACTGTTGGCTCCCGAGCTATAGGTTGGAGACCCCTACCTTAGACCCAACAACTCATGTTAATTGCTCATAACTAATTATGTTTTTATTCATCACCTACATAATTTCTTAAGATAAAGCAATAAAGTCTCCAATGGTTAAAGCTGTGCTACACTAAAGACATCCTCACTGCGCGAACTGCAGAGTTTGGCTCTTTTTCTGCGTGTATCATTTCCCAAGAGTTTTACAGGAAGAGGATTTTAGTCAGCACATACTCTGGATGACCTGCTTTAGCTCCTGAAAACATCCATCATTATCTCTGCCATGTTGTTTTTTTGACACTACTCATCTGTGTCTTTAGTTCACACCTGTTCTGTTGTGTCTGCTCAGTTGTGGAGCCAGAATGTGACAAAAGCTCTGCCACCACTTACTTCTGGTATCGTCAGACCCTAAACACCACAAGCACCATCGCGGAGAGCGGCGGCCTCAACGTGAAGATGACCTTGTCTCTGCTCGTGGCTTGGATCATCGTCTGTCTGGCTGTTATTAAAGGGATCGCCTCATCCGGGAAGGTAGGCCATGTAACAAACGCACAAATAAATACTATATGACCTAGATAAAGAAGGCTGTGATTTGTAATGAAACACAGCCTTGTTTTTAGAGGGGATTATGTGTTGTACTTTAAAAAAAATTATAAATATATTCTCGGTGGAGCTTGAGTACAGGACACTGATCTGCTCTGGAATGTTGAAAAGACTGAGGAACTGGTAATGGACCGCAGGAGGAAGAGGATCCCATCACTGACCAGGGCCAGGAGGTGGAGCCTGCGTCATTATTCTATCACTCCATACACGGTGGTGATGAACTTCGAGTGTAGCCACAGCTGCCCTGGGTCACTCTTATAGAAGCAAGGCCACCAGCATATGCCATCGCCCCCCTCAAAACACCACTAAGTATTCATACACACACACCAAACTCATCTAAGCAATGTGGGTTAAGTGTCTTACCTAAGGACACAACAAAAGTTTGTGGCACCTGGTGTTCCCAGAGGTCTCCCATCCCAGTGCTACCCAGGTCATGCCTACTTCGTGACGCTCATGAAGCTATTGGAGATGGTTGTCCAGTCTATGGTGTCCAGAGCTCTGTACTGTGCCCTGGTCTGCTGAGGGCGCACCAGTCACAGTGAGGGAGAGGAGGACACTGGACAATATGCACTTCACCATGGGCAATCCCAAAGGCCTCCTGTAGGCCTTCCACTGGGTTTTAGAGTTTATTCTTGCTAATGCAGGAGGGTCCAAGGATACTGATTATGATCCAGGACACTTAATATTCTACATTTATGGACTTTTATCAACATTTATGGACATTGGTCACCCACCCTTTATGGATCAGTGGCTCTATGTGGTTTTTTATCATTGCATTCCCTGTGTTTGAACTGTTTGAAGTCCTCCAAGATTACTACTGATGTAATTTAGGGCTATACAATACTTAAATTGAATTGACAATCCCGCTCACCCACTGCACCGACACAAGAGAAGCAGATTCTCCAACAGACTCCGAACCCTTCAGTTTCACAGAAGCACATGCCTCACTCCAAACAACTGTACAACAACATACAACCCCTTCTCAGAGGTGCCCCTAAAGCTGGAGTACCTATCTTTTTTGTTTCGTATTGTTTAAGTAACATCATGTGTACAAATCTGTCTTTGTTAGAAACTATATTATCTTTCACATACTGAGTGAAAACTATTGATAGAACCAAAGTTTGAGAACAAGAAAGTAGGACATGTTATTATATAGTTATTCTTTTGTGTTTTCAAAGTTATGTACTTTAGCTTTAAGTCATCTCAAAGTCACAATATCAACCTGTATCGCTGACTGCACTTTCTATTATCTATTATTTCTACTGGTTTATATCTAATTATGTTGTTAATTCTATTTGCTATAGAGACTATGATATGGGGCTGTTACTTAATATTTGGCATTCTTAACTTGTTGGTTATTCAGACAGTTGAGGTTGTGTCCCAATAATTTCCCATGAGGATCAATCACGTTTATCAAAGTCTAAATGTAAACAGATTTACCAAAATTGTACATATGGATAATGGCCCATGACCAATACCAAAGAGTTTTCTACCATTGCATTTCTTGTGTTTGATTTCAAGTCCTTTGAGATAACTAAAGATTATGTGATACAAGAATACATTGAATTGAATTGAGTTTGGCTAAGACCTTTTGCAGCTGCCACTATAGCGCTAAAACTGCGGCTTTGTCAAATTACCCTCAAACTTTCCAATTTTGTGATTTGCAGGTGATGTATTTCAGCTCACTTTTCCCTTATGTGGTCCTGCTCTGTTTCCTGGTCCGAGGGTTGATGCTAAAAGGGTCCGTGGACGGCATCGCTCACATGTTCACTCCCAAAGTAAGGCTTTTACCATCACCCTCTCTTTACTTTCGCTTTACATCACAAATTGATGTTAGATGTTCGTAGTTAAATGGTTCTTTTTTATCATATACAAAGAATGTAGTGGATTTGATTACAATGGACAGATACAGTACATACTCTCAAAGCTAGTAATGACAAATATGTCAATTGTTTCCAAAGTATTAATGTTGTTTAATTGCTTTTCAGCTGGAGAAGATGCTGGAGCCGCAGGTGTGGAGGGAGGCGGCCACACAGGTCTTCTTTGCTTTGGGCTTGGGCTTTGGAGGTGTCATCGCGTTCTCCAGTTACAACAAGATCGACAATAACTGCCACTTTGACGCTGTGCTGGTCTCTGTCATTAATTTTCTCACTTCCATTTTGGCCACTCTGGTCGTGTTCGCGGTGCTGGGCTTCAAGGCGAACATAATGAACGAGAAGTGTGTAGCAGAGTGAGTTATACACGTACAGTACATACATAAATACATGTTGTATATTTCTCCATTGTGAGATCAATATGCCATCCTCTCTAAAGTAGCTCCCCGAAGAATAATTTCATGTGTAAATATAAAAATAATTACGATAGATTCTTTTATGGCTAAACCATTACACACACACAAAAGTTAGAAATTGCCAAAATTGATTTAAGTACATTCTTACTGTCTTAGTGCAACATAAAATTGGGAAATTTTAGAATATGTTTTGTTAGAATATTCAGAACAACTGGAGTGTTTTTGTAAGAAGTGAGCCAGAGTGTGTCCTTAGGCAAGTCACTTCATCAACATTAGAATGAGTCTGGTGTGTGAGTGAACGGTTGGTGGGGATCGGAGGGAAGTACTCGGCCTCGCTTCTGTCAGTGTGCCCCAGGGCAGCTGTGACTATAGTAGTGGTTTATCACCACAGTGTATGGAGTGAATGAATAATTTCATCTCATTTTGTATTGGTTCTTATATAACATTACATTCACATGAAGAACAGGAGTAGGATGAAGACTTAACCAATCTTATGACACTAAGACGACAAACATAGATGGCTTCATGTCAAAATACAACAAATACAACACAATACTATTTCTCTTTTCATTTAACATAGAATTTGATTATTTTTTGTTTACATTTAAACTTTAATTGCAATATATTTGAACATGTTTTAAATTCCTTGTCCACAGAGTTCCCTAGAGTTACACCAGTGTATGAGATGGACATTTAATAACGACATGTAATGACATAATGAAATGTGAAGCGACTTTGAGTTTCCAAAAAAGCGCTGTATAAAACCGATGCATTATTATTATTAGTTCCTCCTTTCGCAGTGACCAATTTTCTCTGACAGAAAAATGAAAAGGTTATGATGATTATTATAAACAACTTTCTTTGTCTTGTGTGTTGTAGGAATGCTGAGAGGATCATGGGATACCTGAACTCCAGCGTGCTGAGCCCTGAGCTCATCCCTCCTCACGTGAACCTGTCGCAGCTGTCCTGCACGGACTACATGGACATTTACAATGTCATTAGGACCGTGAAAGAGGAGCGTTTTGGGACTCTGGGACTGCAGCCCTGTGTCCTGGAGGACGAGCTCAACAAGGTTTGATTTGTGGCTCACTTCATCGCGCAGTTTTCTCTTTTCACATTTGTTTATAAAAGTGGTTCTCAAACTTTGAGTATAGCACCAAAGAAAAGAGAGGTGAACCTTTGGCTCGGGAGGTACCTGTAGCTCACCAACCTCTCTAAAGTAGCTCCCCAAAGAATAATTTCATGGGTGAATATTATTTAGGACATATAGAATAATTATGATTGTTTTATGGATATACCATTACACAGCAAAAAATAAGTTAGAAATTGCCAAAACTTCCCTAAATGCATCAAATTTATAATCATGCTTTCAGATTCAGATTCAGATTCATTTATTTGTCATTTGCAGTAAAACCACATTGGAAAAACATTTGCTCATTGTGTGATTGAAAATATGTTTTGTTCAGGATATATACCGTTTCATGCGTTGTCTTAAACCTGCAAACTGTCTTTTTCTTTTTCTGATTGATAATACACTTCAAGTATCGTTGGGTTGGGTTGGGTTGTAATCAACCAAACTTAGTATTTCAATTATTTTATTTACATTACAAGAATTTCTACTGGAAAACCACACATAATATGTAATGGAGAAAATTAGTTGTCATGTAGTATTAATTTGGGTATTTGTGAGCAGATTTTATTGAACCGTATTGCTGCCTATTTTTCTGCTGCTTCTGTGTGTTTTGACGACTAATCGATCTGCAAATCTTTAGCCAATCATGAATTTCTTTAGATGATTGCCTAAAGTCTTGACAGTGACGAATGATTTATATTTAAAATTGTAATTATTTAGAACAGTCAAATATTTGAGTCGCATAACAACATAAGAACCACCTCATTGTACCAAATTATGGGCCTACACAAAAACAAAAAAGAACTTGAAAAAAAGAAAAAAGAAAAGAATGTGAAATAAAATAGTTATAGAGAGGTTTTGGTGTATCACTTGAAGGAGCTTATGTATTACAGTTTAGAAACAGTCTCCTACTGCCATCCATCCATGTTCAGTCCAAGCAGAGACGCTGAGAATAAGATATCATTCATGTTATTCAACATTTTGAGGACTTTCAAATATAAAAATGATATACCAGGTAGTTTGTAATTGCTTTACATATCCATCATGCCCAAAACCCATAAGATTTATGTACATTTATTTTTATAATTTGCTGGTATCTCATTGAAATAAATTATTTTCAATTCATTTCTATGTATTTTTGTACAGCCCTAAATCACTTCAGTTGTAATCTTGGAGGAATTTACAAAAAAAAGTAACATTTGCCAACATGGTTCAAACACAACAAATGCAATGATAAAAATGCAAAGAGGCGGTATCCATCCATCCATCCATCCATCCATCCATCCATCCATCCATCCATCCATCCATTTTCTTCCGCTTCATCAGTTGCCGGGGCAGCAGAGATGCCCAGATATCCCTATCCACACACACGCAATCATTAATCATAAATGTAAAATGATACCAGCAGATGTGTACCGGAAATATCCTCAAACATCAGTACTCGTGGTATACATTTATTTCTTGTCATTTGTCTTGTTTGCTTTTAACCCTGCAGTCCGCACAGGGGACTGGCTTGGCTTTCATCGCCTTCACGGAGGCCATGACCCACTTCCCTGCCTCTCCGTTCTGGTCCGTCATGTTCTTCTTCATGCTGATAAACCTGGGACTGGGCAGTATGATCGGCACCATGACCGGCATCACTACGCCCATCCTGGACGCGTACAAAGTAAAGAAGGAGCTCCTCACAGGTGATCCTCACGTACGGCCGACAGGAGCTGAGACTTTACAATAATCAATCAATCAATCTTTATTTGTAGAATGCCTACACAGTCCACACAGAGCACAAATCATCACAAAAAACAAACAGCGACATTAAAAACACAATTAAAGGAGCAATATGTAAAAATATGGCCAAAAAGTGGCACTGCACTCTCCCTGACTCAGGTTGCCAGATATTCAGTCGAATCCAGCTGGGACCATAACGTCAATAACAAATCTATAATCAACACCTTTTTCACAAAGACACCCCTGATAGAAATCCTTGTTTTATTCTTTGTTTTGTCGTTAATGATTTGAGAATTATAACGTTTTCATTTTCCACATGTCACTTTACCTGAGAGATTAGCGCGATGCGGTGAGTTCTGGCAACCCGGATCAAGGACTTTCTGATTGGTAAAATGGCGGAGGGCGGGACATAAAAATGAAAACAATAACAAGATTTGGGGGCTGTAAAACCAATTTTGAAATTCAAATATCTCGGTTGAACTATTGTGATCAGTTAAAGAAGTATTGGAAAAGAGCATGGTTTTTTAATGCCTTTAGACATATTAGTGCCATTTAATGATGACTTGACATGAAAATCTTATCGCTACTTTAAAAATCACAAGTAATTAAAACCATTAAAACATTAGAAACACACAAGGGATTTAACTTGGATTTGAACATTGACAGAGTAGAAGCCTCTCTCGCAAAGCATTTACTTTTCCCAATTCAAAAGTGTGAGGATTACTTTAAATGTATTCTAATATCTATACTTTTGCTCAAATACCTTAAATACCTAAAACCAGTATGTTTGTCACCGCTGTACCAGAGGAAAAATCAAGAAATAAAAAGAATTGTACACATTAAACAGGTCATTACAGAGTCAAGTTTGGCTTGGTAAATGAAAGAATGTGAAATTGTTGTTTTTCCAGTGGGTTGCTGCGTAGTGGCGTTCCTGTGTGGCCTCCTTTTTGTCCAGCGCTCGGGGAATTACTTTGTCACCATGTTTGACGACTACTCTGCCGGTCTGCCCCTCACTGTGGTGGTCATCCTGGAAAACATCTCTGTGTCCTGGGTCTATGGCACTAAGAGGTAATGTAAGGTTAAGATGAAGATTCTTTATTAGTCCCACAGAGGGGAAATTTCAGTGTTGCATCAGTGGTTACAGAACAGAAGGAAAGAGGAGCACACAGCACAAGATAAGAGAAGATTATTTTAATTTTAGTAATTTTTAGCTAAATCTATAACTTTTGCATAATAAAGAAGTATTGTACACAAACAGAAATTGAAATAATAACAAAAGTCAATGATCATAAATATGTATATATATATTTTACATTTATTCTTTATTTTGATATTACAAGATCTACCATCACTTCAGAAAATGTTTTTCTCTGTATCCACAATGTTCATCACTTGCTTCACTTTTGGTCATAGAACACAGAATATGAATGCAAAAATAAACATCCCAAAAGCAAATACAGAAGCGACATTATGTCACACTGATCTCCTTTAAAGGGGATGTTTGTAACTTTCGATCATATGACCATGTATCACGTGTATAGTGGGGGTTTTTATTGTTTTTTTTCTCAGTAAGATTTGCTCGAGAAGAATAGCTCGGCCATTGATCAGGGCCCTCATTTGTGCATCAAATATTTAAATCAATTCTGTCCAATCAGGAAGCAGTAGTTGAGATAAAGCGGGTCTAACCCGTGCTTGCGTTGGGGAAAAAAATCTCTCCCCACAATTCCAAAGGTATGTGTTCCTCTCGTAGGTTCATGCAGGATTTGGAGGACATGTTGGGGTTTCGTCCGTGTCAGATCTACTTTTACCTGTGGAAGTACGTGTCCCCCGTCTGCCTCATTGTGCTGATCTCCGCCTCCATCATCGAAATGGCCTTCAACCCTCCAGGATACAGTGCCTGGGTGCAGGAACTGGTCAGTGGTTTCAGAGTAGTCCATGGTCATAGACATCCTAAATTCTTGTCTGGCTTAATGTTTTTAGATCATATGTTGTACAATTGAATGCAACAGAGGTTTACAAGGAACAGAGTAAGAATCTTAATATAACAATAGGCAAATATGAGATAACCAATGGGTATCGTAGAGATGAATAATAATGTAGAGATGTTAATATTAAAAGGTCCCATATTTCACTGATGGCCATAGTTTTGGATACAGTCTTTGGTGAAATGTCACTTGCTGATGAACATATTATTCACGGGCATCTGAAATCTGAGACAAAAGTCCAGTCACATTTACCTCATTGTCGGTCTTCAGGAGAGCCAAGTGGTGTGGTTACATATTTACACCCAATTTGCCTTATGAAGGTCTCAGGACCAAAACGTAACTTTCTCTAATAAAAATATTTTTTAGGATAGCAGTTTGCGGGAACCAATATTTTTTTCATGGGCGCCGAGACTCTTTCCCCCTCTCCTACGCACCTGCTCCAGCAATTGATGTGCAAAGTTCTACTTCACATATTTACACCCAAAAACACACGTTCACAAATTGACATGATGCTAACATATGATTTGTTTTTTTGATTCCCCCTGTCAATCACCTCCTGGAGACAGGCCCATCCAGCTCGGGCTGCGTCATCAATTTATCTCGAGAATGAAAGAGAAAGATTGCTTTCTAACTAAAGTTTGAGGGATTTGATGAAAAACTAGTCTGAGCATGTGTATGAGGCTAAACAGCACTGTATTCATGTTTAAGCGTAATATGGGACCTTTACTTTGCGATGTGTGATGTAAGACTTATCTATTTTCCAAACCTCTTGCCGTCCACAGGCACAGGAGCGTTTCCAGAGCTACCCTCCGTGGGCCCTGGCCATGTGTTTCTCCCTCATCGTTTTGGCCATGCTCCCTCTGCCTCTCGTCTTCATCGCCCGACACTTCAACCTGGTGTCAGACGGCTCCAACAAGCTCTCCGTGTCGTACCGCCGCAACATGATGAAGGACATGTCCAACCTGGAGGAGCAGGACGAGGCGCGCTCCATCCTCAGGACAAAACTCGCCCCCGCCCCTAAAATCTACCTGACCCCCGCAGGGAACAGCAGCGTGGACCACAATGCACTGTCCCCAATCAGCTGCTACGAGGCGGGCTACCAGAACAGCACCGTCTCACCCCCCTCACCTCCCTCACCCGTCTCCCCAGAGTTCGACTCCTGATTACCTTCAAGCGGAGCGCGAATGTAGATTAAAGCCATAGTTATTCATTGTTGTTTTGGTTGTATACCGTTATATTTGTTAATTGTCAGAACTTAATGAATGTAGAAGGAGATTGGAGGTGGAATGTGTATGAAATATTTTAGATCAAGGGCCGTCCTGTCAGCATCTGCCACGGCGCCAATAGATATGTTAGCTTTGACCTTCACAAAACCAAAACGTCAGATGGAAAACCTCTGACTTCTGCTTACTGCTGTATCGACCCGCTCAGTTGTTATCCATAGTCCAATACCTGCTGCTTGCAATAGATGTTATTGCATTCAGTTTGGTTTAATACATTCCTCAATTATGCAGGATTTTAGCGCAAAAAAAAAAAATGCTCTGAGATTTGCCTCTCCATTGAGATAACTTGTGACTGAGCAGAGTAAAGTCACATGGTTGATTCCAATGCAGAAGGAACGTGTCATGACATGAATATCCAGACTAAACAAGAACATTTACTGTAGATTAAGGACAGTTGAGGAATATACGTTGAAAGACATATTTAGAGAGCACAAAAGCAGTGACGGTTGAGACAAAGCACAGGGACTCACTGAGACGCTGAGCCAGTATTACCCCTTTTATTTTTTTATTATATGTTATGAAGCCAGATCACACAGCTTCAATCTGACAGAGGGCAAAAACAGAACTATGAGCATTAATATTGTCAACCTCGAGCACAGCACTAAGCACAGAGTTGAGACACATTAATACATCCAAAAACAAGACTACAGGACCAAAAGTCTCGTTTATGGACCACCAAAGTGTTATATTTGATAATGAAACACGCAATAATGATACGCCACTGAAGGGAGGAGTTTCAATATTGCATCTTTGAAATTATCACCAAAGGAGAAATTTGTAAATATAAACTATTATAGATCATTACTTGCACAACTAGATGATAGTGTTCATGTTTAATTTATGAAGGATTTTTTTAAAGCACAATTTTAATGCACACTAAAGCACACAAAGTAAGTTATATTTTTGTAGAAACAAAGCACAAGTAATGCACATAAATAAAAACAAAATTATCCATTTTAGTCCCAATAATATCCTAAAGATAAAACAATGGGTGTGTAGGGCAGTGGATCATCTGATAGATCGACTCTAGGGCTGGTCTATCAAACTGTGCAGAGCTGTGCATTAGTGTCAATAATGACTGGCTTTGAAAAAAACAATATTGCACAGTACAAAGGACACAAGAACAGTGTGTTAACTTAAGTATATCAGAATATATCAGGATTTGTAAATGGATTTATTCATTTATTTTTGGCAGCTTCTGAATTAACAAGATGTTCGTTTACAAAATTGTTTAGGAAGTATTAGTCAAAACATGTCAAGATAATTACACTGCAAACCCATATACCGGTATAGAAGAACCAAATAGATGTTTGTCCAGGACCCTCCTGTCCCCACTCGCGGCACTGTGTCCAGGTCAGCCCAGGACAGGGCTCTGTGTCAGTCTTAAAAAAAAGATTTTCTAATGAGAAAATTAAATGTATATGTTGTTGTTTTCCACTAACAAATCTTGATTTAAGTTTGTGAAATGATACCTTGTACCTCCCACTCTTTTTTGACAACCTTTAACTTCAACTTTTTTCCTCATTGTGAAACCCAAATATCTACATGCTACTCTTTTAAGGTTCACAAATGTGTTACTTTGCAGATGACGACAAAACATAAAAACAGATCAATGCAAACCACAAAGCTGCAGGGTTAAGCTTGTCCATTGTCCAGTTCATTCATTGTGGTTAGCCATGTTTCCATGTTCAGATTTGTTGCATACATGTAATATTTTGTATATTTTGGTAGAGACTATGAAATCGCCTGTGCCATTATAAAATACTTCTACAGAGGTTTGATGTGTTTCACAAGCAACGTAAAAAGTCTTATTGCCCAAAGATTTACTTTGAAGTCTTTTAAAATCCTCCTTTTCACAGACAAGTCAGATTACTTTGGTCACTTCGAATTATTTATTTAAAATATATATATATATTACACACACACACACACACACACAAAATGAATCTAAGGTTAATACATTTATTTTTTACATCTAAAGCTTTGTAAATGTTCACAGTCCAATGTAAATCTTACACAGGTGAACACAGCAGCGTTGTAAATGTACATGCAATAATGTAAAAGCATCCAAATCAACTTTATGAAATCACTATTATTAAATATCCTATTATCATAACTGAGCGTCGTATGGTCAGCAGAGGCTGGATCATCCAGACATTTGTAGTATGCATTATGGAATTTAAAAAGGATAAGTTTATTGTTTCACAATGTTCCTTTCCAGTATAAATAATAAAATCTACTTTTAACAAATTATTGTGATAGTTTCATAGCATGCCTGCTTTTCTTCAAAATTCAAATTTGCTTCAATTTGTAAAACACTGCAACACAAACTCTGACAAAGAAGCAGAAAATGTAAATTTACATTGGTTTTGTCCAAAATGAGTCACTTTTCATCCATGAAGTCACAGATCTTTATGGAACAATCGGCATCGATCCAAAACCCCGGATACAGAGGTTTCCTAAAGTTGCTTTGCATGGTGTAGAGAAAGGTCATGGTGTCAGAGACCTCATAGAAGGACACGGCCCCCTTCCTGAACTGCAGGAACACCCCGATGCGCCGGTGCTGCGGCACAGAGCACAGCTGCACACTGTCCCCACAGTGGCTCACAGAGTAGTGTGTGGAGGTGCAGTCCAGGCTCCACGAATTTTCATTGGCACCAAACGCTGAAGGTTTAAAACGAGACTTTCGGTCGATGTCCTCGTAGGCCAGAGCAATCTCAGTTTTATCTCCGCTTATTTCCACTTCATAGTAGCAGTGGTTCTCCTGCAGACCCTCTTTGCACAACAGCTGTCGTCTGTGGAGGAAGCGCTCAGGAGAGTGACCACGAGAGGTCCGAGCTCCTGCTGGGGCCACCTTCACCTCTTTGAGGTCTCTGGACAAAAGCAGGTCCTTGTGAGCGGTGCTGGGATCCAATGTGAGAACACAGGCATCTGAAAGGGCCAAAGATGACAAGAGCATGAATGGGATCATAAGTTCATGAGACAGTTTACACTTTTGCTTACACTCCAAAAAGTATTCCCTGGTCATGTGCTCTGTTGTCACCATGCTGGTAATCTCATCAACATCTACAAGAAAATAAACATTCAAAATACAATTGCGAGCTCACATTTACTATAAAATTGGCACAGATGGAACACTGTAATCGTACCTAAGGGTCACATAGTGTGTATGCAACACAACCACCTTAGGTGGGAAACACACAAATGATTGTGGATTAAACACAAAATCAGACATTAGGATGTTTGTCTGTGACCCTATGACAGATCAATGTTTATGCATTTTCAGTAATATATTTTACATTTTGTGAACTTTTGTAAAACAATCACATTGACAAATATTACTGTATGTAAAGAGTAAACTCTGAGGAAACCCTCGCCGAGAAACGCAAACGGTGAAGAACACTTGCTGATACTTCCAACTTCCATAGACTTTTAGTCTATGGAAGTTACTGGATGTGATCATCCACTGTCATTTTATCTCTTATGACAATATGAAAATAGTTACGTAGGTGGTTGGTATGCCATAGATTTGGACAAAGTGAATGTGACATGAGTTTTATTTTCACATTTTGATTATTCTGTGTGAAACGACATCACTTTCACAGTTATAATACAGTTTGCGAAGGACATTTTGAAAGAAATTAAGATTGAGTCAAAAGAGTTCTGTCCTGTTTATTACAGTTGCTAACATCCTCCAGTGAAATCAAAAGGATATGGCCCAACTGGGATTACTGAAATAACAATTCTTTTTCTAAAAACGCATTCATGAATTCTAATAAGATTTTGCTAAAGTAGTCCAACCGGTCAAATGCAGCAGGGGAGATTAAGATGAAGGGGAAAGGACCAACCACAGTCTGTATTTGTTTGCTGAATGTCATCATGGTCCGTCTCGAATACCTCAGGAAGGGATCCAGATTCTACAGAAATTCATAATGTGATCAACCGATTTCATATCTTTTTATATGAGATTACAGCATTACAAAAGCGTCACACCAATATTTATTATTGAAGAAAATTCTCTTTTGCAAAAGTCCTCCAGCCGATTCCCCAGAGATGCGACAGTCTTTTGAAGGGTCTCAAAGGGACAGTACAGATCATCAGTGAACTCTGTGAGCTTTGTCTCACAGCGCTGACGCACCAAGGGCCAGTCCTGTGAAAAGGGCCCACATTTAATCCCAAGAGATGTGATGGAGAGGGTGTTAAAGTATGGTGCACATACCAGAAGGAACTGCACATCACTGTCAGTGTAAGTCAAGTGGTCGAGTCGTGAGCACATCCTCCTCAGCTCTGCTTCCCTCCGACTCTGCACCGTGGTCAGTGCCGTTTGCTCTTGGGCCTGGACCCACTGTCGCAGTGACATGTAGTGGGTCTGCAGGAGGTCAATGACACTTGTCAGGATGGCCTCACAGAAGTCATCTGTTTCTTTGGCCTTTTCCTGGAGTTTTAACAGTTCCATGATCACCTTGGGGTCTTATTGTGCCAGAGCATGTGTGCAGGGCTTACCTTGACCAGGGTAGATGCATAGTCCTGTTCCTGCATGAACTCCTTGCACCTTTCCTTCAGCTTCTTTACTTCATCCTTGAGAAATCATTTAGATCAAGATTCATATTTATCAAATTTGTGAAAACCAGCAGTGGTCTATAAACAGTTCAGGGGTGTCCAAACCGGTCCAGAAGGGCCGTTGTGGATGCAGGTTTTATGTCAGACCCGGCACCAGAGCAAAGCCGACTCCACCCATTTCCTCAAATCTTAAGGACTTCTGTTCTGCTCTGCTGGGTCTGATAGAAAACCTGCAGCCACAGCAGCCCTTTCTGGATCGATTTGGACACCGATCTGCAGTAAATTAATGCACCATTTTTCACATTTTCCCTTTACAACACTGTTCGCAAATAAAACCCAACAATCTAGGGGCAATTTTATTTTATTCCTTTAGTTTATTAATTAGTTTATTTGACAAGGACATTGTGCATTAATAAAACATTACGGTAAATGCACCAGAATTAGCCAAGCAGGCTATTTTTCATCTGCAGTCCCTGGACAGGTGTACATAGTCTAACATTATTGTATAACAGTAAAAGTCATACAATAATAATATGCTGACAAAACACAGAAAGTAAGGTTGAAGAGTAAACTGATCGTCCCCCCAGCACTGCGAACACAGTGCCCTTGTAGTACAACCTTTTGGGTATTTGGGTAATAACGAGATAAATGACGAGATCACAAATAGAACAGGTCTAAAATTCCTCTGTGTGGTGGCTGGGCACTCCCTGACGGATGAGGGGGAAGAGCTCTGTCACACAGGAGGAGCTCGGTGTAGAGCTACTGCTCCTCCATGTTGAAAGGAGCGAGTTGAGGTAGCTCATGGCTCTGTTTCAATGTGTGCTGTGAAGGAATCTCTACCCGCTGACCCACAATGCAGCAATGGACAAAGCAGAAGAAAAACAAATCGATGGATTCTTTAAAAACAACTTTGACTTTATTCATTATAGCTTTATCTTTTGTTCCAACTTTAATTTTGAATGTGTATTTCTAGTTCAAGACCATTGTATCTAGCTACAGTAGTCATAACATACTAGTATTCTTCAGATTGTTATCTCACTTATGTAGACAATACAATGTTTGTGCATTTTTTCTGCATATAGAACTACAACAGGCAGTAATCATCAGTCACCATTAAACCATGTCTTGTTCCACACTATCTCAGCTCTTGCCTGTTTGAAAAATATTTACCCAGAGTTAAAAACAAAACCTTGACACACCTGTTTCCTCCTGCGCTCCTCTTTCACCAGGCCGATGGTGTGTCCTCTGTGCTCACCATCACAGGCAGCACAGATCACCTGCTCGTCTGTAAGGCAGAAAGCACGGACAGGTCTCTTGTGCCGTTTGCACAGGTGAGCCCCTTCTGTTGTGCTCCAGTGATGGCCGTGGGTATTGTCCATCTCTGTCAACACTTCTTACAGAAGATTAGACAAAGAAAAAAGGCGGGCTCTAGTCTAGTTTCATTTCTACAACAGCAGAGGAAAAGGCGTGTCTTCAGATGACTCATCAACAAAAAAATTAATCGACTGTATATTTTTGTTGAACAGGCAGAATCCACATAAGATTCTTCCAGTTTTTTACCGTCTCTGATGGAAGCTTCTCACACCTGATACGTATCCACTCTGACCCTGACGAGTTCCTGAAGAATCGTTTCTGCTACAGCCTCAAATTCTGTCTTTGAACATTGGAAACAAGGTAACAATGGCAAGAATATCAGCCACATACAAGGGATCCCAATAACACAATTTTATTACAGTGAAAATTAAACACATGATAAATAAGTTGTGCAACTCATAGCTTCTTTTCATCAAATTATATTTCTTTCTACAACACCAAAAGGTTTAAAAGGACAAAATCTGGAAATTGAATATTTCGTAGATGTCCTACTTTAGTGTCTGGATGTAAAAGTTTTACAATTTGAGTTACAGTTAAGACTAGTTGACAATGGTCAAGTTCAAGTCTTGTGGTCCCCAACAAAAGTATACAAAGTCTAAAAGGACAAAAACATCTGCAATATTAGAGTTGTACACTCAATCTGATAAACCGTAAAAGAATGACATTTTCAGACTTTAAAAGGACTAGAACTATGTCGACTAAAGATTGAAACAATGTACCACACATTGTTAAAGGCAATATTTAAATCATTTGATTGTTTTATCTATTCTGTTGAAAGCATCGTCACTGAAGCAGTTCCTCCCATGAGATGGGTTTAGAGAAGACTTCACGCTCGAGCCAAAGGTCGTAGTTGATTTGAAAGTCCTCAGGGAGGTCCACACGCTGCCCCAGGACGCTCTGCAGACAGTTGTCCACAGGCAGAAAGTCAGGGTTACTGTGGCTTTTGTCGTAGCGGCGGCTGTTGAACCGCTCTATGTTGGCCCTCAGTGCACACTCTTCAGCCTGGAAGTCCCACGGCCGGGCATCAAGGTCTGAAACAGACATTAAGTATTTCAGTAATGCTTTATACCACCGCGAAGTGGAGGACGCTGGGATTGTTCTCACCATTTCCATAGGCCCAGTCGTCGTTTAGGCGATGGCGGACTTTCTGGTAAATGGCCGACATCGTTTTCATGTTGCTCTTTCTCCACTGGCGTCCCAGATATTTGGTTTGAACTTTGAGCAGCTTCAGAACATACAACTGCATCATAGCCTGTTTGACCTTCAGCGCCCTCTTGAGGATAGGAGCAGACTTGAACACAACCAGCATCTGGGAAAAAGAAAAAAGAAACACTTATAAAAACACAGGGTGACTACTACATTTAACTTTAAACCAACATTACCATTGTTCTGGAGTGCTTCCATTTCGTCAGTTTATTTAATATCCGTAGGAGATTTATACAGGAAAATAGATTCCTCCAACAAAACTGATTGTTGTCTCCGGCTTCCTGCAAAAGAAAGAACGGATAAATATAGTCGACTGTGAAAGTTAGGGTTGTGTGGAAAATTGGAACAAAATGATATGTGATGCACATTCAGACAAATAATCGATTTGAAATTACACAGAACCATTTTAATTTGTATATGCAGTTTCCCACAACATAGATAAAAGATGTAATTGAAAATTAGGCCATACAAGCAAAGAAGAGGAGAGGCAACTGTGCCAGTGAGTCCAGTGATTCTAGTTCATCATTTGCACTTGCAAACGTATACATATTCTAATCATTTGTTGGAAGGAAATAAATAAAATGATATGGTTGTTTTCCTGAGAGTATTTGCATTTAAAATAACGTATAGCATAGTCCATATAGACTATAGTAGCCCATTAGCATCAACGCTGCAAGTTAATAATAATTATTAAAACATTTCAGGGACCACTAAAATGGTTTGAAATGAGTTTGAAAAGCCAGAGATAAAATGTTATAGTAGTCCAGTCTCTCCGTGGGGCCGTACACAGGGGGGAAATTTCAGTGTTGCAATATCCACCACCCGTTACCAAACTTACCAAACTTTCTGCTGTCAACTCTGGGAGCTCGTGCACAACACAATGTGGAAAGTCCAGAACTGAGATGCTGAAAGAACCGTCCACGTCAGCATGACAAAGACACTTCTAAGAAACATAATACATGGATGTGTGTCTGTGTTCACCTGTTCTTGGCTGTGATGTATGACATGATGTTTTGGTTGAAAAACTTCAAAATAAGTGGAATACAGTTGGCAAATACCAGGTGCTGAGCCATGTACTCAAACTGCCAAAGAAAAAAACTATAAAATAACAACCCATAAAATTGTACTAAATACATGAGTAAGATTGAGAGTCCACACCTGGTAAATGTGGTTGAGCTTGAAGTGTTTGAGGAGCAGTAGCAGAATGGCAGAAATTGCTTTTACAATAATTTCTTTGTGTCTGTTCACATCAACTCCTAACTTCATGCTCTGCAAAACTGTGGTCCTGTTTGAGTCATGACAAGAGTAGTTTTAGATAAATACAGAAGAAAGACAACAACCACCAAGGGACAGTACTATGGTTATAGAATCTCAGGCCCAAACTTACGGCATTTCCTCTGGCAAAACATCAGCAAGAATATTTATGGAGTCAGTCTTTGCCTTTGACGTAGGAGCAGCGGCGAGCAAAATCTTCAGCAAAGCAATCTAGGGTTCAGAGTTATATGACCAGTTATATGACGGTTAACAAAAAGCTTCACTAATTCAAATTAATTAGTAACCATATAAAAATAAAATAATAACCATATACTGAGGAAGACTGGGCAGAATGCCCTGATACAGAAGTTCTGTCGCACACATTTCTATCTCCTCTTCACCCTAAAAGACAACATTTGACATTCATTAATTTGGACATACTTTAAATCAACAACAAGGAGGGAAATACACTTTAAACTCTTCTTACACTTTTAAAGAATGTGATCTTAAAATAAATACTGGTGTAAATACAATCTACTTACACCAGAGAGAGGGGTTTTCTGAAATTCTTCCTCTTTAGTGATCTGGATCTCTGCTATTGAGATATACTTGTGCTAAAAGTAAAATAATGCAATCGTTTATATATTTGCATACATCACAAGATTTGAGAGACAACCATGGAAAACTCTACCTGCTTTAAAGTCTTAATGCTTTCATGAATTGGCCGGGGGAGGCCCACAACCGTGTCTGTGTCACTGGAATAACACATTGTTTAGTTATACATTGGAACGTTCCAGCATCCCATTGTAAATTAATATATGATTATATGAGTACATTTATTTAGTATTTTATAGTCAGCTAGCTTTGGCTAAATCTGGTATAAACGCAAATGAATCAAAAAACAACAATTCTATTCTTCCAACTTACTTTCCAAGCGTATAACCAATGAATTTGCTTCTACTTGATTCCATAAAATTTTCAATATCTTTTTCCCTGTGGAGATGGAAAACGAGGTATGAAACAATTCTTGTCAAGAGAAAGCAGTTATATTTGGTACCTGACTTTAGGCGCCCAGGGCAGGCCTTTGGGGAAGGATACGCGCTCTGAAGGGGGGTGGGGTATGGGCGGAGGCATTACTTCGTCTCGCTCCATGGGAAAAGTTTCCGTCTCAATGGAGTTGTCATTGTCATCATTGTCTTCTTCATCCTCACGAGTGTCATCTGCTTTGTAAGGATCCTTCTCATTGAAAGCATCCAGATTGTCCTGTTTGATCAGAGCCTGAGAAGGAGAGACAAGGTGTTTGAATGACATTATAATTATCAGTAAGTCTCTTTTATTTATTTTTTTAAAAACAATGTTGCAACATTGTTTCCTCACCAGCAAGTCTGGAAATGTTTTTAACTTTATCCATGCTCATTTCAGGAATGTTTTGCATTTATGGGAAAGGGAAACACACAGCAGCTTTACATTGTGGGTTGTAATTTACCAGCCTGACTCTCCAGATCCTTCGCTGAGCTTCACATCGCAAAACGTTTCTGGTGGAACATGCCGGAACTACAAGGGTCTGGCGAGGGTCAGGTTAGTAATTGACCCTCAAGTAATTCAAATGCATTTGCAGGCTCATATCAGTCAAAAAGATATTCCAATATATATGCAAGATTTTGAATACTGACTGCTACCATCTGAACGAAGGATAGTGATGCCTCAAATGAAGACCAGGAGAGGCCTCACACCCTTTGTCCCAAACAGTTATCAGCTGCTCAATAAACTCAGTACAGGTACGACTATAGTGGATAGATAGCCATCTTGCTTCTCAGCAAGAAAGGTCCTGGGTTCGAATACCAGTCGAAACAGGGACTTTTTGAGTGGAGTTTGCATGTTCTGCCCGTGTCTGCTCTGTTTTCCCCAACAGCTAAAAACATGTACATTAGGACTGAATGCAACGAGTGAGTGAATAAATGGTGTTTGGTCAGAGGCGTTGATGCGTCAGTGTGTTTGGGGTCTCGCTTCTGTCATCCCTGTGTGTGGAGTGAACGGAACAATATATTAGCACTTTGGGTGACCTTGGCCTGTATAAATAAAGATTACTTACTTACGGCATGTGGATTTTGCCAATTTTGAACTGTTTCTCAAGTGTTTATGTCTTTGTAATTGAAATTATGCGCTAGCCAAATTGCCCCATTCTTTCTAGAAAGGATGGAACACATAAGAAAACCGGATATAGCTTAAATCAAAGCGCTGACCTTATGCTCCCGCCGCGCTCGTTTCTGCTGTTGTTCGATGAGGTCCGAGGCAGAGGCAGGCGGGGACGCGGCCCTCATGCTGCGCACCACTCTAATACTGTCTTCAGGAAGAGGAGGAAGCCCCAATTGCGTTCGCCTCTGGACCTTCAGGCTCTGGAGCTGCTCAAAACCTCCGAGAGTGAACTGTAAATATTGTCCGTTACTAAACTGTAGCGTTTCCCAGATTAAAGAAAGACATTTATAACTCACCAGAACGCTTTTCCACAACAATAACAGCACCTTCTTCATTGGAAAGTGAGGGGCTTGTCCACTGCAAAACTTTGTGACCATGCCAAACAGCATCACTGAGATAGGCTCATTGTTGAAAAGAGGCGATCCTGTGGAGACATACGATTTGGATACCGGCTCGTAATTATTGTTAAATATTATAAAAACGAAACATTATAAAATATAGGTATAAACACATCTAAATGCCATTCATGCAGATTCTGACATTTAAGAAGTCCCATATTATGCTTTTCCCCCCTCTTCTTAAAACATCATTACAGTATATTTGGTCGTCATACACGCGCCCAGAGTAGATTTTTCATTGATTTCCTCAAGCTTTAGTTAGAGAGCGATCGTTCTCTTTAATTCTCCAGAGGCCCAAAAACGACCAGATTGACTTTGTTACGTAGCACACTTTCACAGCGAAAGGAGCTCAGTTTCAAGTGTTTCAATGTGACATCTGCTCTGCAAAACATAGCTATAATTTAATAAGTTATGAGTAAGTTGTATCACACATGTGCTTATGAAAGACTGAAAAATTAAGAAATATAGGACCTTTAATATAGAGTTTTCTTCACTAATGTTTAATGCAAAAATAGGTTATTATTCCAAATTCTAGACAAACTACCACTTAAAATGCAATCTAAATAACATTAGTTAAGTAACTAAGCATTTGTAACTTTAGGTGCCCGCAAAAATGCAATCAAACAAGAATTTATGAGATAATTATACTATTATCTTACTGTCTAATTTTCAAGAGAATGTGTTGCAATGCGGTGTGCTGTGACGAACAATATTAAGTTGAATTTACCCAGCTCTGCTCTAAATGTTTCTTTGATGACTCTCCACTCGGGTTTATCTGCCGGTTCATCCTGTTGAATAGTTTCCACCATCAAGTACATGATGTTCAGGAGAACTCTGAGGTCTGTGCTGTCTGCGAGGGAGATTGCTGGCTTCCTCACTGCACTCGAGCAAGCTGCACTGTTACTGCAAAACACAACACAATCACTCAACACCAATAGTAATCACCCAAGCTGATAGTTATCTTTTCAAAACTTACTCTATTTCCATGTTGAGCAGTTCCACAAGTGCTGAAAAGGTTCCAACATCCAACAATAGAAAGACGTTATATCTCGACCAGTGTTGAACCTCCAATTCACAGGAGCACTCGCCAAATGTTCCTAAAGAAACAAAAGATGTGACTTAAGAAAAACAAATTACACAGAGATGAGCATATCAGCATAACAAATGACACTGAAATTGTTGTCCAAAACTCTTTTTGAAATCGACATATTTTTTCACAATTTACATTCCTTCACTTTTTCATGCATTAATGGCCTTAATATTCAGTGTAATGATTTTATGAGCTCTCACAGCTGCTTGTACAACATAGAAGAAGTACTAGGGATGCACACATTGTGAAAATTTGGGCCATTACCGATTATATATATATATACACACACACACATACATACATACATATATATTTATATTTCTTGGCGGCTTCAGTATTCACTGGAACACATTATATACACATAATTGATACAGATCACAAAAATAAATTCAGCATACCTTGAGCCATATAGAGAATTGCTCTGGCAACTTTGAGCCTTTTCTCTCTGCCAATTACCTCCAGACCATCCAGTAATCGCATGGCATGAGCTCTGTGCTGTGCTGCATCCAGTTCTGTCCATTTCTTATCGCACACTGAGAGATACAAAATCAAATGAAGGATATGGTATTTCAAAGAATACAAAAAACCAAAAGACTTAAGTGACACGCATCTCAATAGTTACCCTGTTCTCTGAATTCTTCTTCAAAACACTTTCTGTTCAGGGCAAACTCTGGGCCTTCAGTGTAACTGTACAGCTCTGTGAAAGCCAGGGTTCAGATTATGTCACAGTAGATACCTTATGATAATATTTAAAGAATTGTGTCATCACAGGAGTATGTTTTGATTAGCAACAGTTGACATTCACATTACTGAAACTTATTTGAATCTGGTATACCATTTGCACTATGTTGTATAAAACAGGTTTCTATCAATGGTACGAGATCAGTTATAGATGACTAGTTGTTATCCAGGTTGTTATCTCTACGACAGAAGAATAACACCTGTATTTATGTGCATCTCACCTGACAGCTCTGCAGCCCACTTATCTGTGTCTGCGTAGTCAAACTCCAGGTCTGGGGATTCAGAGAAGCCCTGTGCAACACAACAAGCACTTTGTAATAACATTGCTACTTAGTGTACTCATCAGCAACAACAACAACAGCAGAAACTAAGCATGTCTATTTGTAAGAGTAATATGATTATTTTAACTCTAATTCACCAGGCCAATGCTAGCTAGCTCCCTCGGATAGAACCATGGTTAGAACAGGGCGAGGGTAGGTTAGCTAACAGCATTTAGCCACAGCCTACGTTTTAGCTAAGATTCGTTAAAGCTTTACGTTCATCACAATTGCTAAAAAACAAAGCAATGCGTTCATTACCTCTGAGTCTTTTCTAAGATTGCGGGTGAATTCTCCTCTGCTTTTATTGGGAATCATTGCTCTGAGTTTATTGTTTACAGCTAAACCTCCAGCGTTTCCCCCTACGTCCATCATGTGTAGGCCAAGGGACATCTCGCGAGAATCAGCTGAGCGCGAGGCGTTTGTTGTTATTGTTGATAAAAGACGATGTTGAGGCATACATGAATAAAGCTGATGAGCACATTGGGTTGGATGCATTAAAAACTTTTCCCTGAGAAGAATATGTGATGTTTGTAAATGTATCCAATGTGAGATGAATAAAATGTATCTTATCTTATGCAGACAGAGCAATGTTAAATCCCTGTGAACTTATTGCTCATTTCAGGACCACATGTTATTTCTGAGTTTGGAGTTAAAACTGTTTGATTTGAGTGGAGATCATTCATTTACAGTTCCGGAGTCCAAATCTGGGTCCGGAAACATAAGTGTATGTACTATATGGATTTATGGATACATCTACCTAACAAAACACAGATACAATGCAGCTGTGGATGGGGTTTTGCTCTTTTCCCAGACTGAATATAGACTCAAAGTTTACATGCATTAATTATGTGTTACAACAATTATGGACAAAGACAGTCAAGTCAAATTGTGTCATGGATTTATTGAAGAATACAGCAACAGAACAGAGTTAAACTTACCTATCACAGTAGTACTAGTATTTAATATGACATCAGTCAGTAGCAACCATCGACTGTATATTGTAGCAACACAGTATAATACATACTGTGTATGTAGTCATTCAATATGAAACAACAAAATTGAAATAAGCTAATTGAACAACAAAATGAAATAGCATACATCCTGATCAGTGAGTTGACTATTGCAGTATATTTTTCTTGATGAATATGCCCAAAACATATCTGACAAGGTTGGGAAAAGCAAATGAGAGGGGAAATCATCTCTGCATAGCAACCAGTGTATTTATTTTAGTAAATAACATGATTTTAAAAAGTCACTGAGGGTCAAAAGGCACAGTCTCCAGACCAGATACCATGATTACAGCGAGATTTTAATCTCATGGTTTTTATTTATTCACTGAGAAGGTTCAAGTACCATAGTGATAACAATACCACAAATGTGTATACAATAGTAATGTGACTCAAAAATAAAGTAAAAAAGTATTATTTATATGACACTCAAACTACAATTAAACATATTGGTAATATATAACAGACTTGTACTTTCCCTGGACGAGGGCCTACTGTTTGATGGCAGTAGGCCATCAAACAGCTCGGCTCATCTTGTCTTGCAGAGTAGGTTATTGTTTTTTCTGTAACCCAAGACAATAGTCTTCTGAGGAAGACGGAAGTTTGCAGTCGAAACTCGTCAAGGAAATATGTAAAACAATGCTTTCTTACAATTGTCTGGTATAGAAAAAACAAATAACTTTTGTTCTTTTGTAATTTTCTTCTAAAAGTCTGTGGAATTTAACTTTTACGTTTGTACATAATACTTTTTAATTCCATGGAATCATACAGCTGAATTTCTACCACCAAAATGAATGTGCCTATTGTGGTACTGACAAACACAATAGTTTGATTGGTGATAAATACATTATGTGAGCAAGCAATGGAATCAATGCACCTCAACAAAGCATATGCAATAAAGGGATTATTTCTTCATTGTCAACAAGTTCTATTCTATAGTCTTTTCATATTCCAAAAATAAAAATTTAAAACTGAAATGCTATTAAATAAAATGTTTTTTTTTGTTTTGTTTTGTAAAAACTGGAATGTAATGAATGTCCAGACTTCACGTTTTTTCTTAATCATTTAAACTGAGTAATAAATAGAAAATATCTATGAGAATATGGCATTTGAAGGTAGTTGAATAGCTAAAATAAACTAATAAAAAGTATAAAGGATGTATTTCTCCCCCAAATAGTTCATTTTAAATAAATTAGTCTTATATAAAGTAACTGAAGTACAGATGATGGGTGAGAGCAACCTTCCTTTGTTTTCAATAATCCCTGTACGACTGTGAGCTCACACAAACTAGTCTTATACAAGTTCAAATTTAATTCATAAAAATAAAAGTCTAAAATAAATTTGATACTTCCATTCCCTTATTTTGGGTGCTATGAGACTTGGGTGGCATCTCTGACTGCCACCCCCCTGACCCAGAAATGGATTAAAGGGAAGAAAATGGATGGATGGATGGCATTCCCTTATTTTTGGCACAGCAATTATACGTTTTCTTTTTTGTTAAAACAATATATTTTATATATTATAAAGCCACAATTGACTTTGAAGGACGTTAAATACACCAGGTATTCAGAATATATAGTTATGACCCATTCCTTTTTCAATGCACCCTTCTCCTTTCAATTAGTACCTGTAAACATAATAAATATTTTCAAAGTTAGAGTGGTTCACATGGAAAGAGTCATTTGAATATCCGTACCTGTAGTAGTTGGGTTTGAACGGGCCATTTTTGTTCAGGCCGAGGTATTTGGCCTGCTCATCAGACAGCTCTGTTAGGTGGGCATCAAAAGTAGCAAGATGCAGACTGGCAACATATTCATCTAATGGAGAATAGAATAATATGTTTTATCACACAGGGTATAATGTGTCTGTATGAATTACATGCACAGTATCTTCTCAGTAAAGTAGGTGGTTTCCCCTCACCCATTTTCTTGGGAAGTAAGTACACGTCCTGCTTGTATCGTCCCTCTGGAGCATTGTACAGCTCTATAAGTGCCAGCGCCTGAAATAGACCACAGTACCATTAATGTAGGCCATTTGATATAGCAAGTTATAGTTACAAGATAAGAACAACTTTGAGAACAAATATACAGTATACTGTATACTTTCTTTTTGATATGATTCTGTTCTAACAAAATACATACCATGTACACACAGTGTACAGAATCAAGTTTGCCTTAACCCTTCCAAATGTCCAGGTCCACCCAGACACCCAACCCCATGTACTGTATGTCATTCGTTAACTATCCAAAACATTACAATTGGCTAAGCAGAATAGCTTAATAAACCATTTCTCTTTTTCAAACGTTTTTTTTTTCAATCATTTCTTACAATACAATACACAATACAATACAATTTATTCTTGTATAGCCCTAGGTCACAACAGAAGTCATCTCAGAGGACTTAACAAAACCATTGAAATCACCAACACAGGTCAGAGAATCAACAGTTAAAACACATGAAGAATACAGTATAAAGCACACACAGAAGAAAATGTCCATACATGTTGTAGAATGCTAAAGTGTCCTGATCATCACCAATCCTTTCTGTTGGACACTAACTGTCCAACAAGACCCTCCTGCATCGACAAGGAAAAAACTCTTAAAAAACCCAGTGGGAAAAAGTGAGAAACCTTGGAGGAGAAACTAGGGAAACCCACAGGGAGGGAGACCCATATGAGAAAGGGATCCGCTCCTCCGGACGGACAGACTAATGATCCAGGACCTAAGCTAGCTACAGAACGTGGACCAGTGGACGCTGAACGTGGACAGGTCCGGTGCAGGACTGAAGCACTCCCAGGCGGGTCGGGCGGGGCAGTCCGCAGGTGTAGATGGAAGAGGCCAGGCTCAGAGATCCCGTCATCGTACCATGAAACAGACAATGGGACAACGGGTGAATAGCAATGAACAAACTACAGTCAGAATCCTAAAAATGCTAAACAGATAAAGTAGGAAGGAGGAGAGGATAGTGCTCAAGTTACCATACTTCTCCCAGCAAACTGACTCCCTATGCAGCTTGACTAACACTCTGAGGAGTTTAACCTTCTCCGAGTCTTACCTTCCTAGCCATATGCTAAACTAAAGAGGACTGTTTTAAACCTAGCCTTGAATAAAGAATAACATACAGCATAATATATAACATAATATACAACATAACACAATACATTATTGAATAATATATAACATAATATATAACATAATACAGCATATATATATAATATATACACTACATATTATATATTACCTAATTATATGCTAAATTAAAGTAAAGTGCTTTAAGCCTGGCCTTGAATGTGGAGACCGTATCTGCTTCCTTAACATAAATGGGAAGCTGATTCCACAGTAAAGGAGCTTGGTAGCTAAATGCTCTGCCACCAACAGTGACCTTTGAGACCTTAGGGACCACCAGACGTCTGGCGTTTTGTGAGCGCAACGCTCGACTTGGTTGATACGACACTAACGTGTCTTGGAGATAAGAAGGAGCCAAGCCATTTATGGCTTTATATGTTAAGAGTAGGATTTTAAACTTTATTCTGTACTCCACAGGGAGCCAGTGGAGTGATTTTAACACCGGAGTTATGTGCTCCCTCCTTTTGGTACCTGTTAAGATCCTAGCTGCTGTATTCTGAACGAGCTGGAAGCTCTTCAAAGAGGCTTTAGGGCACGCTGCCAGTAAAGCGTTACAGTAGTCGAGCCTTGAGGTGACAAACGCGTGAATGAGTTTTTCCGCGTCACTTTTAGGAAGGAAATTCCTAATTTTAGCGATGTTCCGTAAGTGGAAGTACGCCGTTTTAGTTGCTTGGCTTATATAAGCCTTGAAGGAGAGTTCTTGGTCAAAAATGACTCCAAGATTCCTCACAGTGTTACTGGGTATTATACTGACATTATCGAGAGTAACCATCTGGTTAGTGAGGGAGTCACGCAGGCGCTTCGGACCGAGTAGGATCACTTCTGTCTTCTCCGGGTTGAGAAGTAGGAAGTTAAGAGTCATCCACATTTTAAGGTCCTTTATGCAGGCACTGAGCTTTTCTAGCTGATCTGTCTGATTAGGCTTCATCGACAGATAAAGCTGTGTGTCATCTGCATAGCAGTGGAAATTAATTCCATGCTTTTTAATAATGTTTCCCAGTGGCAGCATGTAGAGAGTAAAAAGAATCGGTCCGAGTACCGAACCCTGCGGCACACCGAATTCCACTCCAGAATAAGGCGACGAGTCCTGATTCACATTGACGAAGTGATATCGATCTGATAAATAGGATTTAAACCAGCCAAGGGCTGTTCCTCTAAGACCTATATCACATTCTAGCCTCTGCAGTAGAATGCTGTGGTCTATTGTGTCAAATGCAGCACTAAGGTCCAGTAGGACCAGCACTGACACTTGTCCATTATCGGCAGCTAGTAGTAAGTCATTTGTGACTTTGACTAGTGCCGTTTCAGTGCTATGATGAGCTCTGAATCCAGATTGAAAGACTTCAAACATATCATTTTCCTGCAGGTGGCAGCGGAGCTGCTCAGCTATAAGTTTTTCCAGGATTTTAGATATAAAAGTGAGGTTCGAGATCGGTCTGTAGTTTGTAAGTATTTCTGGGTCCAGGTTTGTTTTCTTCAGAAGGGGTTTGATTACCGCGGTTTTAAAAGCTTGTGGGACATAGCCACATTGTATGGATGCGTTTATTATATTTACAAAACAAGAATAAACAAGAAATAAACATTTCTTGTTTATTCTTGTTTTTATTCTGTATCTTGTTTAATGTTTATATTGTTTTCTTTAGCATAACATTTGAAATAAATTCTTAATATGCTATACAATACTATTGTGTCAGCAATCTTCCCGTCTTACTTGTGTTGTGGCAGTGATGGAAAGAACAAAAGTGGGAACAGTCGAGCAGCTGAGGTTCAGAAGACGACCCTTTGCAAAATACACACAAATTCATTGAAGCGTTTATGATCAAGTCTATTGATGGCGTTTTGACAATATGCTGTTACCTCTGCCAGCAGAATAACCCTCTTCCCATCTGGCCAAATGACATGATCCACTTGCGAACGTACTCTCTCCCAAGTCAACTCTGGAGTCCGGAGGCTTGCCTAAAGAATTTGCATAATATGAATCCCAATTTTGGACATATGCTTGCCAACATTTGTTTCTTTATCTGTTGGTCTATGAAATCAAATTGTTTTTAAAGAATTGGACCTGCGCCACAAGGCAGAGGTCTGTGGTATGTTTTCCAGTTTAAACATTACTTGAATTAGTCACAATATTTATATCTAACATTTCAGTCACTTTAACTATTGGTTGTTTTCTTACCACGTCAATCTCCGTATTGGAGTGTCCCATGTTACACACAATGGAGCCATTTTTCATTCGGTCCAGTTGGTCTCGAGTCACCACATTTTTATTTCCTACCAAGAGAATGATCAATGAAAAGCCTTCACAACTAGCTAACCAAAGTTGCAGTAGTTTCTTAGGTTTAGTTTCTAATTTACCAGTGCATGTTATAATCACATCCACATGACGAATGATCTCATTGAGCTTGACCACTCTGAACCCATCCATGCTGTTTGAAAACAAAAAGATGTTGCGATTGAAAGCAGTGGTCTGATTTTTCTATTTGTGTCTAATATAATACATAACAACATTTTTGGACGCTCAAGACTCGTCAATATTCAGTCCATTATTGAAGCGCACTCACCAAGCCTGCAGGGCACAGATGGGATCAATCTCAGTAACACACACGATGGCTCCCAGAGCTTTCAAAGCAGCACAACATCCTTTACCAACCTACAAATATCAATTAATACATTCGTTTTTATACCTGAACTTGGTACAGCAATATTGAGAGTAAACATGACCGAATGTACCTCTCCATAACCACACACAACCACCTGCTTTCCTCCAAACATGACATCAGTGGTTCTCTTCAATCTTGAAGAAAATAAAAAATATTTACACATTTTAAATGCATTTTGACTATGCATAGTAATAACATTTAAAAACACGGACGTTTCTAAAAGTTTCAAAAGAAAATGCCCTGAAGATCCTGATCAGTACAATCACAAAAAAAAATTGAAAGTTTGTTTCCATTGCTGAAAGAACACATGCAAAAGCAAACATTTTTAGTAATGAAAGTGGTAATTAGAGACACAAAAAAATAACATTTAAAATTAGTTCTCAGATGATAAATAAAAATAATCATCTTGAGATCCAGCATTGAATTACGACAACTTGTTGTCATTTATAGTTCAGCTCAGGCTGCAAATACCTTTCATCATATTAGACAAAATGTAGCAATATGATAATCTTATCTCTGCCTTAAATGAAGTGATAGACGAATATTTCATTACAGCAAAAACTCTATACCTACCCATCCAGAATGGACTCTCTGCAGCAATAGAGGTTGTCAAATTTCTGTTTTGTCACTGAATCGTTTACATTCATTGCTGGCACACACAGCTTCCCAGCTTTCGACAACTGGTACAGCCTTCAATTCAGAGAGCAGCCAAATGAGTGATACAGGCTTCTGTGTTTGCAACTTTTAAAGAGTGGTTTTGTACCTGTGAACCCCTGTGACACTTTCTTCCACAATGCCCCTGATCTTCTTAAACACATTTGGATACTTCTTGTACATCCAGTGTGTTAAGTCGCCTCCATCATCAAGTATCTAACGAGGCCAGATCAATCATAAAAAAACAATGATTATCTTAATTAAAACAAAGTGTTGTGTAGTAAATGCATTGTACCATATTTGGCTGCCACCCCTCAGTGTTGACACAGCGGTCGATGCACCACCAGAAGTCATCCTCGGATTCCCCTTTCCAGGCAAATACAGATACACCTGAAACAAAAGCAAAGGCCACACTCAATCATCATACCAGCAATTTGAGAATGCAAAACTTTGCGTACAAACAACAACTGTTCAACTTGTACCGGTATACAAAAACACAAAAATCCTGAAACTGCTCACCAAACTCGGCTAGTGCGGCGGCCACTTCATTCTGAGTGGAGTAAATATTACATGCAGTCCAGCGGCACTGAGCTCCAAGAGCCACTAGAGTCTCAATCAGAACCTGATGAAGTCATAATGTAATCGCTGACATACGTTCACAGTGAAGTTTGTAAATAATTCATATTCATAATCATTGTCCGAGATATTGATTTGTAGATCATATCAAACTAAAGAGCTTACGGCTGTCTGTGCAGTGATGTGAGTGCAGCCCACGACTTTGGCACCTGCCAATGGTTTCTCACTTTGAGCTCTCTTTCTGAGTGAGATCAACGCTGCCATATCTGTAAAGCAACACACTTATCACACAATGCAAAACTAAAAAGAAAGGGTTGTGAAGAAGACTCACCTTGTTCTGCTATCTCTATTTCCCGTCTACCAAACTCTGCCTGCTTTATGTTCTTCACACAAAAGTCACTGCTGCCCTTCACATTGACTTGCGTTTTGTCACGAGGAGAGGTCTCGTCGTCTGAGCTATCTGTGTAAGATAAAGCTACATTAAAGTGTATACAACACACATACAATGTGTAAGTAACTCAAGTAATAAGAAATAGTTGCAAAGCATCAAACAAACCAGAACTGTAGCTGTCGGTGGAAGACTGAGAAATAGAGCGTGACAGGGAGCGTCGGCCAGTTTTTGTTGGGAATCTGTTGAACTCCTGTTTGTCCTCCACAAACTGGATTTGCTAAAAAAAAAAATAAGGCTTGTGTTTTATTTTTCATACATTTTAGCGCAAATCAAACGAGGTCCACAGAAATGCAGTTGTGTACTTGTGCAGCTTGTACATTCTATTGACCCCATCCTCTGCATTTCACCCATTCATCAGTCACTAGAAACTTGCTAAGACCTGCTAATAATGTACTGTGATTATTTATGATTTTAATGCTTTCTTGTTTTGTTCAGCACTTTGAATTGCCTTGTGTATGAATTGTGCTATACAAATAAACATGCCTTGCCTTGCCTTGCCTAGCTACTAGCACTTTAAACTTGCACAACAAGGAATATCTCTGCAATCTTGAGCACTGAAAAAGCTCTGAAGTCTAAAAAACTTTTAATAACGTACTCCTGTACGAATTATGCTATTCCTGTAAACTCGGTTCGTGGCCTGTGAAGAAGCTTAGTTTACTTCCTTCTTCCTTCTTATGCAACATATTTGCACAATGTAACATTTTTCCAATTCATTGTGAAATGGTTGTAATTTGCAAAACTTGCCCATGTGTGACCAAATATTTATGAATATATATACGACAATAGCAAAGTGACAGCTATAGGAAATGATGAGACTGATGAGTGATGAGTGATGCTGTTTATTTGTCATTAGAGTCAAGCTGCAACAATTTATTGAAATTATAAACTGTATAATTTCAAGTTGTTGTGATTTTCAAGATGCTTTTATGATGGTCAATATTCCATCAAACGCCATAAAAACCTAATGCCTCTGAAACAGTATTTGATATAAATGGTTTTATTTTTACACAGAAATGAATTCTTGGGTATCCAGCTTTCAATCCCTTGGGTGGATATTTAAAGATTGTGTTTTTTTTACTTTTAAATGGCTTTGACCTCACTGGCATTACAGCCTAATAATAGTAATATCCCACTTTAAAAGGAAGGTGATGTCACTAGACTTCACACTGTAAATATCAAGAAATGACACATAATAACAATAAAAACAGGGCTTACCTTTTTGACAGGTTTGTGAGTGGGCACAGCACTGAGGACAGTGGTCAGATCTCCCATGTTCATCTCACTGTTTTTGCTCACGGTCATAGCAGAATATTTCTCAGCAACATTTTCGCTTTCTTTGACGTCTTTACTGGCTTGCTTCACTTCTGCCTTAGCTTCTCCACCACCGGCCAATTCTGACATGTCTGGTGAATGATAGGTCGTCTGTTGAAGTTGAAAGACCACTTGTCAAAAAAGGAGCTAGCACTAGCAGCAGCTGTGTTCTTCCAGATCTCACTTTAAACAGAGATCAAAAACAACACTGGAAAGCTCCAATAGCAATGCTGTGCGTGTTTTTCTGTTTAATAAACACAGCACAAAGCTACGTTCGCATTAATCTTAAAATATTCACAACGATTCATCGCTGCGCAGGCGTTTGTCTCCGTCACCTGCACACGGACTCATCCCGCCCACTTCCAAGTCCGCCCCATGGTCATGGAAGTATTATTATGGTTCGGCCTGCTTCAAAGGAGGTCGTTCATCCGCTGTCAAAATATTTACAGTCAACGTTAGAACCACGGATCTTTTCTAAAATTGAACAATTAGATATAATGGTTTTACCGCAATAATACCATTATTATATTACCATATTTATACTTTATTTTATCTAGACTTATTTTTATGTATTCAATCGTTTTTTTTTATTCTCAAAGGCCTTTGGCTGGGTTGTTTTCACTGATATGACAGAATGTTAAGCAATTTATTTCAACATCCCCATAGATTTTTTATATATATATAAAACAAATGGTGCTTACAGGCATACCTATCCCTACATTACAATCAGAGCATAAAGCCAAGCGCCAACATCATCGAGCTATCAAAGGGGTTCATAGTGTTATAAAGCCATAAAGCCTTCTTAGAGTTACACAGTTTTACATCCGCATAGATTTATAGATAGACAAGTGAATGCCCATGCACGTTATTATAATAGATCCATGCCATGCACATTCTTTTGTGTACAGACAGCCCCCGGCCCCGCCCCCTTCGGAACTCTCCCCGGTCTCACTTGTTGTCGTTTCCGTTCTACGCCATTTTCCACGGACACTCGAGAAGATCGTCCCTGGCTCCCACAGAGACGAGCAATTTTGCAATTAATCAACAAATCAAGGTGTGATATGGATACAGTGTTGCAGACAATATTTTTTTAAGTTATGTTTCTTGTGTTGTGAATAAGACGAGAGCAGTGTGTGTATGTTGTGCTTTGTTCTTTAGCAGGCCTCAGACTGCGCGGCCATCTTGCCTCTCGGCTAATGCTACTGGCTACATAGTACACTGAACATCGAATTGCTAAGGTTATGTTTTAGTTCGAAAACAAAACTAAAGACTGAAAGAATTTCAAATTTCACACTTAACCTTAGTCAGATTTAATAATGTACTAGGACGTGAACCAAACGTATTGCTGTTGTTGCATCGCCGTTTGTTGACTACTGTATTTTTGCCTTTTTTGCAAAACACAAGTGAGCTGTTGTTTCTTCTGTATATCACTGGAAACATCGTATTGCATTCATTAGAAACTATCCCTCTCGTTTTAGAGAGTGATCAAGATGTTTTGTATTTTCCAGCTACCGCCATGCATCGTGACTGTCCCCTCGATTGCAAGGTCTACGTGGGCAATCTGGGGAATAATGGAAACAAGACTGAAATCGAAAGGGCATTTGGCTACTATGGTCCTCTTCGTAGTGTATGGGTCGCCAGAAACCCCCCAGGTTTTGCCTTTGTGGAGTTTGAAGATCCCAGAGATGCTACTGATGCAGTCCGTGAGCTTGATGGAAGGTGGGAGTTACCAAGTCAATCTGTCTTGAGTGCCCCATTTCAAGCAAGTGACTAAACCTGTTTTGATTTAGGACAATGTGTGACTGCCGGGTGAGAGTTGAGTTGTCCAGTGGAGAGAAGCGCAGTCGTTCACGTGGGGCACCCCCTCCTTGGAGCAGACGACCCAGAGAAAGAGATGATTATCGGGGACGACGAAGCTCACCAGCTCGAAGAAGGTAGCCTATTCCCACATGGTCAACACATACTTTATTACTCCATTGTGACTAAACTCACACATTTTCTTACCCACAGTCCTGACGAGTTGTCTTTGCTGTCAGTTTTTGATATTTAGATTATTGCAAGGTATATTGTTAGATGATAGTTTACCAAGTGTTTTACAACACTAAAATTGTTTACAACTTGTATATTTAAAAAAAAATCTTACGGTTACATTTTGCGAGTGTGAAGTGCCAAAATTGATGCATTTTTTATCTTTTCATTTATATTAATAAGAATGAAACCCGTTGCAGAGCCACCACCATGCCTCTTCTCACCACCCTCTGAGTCAATCAACTAGTCCTCTTTCAGCATCACGTGACTGCTGACATCGTTCCCCACTCAGCTTGGCTGGTGCTGTTAACGACCCAGGCTCGGCCAGTCGTCAGGCTGTACCAGCCCATTGGTTCCTCAGCCTGCTGTTTTCAACCTTCTCCTCCTTCAACCTTTACCCAAACTGCAGCGGCCTACCTCACATTCGTCACCAATCAGCGTAATATGTTGTCAAATGTCTACAACCTACCAGCAGCCTTCGGTTAACCAATTAAAGCAGCAAAAAAGCTTCAGCCAGCTTCCCATCTGCCTGCCACCTAGTCACCTTGCAGCATCTGGCCAGTCCCATTCAACCAATTCTACCCACCCGGCCGACAGTCTGCCTCCCTTTCGTCATATCTAGCTTGTTGAAATCCAAAAATACTAGTAAGTCTTCCTGCATCATTCAGTACATTGCTGATTATAGTTTTGAAGATAAAGCTGGTTGACAAAGGTTGTTCTTTTTACTTACGTTTAACACTTTTTACACACTGGTCTAGCAACTAATCTTTTATTGTCTTTGGCCTCAACGAGTAGCTTTTTTTTTTTTTTGTGAAGCTACATTTTTGGGTACCTCTGTGCCATGGGGGAAAAATCATGAGGAAAAGTCCCACATTTGGTTTCTTTGTTCAAAATAAGCCATACAAATGTGTGACTGAAGTGCATGATGTGAGATTTTACTTTGTGAAGTAATTTCATTCTAAATCACTTTCAGACATGTACCATTGCCATTTTATTCCGGCCGTGTGAAACACTGAAAAGTATTTCAAATCTTTTTAAAAAGCCCACCGACAAAGCCACTCACCATATGGTTTAATAATAGTGGCTGTGATTTGTTTTTGAATGTTTTTGTGAACAATTGTATCTCTGCTGTGCAGATCCCCACGCAGGAGAAGTTTTAGCCGCAGTCGAAGCAGGTATGTTTATTCTATTCATACATTTCCCTTGTGTTAAAAGGATTTTTTGAGCTAATTAAATATTGTTTCAGATCCTTTTCTAAGGATAGGAGGAGGGAAAGGTCCCTTTCTCGGGATAGAACCAACAAACCTTCAAGATCATTTTCGCGCTCTTGGAGGTTGGAATTGTTTGTATTATTGGATTAATGCAAACTTTTATTGTCTATTAACTTTATTTTTCCTCCAGTCGCTCCAGGTCAAATGACAGAAAATGATTGGAAACGGTTGGCAACACCGTTTCATACATGATGAATTCATTTTGAGTTGTTTTTTAAAAGCTTTTTAGTGTCTTATCTTTCCCCTTTTTTGGGATAGTCCACATGTACTTTGTTATTCTGCCTCTTTGTTCCATTCCAGTTTGTCAACATCTATTGGCTGTGTTTTTGTTTTTGAATGTACTGTGTATGATTACTTATAGCATATAGTGATATACCATTATCATTCTTCACATGACAAAAGCTTTTTAATATGGAAAGTGTGCACAAGCCAAATTGTTTGTTTTCATCCTAATTGATGTATTACATCAGAATAGTCAATGGCTTTTAAAAGCTGTAAAAACCTATGTGAAAAGGAAATAAACGAAACCTTTTAGTTATGTTGTTTTCTCTTTGATACAATGTGAATAGTGTGATTAAAACACTTCTCCTTTACAAGTAATTTTGATGTTTCATGGACATATTTATTTTTATAAAGTCATCATTCTGAAAGATGAGTCTTGGGTTCAACAGGGGCTTATGGAGTTTGTATGTTGTAGCTTTCCTCTGGGTGGGGCTTCTGTTTCCCCTATCACTGCAGCGTGCAGTTGACTGTGTGATTGAAGTCAGAACTGATGGTTAAATCTGAGTTTATTTTGTCCATTCCATTGAATCATATAACATATATATAGATTGCTATATATAGCAATCATAGCAAACCTTGTTCCCGCTATCTCAACCAGATGAACGTCGCTACTCCTATACCATATAATCGTTTTCTATTTACACCATGGACTACACCATGGGTGTCAGGGGGCCAGATCTGGCTGGCGAATGAATTATCTTGGCCCCTGGAATGATATTGGCTTAGTATTAGAACACCGGCCAGCACAGAGCCATAGAAAGTATTGGATTATTCACCTTTTTTTTTTTTTTTTGAAAGAAGTTTGTTTTTGTCTGTGAGCCTGTTGAAACGTGTTTTTACTTGAAATTACTGAAAGTCATACCGCTTTATTGGATTATTCATGTAATCATTAAATAAAATGCGGTATACTGAGAGGTATGGTTCAATAGGTTATATAACATTTCAATGTTTTAATTAAAATTAGAAAAATAAAAACGGGGTAGGTTGAGTCATACATTATTTATCTGACTTAATAGCCTGTGAATAATTCCTGCTACATTCCCAACATATTGGCCATCTTTGTTTAATCTTTCAGTATAATTACTGTTCTATGACTGCCTGAGCTATGTTTAGTAGTAGTAGTAAGTAGTAATCTTTATTTATATACCGCCTTTTCACTGCAAATCTGAGTCTCAAAGCGGTTTACAATTGTTAATTTTGGGCATTTGTCTCTCACTCCACACAGAGATGGGAGCGGGGTCGCCAGTACACGAGGCGCATGCCAGACCTATTGTACATATTTTTAGTGGTAGGAGAAACCGGAGTACCCAGCGGAAACTTACGCAGACACGGGGAGAACATGCAAACTCCACTCAGAAAGGCCCTGGTCCGACCGGGATTCGACCTTCTTGCTGAGAGGCGAGAGTGCTATCCACTCAGCCACCCTGCCGCACCGTTTAGAGGGCACTTCTCTATCTTTACACCATGTTGAGTTTTTTTTTTCTTAGAGAGAACTTAATCAGAATTATTTCTAACATTTCATATTCAGATCTTGATGCATAAAAAACTTGTAGAATCAGATTGTTTATATATAATAATCATAATGCATCGGTTTTATAAAGCGCTTTTTTGGACACTCTAAGACGCTTTACATGTCATTATTCATTCACTCCATACACAGAGTTCCCAGAGATGCTTAGCACTTGTTGGCCCTTGGGCCTTCACTTTGAGGTCCAGCTCACCCCAAAACCATCTGGATTGGATTCAGGTCCGGTGACTGTGGAGGCCAGATCATCTGGCCCAGCACCCATCACTCTCCTTATTGGTCAAATAGCCCTTACACAGCCTGTGTTTGAATCTACAGTCAACAGTCTTGAAAAGAACGGACACACTTTCTCATTCAATGAGTTTCCTAACTTTTGGTCTGTACTGTGTATACTGTACTGCAGCCATTCCCAAACTCAGTAACACCGAGGCCCCCTTAAAAATCTGACGGGTCTGCGTGGCCCCCCAAAATAATAACCAAGAAGACAACATTAAGAATAGGCTCTTCTGGTTATTTTATTTTGGGGAAATAGCCTCTGCTACAAACATTGTAATACAAAAATGATTACAGTGGATTATTCAAGTCAAATAATGAACACAAATATTTTAATATTACAAACAAAACATTATAAATTTAACATTAAATAATTACATTATTATTTTTTTTTTTTTTATGACCTCCCGCGGCCCCCCTGCAGTACTCTCGCGGCCCACCAGGGGGCCGCGGACCCCACTTTGGGAGACACTGCTGTACTGTATATACACAGTACAGACCAAAAGTTTTATGACCTCACATGTAGCACACTTCATGTAATATTGGTTTAAAAACATGAGGTCCTAGAGTGACCCCTTGAGGTCAGGGATTATGTTGTGGCAAAATTAAGCATGGTTCAGTTATGCAAACATTTCCCATGATTTGTACATCTCACAGAGCACTGTTTAATCCATTTGGGAATGAAGAGAGTATGGCACAACTGCAAATCTACCAAGACAGCGGTCTGCTCAAAACAAGGTGCACTGATCATTGACGAAGAGACACAAGGACAATGGTTAGTCTGAAGGAGCTGCAAACATCCACAGCTCACCATAATAGTGATTTTTTACTCGCTAACTAAACAATAATTAGGTAGGGAACAGCGACAGGTAAATATGATTAGTTCTTTGCTGTATTCTATGGATCAAAATGTTTATTTCTCATTTGAAATCACGACAAAGGCTATCCACAGCACGGTTTCACATTCATGTGTTGTTTTCAGCATAAATAGTCATGTATACTGCCTGGAGGGAAGTGGTACTATAAAAGGCTGGTATGCCGAACTGGCATAAGGGCCTATTGCTTTCACAGTGGTGAACCTAAGAGGTTGCGGTGAGTGTCCTTCACTCACCAAACAACAACGGTATTATGCTCCCCTTTTCTCATACAAAGTTCGATAAGCAACAAACGTGAATAGTTCTTCAACTCTTGGATTTAGGTCAGGTGAAAGTGAAAAAAATATTGCAGCAATGATCCTTGCATTGATGATGTGACATCAGGGGACGTCACGTGACATCCGGAAGGCCACCGTTAGCTCAGCAACATAAGATAAGATGTGCTTTATTTTTCTCACAAAGGAGAAATTTACATGTCACATTGGCATGGAAAGAGACACTCAGATTGTGCAAAAGAAAGAAATGTGCAAACATGTTACATGCAGGATAATTATGTACAACATGCAAGAATACACAGGGCTTCAGCCATTATGCCACCAGGGTTCAAATTTGCTCAAGTGTAGCTTCAAAAGTTAGCTGCGGAAATTTTATCAGTTAGACGTGGCGGCAGGCTCGCGTTTTTGGCCCCCGTGAAAAAAGAAGAAGTTATTCAATGGAGACACACACTTATTGATCATTGGTATTTACAGTATCATGGGGCGTTCAGACCAGATCATGCATTGTGGCGACTTTCAATGCAAAGTCAATGGTGACCTGCGTGTGCGCCTCGGGACGCATGCACGGGCTGCGAGGTAAAGGCGCAGGAGCGGAAAATCGACGCATGCAGGAGCTAAACATTGCTGAATCAGAGAGCCGCAAAGCGGTCACAGGGACATTAGTGGTCTAGTGAGCAGACTAAAAATACTTGTAGACAGCCACAACTGGAGCTAAACAAGGACTAAACCAGGATTGACAATGGGGACACAGTGCTTGTGATAATATGCCTGTAAACAAGTGCTGTTTAGCATGTTCGCCGATGCGGAAGTACCGTTGGATAACAAAATAAACTTATGGCGCACCTCCGTGAACACATATTGCTGTCATATAAAGTCTCTGGAAGGTCGCTGGACATAGAGACGCTGCAGAGCTTCATTCTTGGAGAAGAACATTACACAAAAAGCCGCTAGCTTAACTCCGTTAGCAACAAAGCACCTCCGCCACCCCAGGCCAGGACTTCTGGTCTGAACACCCCTAGCGTATGTAATTTAGACAATGTGCGTCAGAGCCCCCTCCTTTGCGCATTGTTGCGCGGGACTGCGCAGTGCTGCGAGGGTCGTTCGACGCCGCTTGCGGCTTTAATTCGTCTTGTTTTCTTCTATAGTTAATGAGTGGGTGAATGCAATAATGTTTTATTTATACATTATGCTAATAATTTTTTGATATGTAATTTCTGCTGCTTAATTTTCTCTGATGAACTGTATATTGTTGTGTGTATTGTTTAATGAGAATAATTAATCATCATAATCCAAACCTGTTCGTGGCCAAGATTGATCTATTCGTCCCACAGTGGGGAAATTTCAAAACTCCCAAATTTTGAGACTCCCAATCACAATTTTACAGGAATTCCAACAACGTGAGAATGTTTTGAATTTCCCGGAACGAATTTCCGATATTATTATAGATCCATGCGACATACCGAGATTTTGGTGAGTACAGTTGTTGACCGTTTTCCATAGAATGATATAACATGAAGGCCGTTCAGAGTAGGGTCGGGCTGCTGGCCGGATGATATTGGCCGTTCAGGGAGTTTAAAACCCCTCCATGTTAAAACCTCATCCATGCATGGGGCCGAAAGATCGCTATACAAAGCAGAAATAGCCCTCTCTGCTGGCTGTTTATAGAACCGCAGATGACTGAGTGACCGTGCCATACATCCATGGCCAGTTGTGACGACTTGTAGAGGTCACGTGACCGGAAATGCGCTTCCTGCTTCATTAGCTCGATTCCTGTTCGAGCGGAGGATTCGAGGATAATAACTCTAACGTGACCCGTCAAAATCAAGAATTCACGGTACGATAAGTCGCAGTTGTAAGAAAACAATATTTGTTCTAAAGCAATCGGTGTCTTGTTGATGTTAATACATCGACATTAGCGCATGTTTTACGTGCCTTTTTTGTTCTTTACTAGCTAGGCCTCGAACTGCATGGTCATCTAGCATAAATGCTAAGCTAGCTGTGGGTTAGCATTGAATATCTACGGTATTTCTCCATGAACTCAACTGTTTAACACGCTAGCCCGTAACCAATTGTTACAATTATAAGAATGTTGCTAAGCACAGTCATTAACGCAAATGTGAAACTATCAAATAGAATTATTTTCTGAACCCGGAAATAAAGAGAGCTATGGCTACCATTCGGCTATTTGGTTAGCCAGTTGAGCCAAAATTCCTAATGTTTTTCATTTTTTGCGTACTTGTGTACTTTTCAATAGTGTTGGATGGAATGGGAAGATGTTTCCACTGTGAAGTAATACCCTGACTATTTTTGAGGCGTACTGTAGCTTTTGTTTGTGGACGTTAATAAAGGGACTATTAATGGTAACTTCGTATTGCAGTTCTTATTAGCGTTACTAACTATTCTTCAGATGATCAAGTTTTTCTTTTCTTATCTTACAGCTGCAGCCATGCACCGTGATTGTCCCCTCGATTGCAAGGTCTATGTGGGAAATTTGGGTAACAATGGAGACAAGACTGAAATCGAAAGGGCTTTTGGCTACTATGGCCCTCTCCGCAGTGTATGGGTCGCCAGAAACCCCCCAGGTTTTGCCTTTGTGGAGTTTGAAGATCCCAGAGATGCTAATGATGCAGTTCGTGAGCTTGATGGAAGGTGGGTTTTGCCAAAACTATATCTAAGGCATGCTTTCAAGCAAGTGACTAAACCTGTTTTGATTTAGGACAATGTGTAACTGCCGGGTGAGAGTTGAGTTGTCCAGTGGAGAGAAGCGCAGTCGTTCACGTGGGGCACCCCCTCCTTGGAGCAGACGACCCAGAGAAAGAGATGATTATCGAGGACGACGAAGTCCACCAGCTCGAAGAAGGTAGCCTATTCCCACATGGTCAACACATACTTTATTACTCCATTGTGACTAAACTCACACATTTTCTTACCCACAGTCCTGACGAGTTGTCTTTGCTGTCAGTTTTTGATATTTAGATTAATTCAAGGTATATTGCTAGATAGTTTAATAGTATTTCCATACGGTTACATTTTGCGAGTGTGAAGTGCCAAATTTGATGCTTTTTTTATCTTTTCATTTATATTAATAAGAATGAAACCCGTTGCAGAGCCACCACCATGCCTCTTCTCACCACCCTCTGAGTCAATCAACTAGTCCTCTTTCAGCATCACGTGACTGCTGACATCGTTCCCCACTCAGCTTGGCTGGTGCTGTTAACGACCCAGGCTCGGCCAGTCGTCAGGCTGTACCAGCCCATTGGTTCCTCAGCATGCAGTTTTCAACCTTCTCCTCCTTCAACCTTTACCCAAACTGCAGCGGCCTACCTCACATTAGTCACCAATCAGCGTAATATGTTGTCAAATGTCTACAACCTACCAGCAGCCTTCGGTTAACCAATTAAAGCAGCAAAAAAGCTTCAGCCAGCTTCCCATCTGCCTGCCACCTAGTCACCTTGCAGCATCTGGCCAGTCCCATTCAACCAATTCTACCCACCCGGCCGACAGTCTGCCTCCCTTTCGTCATATCTAGCTTGTTGAAATCCAAAAATACTAGTAAGTCTTCCTGCATCATTCAGTACATTGCTGATTATAGTTTTGAAGATAAAGCTGGTTGACAAAGGTTGTTCTTTTTACTTACGTTTAACACTTTTTACACACTGGTCTAGCAACTAATCTTTTATTGTCTTTGGCCTCAACGAGTAGCATTTTTTTTCTTGTGAAGCTACATTTTTGGGTACCCAGTTCTCAATTTTCTAATTATCTTTGTGCCATTGGGGAACATTTAAGTCCCACATTTGGTTTCATTGTTCAAAATAAGCCATACAAATGTGTGACTGAAGTGCATGAAATGAGATTTTACTTGGTGAAGTAATTTCATTCTAAATCACTTTCAGACATGTACCATTGCCATTTTATCTTGGCCTTTAAATACTTTTTCAGTGTTTCACAATCTTAAATAAAGCCCACTGACAAAGCCACTCACCATATGGTTTAAAAATAGTGGCTGAGATTGTTTTGAGTGTTTTTCTAAACAATTGTATCTGCTGTGCAGATCCCCACGCAGGAGAAGTTTTAGCCGCAGTCGAAGCAGGTATGTTTATATTCTATTCATACATTTCCCTTGTTGTGTTAAAATAATTTATTTTAGCTAATGGAATCCTTATATTTCAGATCCTTCTCTAGGGATAGGAGGAGGGAAAGGTCCCTTTCTCGGGATAGAACCAACAAACCTTCAAGATCCTTTTCACGCTCTAGGAGGTTGGAATAGTTTCTTTTGCTCGATTGTGGCAAAATTATATTTGTTAAATATTAACTTTATTTTCTTCCAGTCGCTCCAGGTCAAATGACAGAAAATGATCATGTCAGATTTAAGGGAGCTGAAGAAAACGGTTGGCAACACTGTTTCATGCGTGATGGTGAATTCATTTTGAGTTGTTTTTTAAAAGCTTTTTAGTGTCTCTTATCTTTTCTCCTTTTTGGGATAGTCCACATGTACTTTGTTATTCTGCCTCTTTGTTGCATTCCAGTTTGTCAACATCTATTGGCTGTGTTTTTGTTTTTGAATGTACTGTGTACGATTACTTAAAGCATATCGTGATATACCATTATCATTCTTAAAATGACAAAAGCTTTTTAATATGGAAAGTGTGCACAAGCCAAATTGTTTCATCCTAATTGATGTATTACATCAGAATAGTCAATGGATTTTAAGAGGTCCAAATCTATGGGTAAAAGAAATGACTAATAAAAGTTTAATTTTTTTCTCTGATACGATGTGAATAGTGTGATTAAAACACTGAAGAGTAAAACACAGTTTCTTGATTTAAGGTCTTTCTTTCAGCTTCCTGTTCAATGCTTTTTGAGGATGTTTTTAGTTCTTTTAATGAATCTTAGGATATACAATTTAATCTGCAATATATGCACAATTGCATATATTGCAATAGGGGTGACCGTGGTTCAGTGGGTAGAGAATTGGCCTTTGAGCCTGAAGGTTGTGGGTTCAAACCCACAACCTAAGACCTACTTCATATCTGATGGCTGCTGTCGTGTCCTTGGGCAAGACACTTAGCCCTACTTTGCCTAAAGCCCCCGCTGAAATATCAAGGCTGTGGACTCGCCACCTGCTGGAGGATCAGTGAGGGGCTGGTGCTATGTGTACTGGGTGCAGCTCTGACTGCCACCCCCCGTTCCAGAAATGGATTAAGGGGAAGAAAATGGATGGGTATGCACAATTGGTTCTCGGAACAGCAAAAATGGGAATGTAAGAAATTCTGTTGGTAACGCTGATGTAGAACGGTAAGAATGTCCATCCGGAGCTGATGCCTGTGAATTAATTTTCCAAAAGCAGTCCTTGAAGGTGTTTCAATTTTGAAAACCACACAACTACAGACCACATATAACCCTCATATAATACCACCATGGTGTTATCAATACTGTAACCACACCAGCCAAGAGCCTCCACTCGACCTGAAGAACCTGAAACCCAACCACCCAGACCACTGCCAATACAATGCATCTTCGCATTGTTCCTAAATGCTAGTTGTCAACTATTCCACAGGCCACAACTCTGAAGATATGAGTATCACAGTATCTTCACAGGTGGTCACACCGAAGGTTGCAGATTGTTAATAGCGATGGCTTATTTGAATATATATGATTGAAATAATTCTTGCTCAGGTCCGTGATTGTGGATCAGCAGTTGACATTATTCCAACTTCACAATAAGAAGAAAAATGCCTTATTTTGTTATTGAAAAATAACGTATATAATATACGCTATCGCTGATGGTTTTAGCACAAGCTCTTTCATGCATTTAAGCAGACTATGTTTTGAACACTATCTATTTGATGCACTGTATTTATGGTAGAACATTTTACTTTCTAGTCCACTACACCATTGCCCAATAGTTTGTCTCAGTCACTCCCCGGACAAAGCACAGACAAACCCACGGCTGTCCGCAGGTTCACGCTGCCTGGACAGGTGAATATCAGCGTTACAACAGCGCGAGCCCTGCACTTTCAAATCGGCGCGCTTTTCCATTCACCCACGTGCCCCGCCCATACTTGTACGTGACGCTTTGCGTAGAAGGTTCGCTTGGATGTGTCCCATTTCTTACCATTTTCTCCTAATACCCTTTTCCTCAGTGCGCCCACTGAGCACTGAGAGCTAATAGGAAACAACCATCTCTCTCCTCGTTGGTTGTCCTCTTTTGTGGGCGGAATTTGCACTACCGAGGAGCTGAGGACGAAGGAAGTGCGTGAACAGATTTTGGACTCAACTGCAGTTTCCATAGTTACGGGTCACACGCGAGTTACATACTCGCGGGAAATCCACGGGAAATTTCCCACACACTGTTATGTAACAAGAAACTCGCTCTTCTGCAGAAACATTGCCCACAAAAATATTAGAAAATCAGTTCAATATCAGCTTTCAAAGTATTAACTACATGTAAGAGTCAATGATCCACAAGCACTAAGCCGTCCTTGTTTTTGTCAAATATAATTATTGATTTTCAATTCTTAAAGAGTTTCTTAAAGACCTATTTGAAATCTTACAAATGGTTGTAGATAGTCTCACTAGCTAATCTTTAAAACGATGAAACGTATGCCTTCAGACACAATCATTCAGCAAGATGATGCCATTATATAATTATATATTTATTATGAAGTCCTTTACATGTGTTACCCCCGTGAAGACAGACACAGGCTGGGGTGTAACATTGAGTTTTTATTCTGTAAACAGAAACATATATAGTTTTCAGACGCGGCTTTGCCTCCGTGGACTTCAGTTGAAAACCTTACGCAGAACTGAGCTAACTCTGCCTTTATACTATGCAGACTCATATTTTAGTTATAACACAGTTGCTTGTCTTACAGTCTCTTTAACATGTTTTTTACAAAAAGAAAAACAAGCTTAAACTTGACATAAACGTTACAAATTACAGATCTCCAGTACAATAAAAGTACTTATTTACCAATAGACCAGTCACAATATATCTACTCAACTGCTACGATGAACCTATATAGGTAATAGAAAATAACTGCAACAAATCGGACCAACGTCTATATTTAACTGGACGCTAACAGTAGTTAGCAGTTAACGTTTTGTACAAAGAACCTAAAAATACAATTTCAATAAATAAAACATCGTCCCGAAATTACAAGTAGTCCCACTAATGTTACCCATAGAGTGCTTAGTGTACTTAACCCACCTGTAAACAGAAACATATATAGTTTTCAGACGCGGCTTTGCCTCCGTGGACTTCAGTTGAAAACCTTACGCAGAACTGAGCTAACTCTGCGCGAGACCAGGACGTTAGTCTCCTACTTACGTGCCACTACTGCCATCTTCTGGCGCAAATTAACATAGCACCAGAAACGGGTAAATAGTACACAGCCAAAATTAAGAAACATTAGTAGTAAAATAAAAGGGTTAATTAAAATGAAAATTAATTGGGGGGTATCTTATTATACTTAAACAGTCCTGGGGGCCACACCCTCCCCTGCTTAATAAAAGGAAAAAAAAAAATGCTGTCTCATTTTTTTTTTTTTACTCCAAAACAGTGTCCCTTGAGCTTAACTGGTGGTTATATATCACATTTTTAGCATTGCTTATAGGAAAAAAAACTTGCAATTACCTTTTAGTAGACATTTGAATACTATACCAAGTAATACTAAAATTTCTGTTGGAATAACCAGATTTCTTCTCAAGATGAATAAACAAGTTCACCTTACTGTGAATAATACCTTTTACCATTGTAACCAGACACATAAACGGCCAACTTTATCACTTTGTCTGTTACCATATCATCACATTGTTTAAATGTAGACACTGTTGCATATGTGCAATATACTCAACTTAGTCTCCCTGAGTTGCACTTCAGCATTTTCGGAATAACTTGCATTTCTTGTTGCAGTCTTATAGTGTCTGTGTCACTCTACTAGTCTTTAATAAGCTGCTTGCGTGGTGTCGGACGCCCATGGTCTCCAGAGTCTCTGTGAGCATGTGGGTGGGACACTCACCTCGATACAGTCCATACCCACTGGTCTCACGGTCGGGTGTCCGAGCTGGTGATAGGAGAGGACCTGGGGCCGCCGCCGCTCCCTCTGAGGGTATATGTGGGTAGCAGATGTCGACCACTGCACATCAGAGTCTCTGCCTCTCTGCTGGGGCGCATCTTCCTCCGAAGGATTGTCGCTGAGCTGCTCCTGGTCTGCCTCACCGGCTGCTGCCAGTTGACCATCTTCTGCTGCGGTGGCCTGGTCGTCATGGTGATGAGAGTCTACCGCCTGGGGTTGGTCCAGCTGCTGCTCCAGCTCAGGTTCGGGAGTGTGCACCTGAGCTCTGCTTTCCTCACGAATCCGCAGGCGAGGAGATCTCCAGACAAGAGCGCCTTCTTCATCACTGTCCGTGTCTGTGGCCTCTTGTAATGCCTCTTCTTGTCTCCTTTCTTTAGTTCGTGTCTTCTTCTTTTGTTTGCTCTGCTGTTTGTTGTCCAGTCCTTCCACAGGTAAGCTGTCACATGGGAGGAGCAGGTTTCTGTGTACCGTACGGCTTTTACCCCCTTGTTCTGGCTTTATTTCATAAACAGGCATGTCAGGGCTTTTCTGGGCAACTATCACATACACAGAATCTTCCCAGTATGAACGGAGTTTACCAGGCCCCCCTCTCTCTTTGAAGTTGCGAAGGAGGACTCTGTTACCTGGATACAGCTGAACACCATGTGTCTTTTGGTCATAATAGTGTTTGCCTCTGAAAGCTTCTTTCTGTGCCGCCTTTGATGCAATCTGATAAGCCTCTCTCATTTGTGACTGCCATTTCTGTACATACTCCTCATAGCTGATTTGTTGTTCTCGGATGGGCAAGTTGAACAGGATGTCTACTGGGAGTCTGGGAGTGCGGCCGAAAAGCAGGTAATATGGTGTGAACCCAGTGGCATCGCTCTTAGTGCAATTATAGGCATGCACGACTTTGGCCAGTGATTCTTTCCAGTCTGCTTTCTCACTGTCTGTCAGGGTTCTCAGCATGGAGAGCAGGGTCCTGTTGAAACGCTCTACCTGCCCGTTCCCCTGTGGATGGTATGGGGTAGTGTGGGAACCACGGAGACCACAGACTTTCTGGAGCTGGGCAAACAGATGATTTTCAAATTCTCGGCCCATGTCGTGGTGGATTCTCACTGGAAAGCCATACTTCAAAGCAAAGTGGTTAAAGATTTTGTCCACCACTGTCTTAGCTGACTTGTTCTTTGTAGCATATGCCTCTGCAAAGCGCGTAAAATGATCCATTACCACCAGGATGTATTCGTATCCGTGCTTGCATGTCTCTAAATGTAAAAAGTCAATCGACACCAGTTCAAA